ACTCTGTCATCTGACTGATGATGGCGACGAGTTTGATCAGTGCTGGGGAGCCAAATTTGTCGATGGCTTTGGGTGGGACACCCCAGGCGACTGCAGCGGTCTGCAGTGTTTGCTCTTGTGAGCTGCTGAGTGAAGGAAATTCCGAAGCAACAATGTCAAGGTACTTTTTTACCTGTGCTTTTTGTTTGTCGCTGATGCCTTTAATGGCACCAAACCATCTAGTAATGCCGGATTCGGAGTGAACGCCAGTGAAGTGATCTTGAAACCAAACACTGGCTTTTGTGGGCTGCTGAAAGATACGCTGGGGATCCATCTTGGGATCCAGGGGTGCTGCCTTCGTTGGTGTAAGCGTTGACTGCTTCTGTCGCTTGGCGCCCAGAGTGGAGCGTCCCGGGAAGTGCATACCTGTGGTGGATGACGATGCCGGGGAAGCGTGTACCGGGTTGTTGTCTTGTTCTGCAGCAGTTGTGGTGAATGGAGATAGGCCCTCAGTGGTAGGCCTGGTGTCAGTGTGTGTAAGGTCATCGATGGTGGCTCGTTTTTGTCCACGGGTGGTTGTGGTGGGGGAGATCTCAATTGTGGAAACTGAGAGAGGTGGTGGGGAGGGCGTGTTGATCGGAGTGCTGGGCGTGGTGGATCGTTTTGGTTTCTTTGATGCTGGTGTGCTGGGGGCCACATTGTGTGCTTCCGGCGCACGGAGAGTTTCAATTGTCTCCAGTGCTGTTGAAAGTCGTGCTTCAAGGTCGCTGATACGATGGGCCGCCAGAGTGTCAGTCTCTGTCGACTGCGAAGGTTGTAGTGGGAGATGAGGTTGTGGTTTGCTGGATTGTGGTGGTGTTGGGGATTCGGTGGGTTGCGATTGTGTGTTGTCTGTGTCTGCTTTGACGTTTTGCTTGTCCTTTTTGTTGCCGTCGTTATACTGGTCCTGCAGCTCCTGCAGGTACAACACCAATTCCTTAATAAGGTGTGACATTGCTGGTCGTTTTGCAAGTGTGAGCTTTTCTTGCCAGCAGAATGCAGTGGCCGCTTGGTCCAGATCAATTCTCCTTGCTCGGAGTTGACCCATAAGTTCAGTGGTAAAAACGGCTTCGCTGACGTGTTTGCTGCATGTGAGATGGATGTCGAAGCCATGTGCAGCGTACCGTAGCCAGTACGAAGACCAATTGTGTCGCAAAAATGCGACCAATGGTGCTGTTGCGATTGGCATGCCTGCTGTGCGGTTATGCACTGAATGTGGTGTAGATTGAATGTGTTTAGGGAGGTTGAGGCCAAAAAGCTGCCTGTTGTCCCAATGCTCCGGTGTTTGAACAAAGTCGTTTGGTATCTGGGGATTTGCAGGCGTGGGATTGGGGTGTTGCTGTTGTTGGGTTGCGACGGTGGCTTGAGGTAATGTATGTGACGAAAAGCTGGGGTTTCGAGTCGTCATCGGGGATGGACTCACAAATGTGTGTTGGGGAGTGGCAGGTGTGGGGGTTGGTAGTGTGGTGGGCGGAATTGGTCCGGGAAACTGTTGGGGTGGGGGAGGGGGTGGAGGGAAAGGTGGGAACGTGTTGTTGTGGCTGGACATGTGAGCTGGACCCCAAGTAGTCGGGGTTGGTGATGAGGTGTGTGGTGGGATGTTGTGTATCCCTGGTGGTGGGGAGATCGGGTGCAATGGGGTACTGCTGGTCGAGGTTGTTTGTCTCTGCACGGTACTGATTGCTGTACCGATGATGCCTGTTGGCATTGTTGTATGCCACTGAGGCTGTGTCGGCTTGTACATGGTTGCACAGTGGGGCACTACAGTTGCCTGTGACTGCAAAAGCTGCACATGAAACATGCATGATCAACCTGATTGGCTTGAGCGTCAACATCAACTTGTGCGAGGCATCTAGCATGCAGCTGCATCGAGTCTTCTTTGGCTCAAAAGCGAGGTCGGAGCAAATGCCTGATTGCAAACGACTATGTGTACAGGGATTCAGGCCTGGAAGAAAAGTACTAGAGAGTTGCAGGAAGATACAGAAGAAGAAATCAACATCACTGAATGAGGCCGAATCCAACGATGCTGAAGTGCCCGGAATGGAATCCCCACTTCTCCGGGGTCCGTACAACACCCTTTCGCCCCACGATGTAGGCTTCTCTGTACATGTCCCGATACGTCATCTTGTAATGCTGATACTTAGTCCGTATTGTCCCGATGACGATCACTCCCTGTTGGCCCTTGGGCCGCCGCGTACATTGATCGGTAACTATATGTACCGTGCTCTCCGACACATCTCCTGGGGTTGCATTCCCGTATATGACGCAAGAGGGAATGGGTGGATAGGACTTGTCGTCGAAGCAATGGCTGATAGAACTTGGGCGGACCAAGTCCTCACGCATTATGCGTGCGGCACTTGCAATGCTCGTGCCGTGTCCGGCGGTGTAGATGTATGTTTCCCCTGGTGGGTCAGTGGCACGAGTGCCGAATGCTCTGCGAGTCTCACCAGCCCACGGGATGAATAACATAGTATGCACGCCGTCCGATATTGGCGTCAGCGTTGCTCCCAATTCGTTGCACGCTGAGCGCGTGCCCGACTGTAATACGGCATGCGCGAAATCGGCTAAAGTCTCCTGCCTGAAATCGCTGTCAGCAGCTATCTCGCCCAAAGTTTTGGCGAGTTTGTGCGCTTCCTCCAAGTCGACAGCGTGGGGTGTCGGCTTTTCATGATCATAAAGCTCAGAGAAAGGCGCCACATCAATCTGTGGTGGTCTGCTCTGTTTGCCCAGTTGTTCGAGGGTTGGCTGACCCGATGGGGCAGCAGTTGTGGATGCATCGTAAGTCGGAGCAGGTGTCCGAACAGAGCTGGGGGGATTGTGCCGAAGCTGTTGGCGCGAGGATGTGCCCTGGCTTGTTGGGGGCTGCTGTTGTGCGGCTTGGCTGCCCTTGATGCGGAGGGCGATGCGCTGAACCTGCGAAGCCAATGTTTTTTGTGGGACCTTGGGTGGGGTAGGTGGCCTTTGACGTGGCTGTGTGGCTCTGTAATGCCACTTGTTGGCATCATCATCACGCACTGTAGAATAGCTGCGGAGCACAACCGAGGTCCGAGGAGGTGTCGATGAAGCACGCCTGGTGTCCCTGCGAGAACGGCTTCTGCGAGTGTCGCGGGATCGATGGTGTCTGCGTCGGCGGTGCTGTCTGCCGCTGCTTGCAGGTCGTGCTCGGCTGCGCGTGTGTCGACGGCGTCTAGTGCTCACGGTGCGAGTTCTGCTGCGTGTGGGTGAATGCCGTCGTCTGCGTGGCAGCGGAGGGTGATGGGGGGAAGTACGAGCTGCGAGTTGGTCAGTGTCTGCCGATCCCGTATCTGGGGGTGGTTGTGCGGGTGGTACTGTATTGACGGAAGGGGTGTTGGCTGTGTTTGTTGGTTGTTGTTGTTGGGGCGTCATTGCCGGTGTCTGCGGGGCAGTGTATGCAGCATCGGCAGTGGGAACACTGGTGGGGTGGGGTTGTGGAGCTTGTTGAATTGTTGTTGGCGGCGGTATGTGGGATTGTTGAATGGGTTGTGTGGGAGGGATGTTGCAAGGTGCAAGTTGTGGTTGTGGGGCAGGTGGTGCAAAAGGAAAGTTGAATGTGGTAGGTTGGACCTGATGCTGTGTCGAAGCAGATGGGCTCATGGGAAAAGCTGTTGGATGGGTAGGCAAAGGAGCAGGATTCATGAGCGGTGTGGGTTGTTGTGTCATGAATTGTTGGGGTGGAGGTTGTTGTGGCATCTGGGGTTGTGGTGTGCTGAGATGTGCGTAGATCGTCGGATGCTGTGGAATAGGAGCGGTGTGTCCACACGGCATCATGGGGAAGCCGTGTGTTTGCTCAAGAGGAATCGTAGTGGGTTGTGTCGGCAGTGTGGGCTGCTGAGTGGCAGCAATGCCGGTTGGCATCATTGCTGGGTAGCTTTGAGACTGCGGTACCCAGGTGTTCTGGTGAAATTGATTAAGCACCGGTCGGGCTGTTGGTGCATATGGTGTTGCTGGTGGCTGCGCGGCAAAATAATCCGGCCACATAGCTGCAACGAAGCGGGTGAAACACACACAGTTGCACAAGCAAAGTGCAGGCTGTCCTGATTGTCCCTGCTGGACTGATTTGAGAGGTCGTAGACGGAGAGAAGGAAGGTGGAGGGCCGAGTACTCTCCGGAGAGAGCGCTGCTTCACTTGCTGTAGACATCTTTACCACGTCTGCACTCATGTCAGATGCACATGCCCTTGCAGTCCCTGAGGAATAGAGAAGTGAAAAAATACGGGGCAGAATAGAGAGGTAGCACCTGCTCACTAGACGCACTTTACCGCATTAGCCGTCCCTTACTGCACCTGCACTCATGTCAGACTCACATGCGAGCATCAGAGAGAGAGAGATAAAGTAGCATCTGGAGAATCTGAACAATCTGAACGAAGGCTGAACACCCGGTTCATCACCGGTCTCCCCGGAGGGTCACCACGGCGCCATGACGGAAAGCCGTTGCTCTGGAGTCTCATAGACCCACGCTGATCACACTGATGGATTCGGCCAAGAGTACGAGTGCAAGAGGAAAAAGAGAGGCATGTTGTTCATGTTGCAAAAGCTTGTCAGATTGTGGCAACCGTACAACTTGTTTGTTGTCGAATCAACCGCCAAAAGTGGCAACTGAAAACTCTCTAATCTTGGCACAGGGGCCTTCTAATCGGGCTGGCACAGGGGCCCCAGCTCAATTTTGTGCAGGTACAAGGTTTGGCGTCCCAAACCTCTTCCCATGGTGTTGCTAGCTTCGTTGGCCAGCGTCACAACACCATGCGCTGGCCCCCTGCAACATTTGATTCTGTAAATGTCAAATGTCTGATTGAGTTGCAAAGCAAAATTGCAAACAGTGTAGGAGTGACCCTCTGCTCCCATGTGCTAGGGAGGTTCACACACACACACAAACACACACACACACACACACACACACACACACAAACGCACTCACCCACACACTCACAGAGAGAGCACTCTTTGCTCTGTCATCTGCGGTGCCTTCTCGTGGTGTGTCCACAGCAGGTTGCTGTCAAATCTGCTCCTGGCAGAAACAATCTGCTTGAACATGCCTTGGCCACACATGACAGATGTCTGCCCCACGGCGCAGCTACATAGGCTCAAAACAGCGCACTTGCCGGCCCAAGTACCGTAGAGGTACATATGTATATATGTATATATGTATATATGTCAATATATGTATATATATATATATAAGCGCATGGATGGTCAGAAGCGTAAGCAGCCTGTGACGCATGACGAATATGTTCTTGTGCTGGAGCTGGTTCTCTGCCTCACAACCAGTGGGCTTTCTTCTGTCGCATGCTTCGCATGGTTGCTTCAGGAAGGCCGGCTACAAGTTGACAAGCCCACACACATTCGGCAGTTCAGCCAAGTCCCCACAGCACTTCGGAAAGGCAAAAGCAGAAAACTGGCTCAATTCTCACTACAACCCCTACTCACTTTGTAGATGGTAAGGCGAAGGCATATGCTGAAGCGTTGGCAATGACCTTCCCCGTCTCCTGGTACCTGGCTTGTGTGGATGGTTTAGGAATCTGTGTGCGGGGTAGCAAGACACACGACGCCGATTTTGTCATGTTTGAGCCCCCGACAGTAGCACGTAGACCCGAACTCCGCGATCTGCTGCAGCTTTCAACAGTGTTTCGACCTGTGATTTGGAAGATTCCACTGCAGATGAACAGAAAGCCGATTATGCCGCCACGAATCCTCAAATCCCGCTCCTAATCCGTGAATGACGATCGCGATGAAGTTATGTTATACTGCATCCTTATCAACTCAACGACACCAAGCAACAACCCTGAATACGAGCCTTGGAATCAGGAACACCTGACAGCTCATCACCTGAGGTTCGCGAGACTGTACGGAAGAAGCCGAGTTACCTTGCGGAGTTGTTTGATTGAGAAGCACACCATCCCGAACCAATTCAATGTGCGGACTCAAGAAGAAGCTGAGGATAAAGATCTCGTGCTTCGCAAGAAGAATCGCCTGCGAGCTTCTGGGGGTTTCGAGTCGCAAGCAGCCTTACAGCTTTGAGCCTCCGCAACAGCACGGAAGATCGCGCGGCCGTTGAGCAGGTATCGGCACAGGCTCCGGCGGAGCACATGGCGGTCGCCGGTCTGGGCGGCTCACCGTTCATATATCTCACTCAACCCTGCTAATGTGCAAGTCGCAAAGCGTATGCACACTTCTCTCCTGCCAACTGTGGAAACCCCAGCAGGCAAGACAACTGCGGAACCCAACAGATCGTCGGTGCTCAAACCCCCCTGGGCCTTCGGTGCACCAGGGAGCCGTATCGGTGCGAAAGATCCATAGCGCCTAGGTTGAGCTCTGCTCAGCAGATCAGAATCCGATGTCTGTCAAGATTGTCAAGGAAACCAAAAGCTAAGGCCCTAACTGCTCTCTGGTTCGCGTTGACAGTTGTGCCGTCACCTCACATGTCCGTGTGTCTGCAGTTAGATTGAAAATGCATCTCGGTCTCAGTCAGCGCTCAGAAGACGGCAGTGATGGCATTGCACCAGCCTTGGGCGCTGCTGTGCCTTCGACAGGCCATGCAGACCCGCGTACCACGCAATCAATCAATATATATATGTATATATATATATATATATATACATGTATATATAGATATATACCTATATATATATGTATTTTTCGTGGCATCACGTACATAACATGTTGAGCGGCGTGGTTAGCTTCTCGTGGGCTAGAATGATTGCACCAACCTGTCGACGAAGTGGTTGCTGTTGGAAGCCAACGTATCGAACTTGACTACGCCAATCCAAGCCTAAGACTGGAAGAGCTGCAAGACATCACGAGCGCTACCCTACAAAACATCCGCGAAAATGCCTGCGTGGGCCATCCCCGAAGGACAGCTCGAGGACCCACGATGCCCCTTTCACCAGCACGTGGTCCTGCAATGTGCCGGTGTCAGGTCACTATGTGATGTGAGCCAGGTGGCAGGCGAGAATGCTGCGATGAGGAGGTAGGTGATTGTGACCAAAGTAGATAGCTCTACACACAAGAACAGTGTGCCGAGGCGGCGGCACGATTGGTTCTTGACAACATGCAGCTCACGAACACAGCCACAAAATGCGCTATTGGCGGGAGCACGAAATCTGCAGCGGGAGCAGCATTTGGGGAGGCGGATGTGCATGGGACCGTGGCAGGAAATGCGCACAGCGCCATGGCTAGAGCACAAGTCTGAGAATTCCTAGACCGCTACACTGCCAAGGAGCCTGGAGGAGGCGAATGGCAGGGCCCTTCTAGCAACGCTTTGAAGATGAAGAAGTGGCCGGAGCACAAACTCGGAGCCAAAGACCCCAAACCAAAATGTAGGACGGCACTGTGACTGTGGCGGAGCCCGAAGTGTTGGATTGCACGACAAGTAGGGTATTCCTGCAGGACGCAGCCACTGGTTGCCTCTGGAAGGACACGGTTCAAGTCGAATGCTAAGTCCACTGCGAGCGGGCCCACGGTGGTATCATTTCTCGGTTCTCAATCTCACGGTGATTTAGTAATGTTGGAACCCCATAGGTTGACCGCAGTGTTTGGACCGAATGGTGATTAAATAAAGTTTCCAGAGAGCCTCAACAGGTTCAGGTCCGAGCACGGCGCATCTGCAGCCGCGGACTAGCCACACAGGCTCAACGCTCAAGGACAACTTGGACGCCGGGTAGCAATTCAATCCAACCTGGCTCTCCTAACCTCAAGGACATAAAACTTGGCGGTGTGTGCATAGCCACATAATAACAAGGAACACTAGAGCTGTTGCAGACATGTACAGACTGTGATGTCTCTCCTCCTCGTCTCGAAACAAAGCCTCGGCCGTCAAGGAATGAATTCAACTGGCCACATCTCCCTGACGAAATTCTCCAGACCGCTTAAACCACGGGGCTCTGAGGCCTGCCTAGTCCCCACCTTCTTGGCATGAGGATCATCCACACCAGTGTGCAACACGAACCGGGCAAGATTCTGAAGATTCCGTATCCCAATGCTGCTCTGAAGCCTCGCGAAGCACAGTGCAGTGCTACTACGGTCGTTACAATTGCTCTGGGCTCAAGGCAAAGCTTGTGTCAAAGAAAAGCATGTCCGTGGGATCTGTATCCTGGTGCTGCGCTGCAACACGACAGAGACATCCGAAGTGGAGTGATGGCAAATGGACTACAGCGCTGACTTCTGAAGCAAGGCAGTACCTGCAAAGCTCAACCGCAAGCAGTGTCCATGAGCGAGGAAAAAAGGGCGATCCCATCTTTGCGCAAGACGAGCCACCGCTCCTGGCGACAGAACAGCAGATCAAAGGCAGCAAGGACTTCATGGCGGCATAGCGTGACGTGGCAACCACTGTCCTGCAGCCCTCTTCTCCGTGCAAGCTCGAGGCGGAAATCGCAACGAAGACCTCGCTCGGTGCACTTGCACTGAATGCGCACATGCAGGCAAACACACAACATGCAAGTGCTACAGGCGGCTTTCAGTTGCTGAAGCTTGCACACAACAGCGTGCAGCGCTGTCGACGTCGGTTCATGAAATAGTCCTGCATTGGTCGCTGCAGTTCCGAACCGGGAATTCGAGAATTCGAAAATGGCACATATCATTCAACGGCGATGAACCCTCTGCACCGCAGGTTGTTCACACTCCTCGGTTGTCTCATGCCTTCGAACGAAGCAGCGCCCCTCCTGGATCTAACTGCCAACTAATCGACGCTTGAAGATGGATATGCTGACTCTTCGGTTTTGCTCCCATGACCATGCTTCCAAATGACAGATGAACCATGCAGTTAGCAACGGTTGTGACACCTTGTGCGTCTCAGAGGAGTTGAAGTAAGTTGCCATGCCTTGCAAAAGACTGCACACAGCGTGAGGCTTTCTTCGCAACATCCGAATAGCCGAGCTGCCCAAAGACAGGAAGTTGCAGATGTCCAGGTTGCGGAGGCAGTCTTTACCTCATTGCCGAGTCACAACACGAAGCCTGCAACGAGGTATGCGACGTTGCGTGTTCCAAGTTCCGGGCAGCCAAGCTCCGTGGCACACGGTCTGGAAGACACAGGATCTGGGAACCCGGCTGCGGAGCAAGAGCGCCAGCTGCTCCCGCACCTTCTCCGTCTCTGCCTGGCGGTCGCCACGTCCCGAGAAGGTCAAAAGTACGTCGGTCGGCGCAAGCCGGCGCCTTGCGCTCGAGGTTCAGGATGGCCTGAAGAACAATCCGAAAGCTCCGACTCTCCTCTCCTCCTCTCCCTCAAAGACGATCACTTCATCCTGGGCCGCATTGCCTTCGCTGGAATGAAAGAAACCTCTGTCAATCCTGCCATCCTGAGCGGATCGGGAGACCGTTCATCTCGTAACTTCGCCCAGCCGGAAGACCCTGTACCCAGCCGGGCAGCAGCAGCGCTCCGAAGATCCCAATCGCGAACGAGAGGAGCATGGCGATCAGTGGCTCCAGCGCGGACAGCCTTCCAACTACTTCCTCCCGTCAACCCTTGCCGCCCCTGCTCTTGCAGCATTGCACACAGCAGGTTTCACCAAGGACAAGGCAAGGACACGTCAGGAGCATCTGTCACCAAGGACAGAAGCACAAGCGACTCACGTACCTGCAGATGCACACCAAAGCATGCACAACCCGTATCTGGTACTACACCTCCTTTCTCACCTTCTTCATGCCAAGATCCCGCAAAAACAAGCTGCACAGCGTCTTGCAAAAACAGGCCGGCGCACAGAAGGCCTGACAATTGAAATGTGAGGGCGTGTGCAAGTCAAAAGCGAAGCGAAGCACATGATGGGATGTTCCTTTCAAAACCCAACCAGGCCCCCAAAGTGGACATCTGCTTCCTGCAGGGAATGTATGTGATACAATGTCAAGACCAGATAGTTTCTGTATAACTGGATTAGATGAAGGATTCAGTTGTCCTTTCTCTTCCAGACTCCTACATCTAGTCATTGTGCTCATACTGTACCAGACCTTACCAAACTTCGCCTATGCCTGTTCACACTGGTCGCACAATACAATTTTGCAAAGCTTGAATGCAATATCAGCTTGAGTCCTTCTTCTGTTCGATAGTTCGTGGTTGATACACGACATGAATATGGATCAAGTCGGCAGTGGGATCCAGTCGCCTCAGAAGTTGGGCGAGCAGCCAGGAAGCCCACAGCAGGAAGGCCCAGAACAGGCAGGTTCTGACCTTGAAGCATCCATGTTGAAGGGAACTGCTGGATCAAGTATTTCTGTACGTAGTACGACACACATGCAAGTCTCTGCTACAAGCAGAGTCCTGCAATTGACAAAAAGCTCTGGGCTTGAAGCAACAGCCCACCGACGTAGGAATATACTCAGAAGCTGGGTCCTGCACAGCGCAGCTGGCCACACTTACCTGCCAAGACGATAAGGTGCCGTGACGTTTGGCCATCATCGCAAAGCTTCCATTTTCCCATGCGTTCCGAAAAAAACATTCCAAAAGCCAAGTGACGACAGCCCAAAAAGGGTCGGCACCGGAAGCGATCGCCTGGTCGGGTGATGGCTCGATGCCCACACATTGAATTTGTCAACCTGGATGCACTGTTGGTGTTGCTCGAGGCGGTGGCGGTCGCTGTGGCGGTGGTGCATATTTTCGGGCGACAGCAGCTGGCGACGAGAATTATGGTTGATGGCGACCACCAGGATGAGCATGACGGGAGGTGATGAGGAACATGGCGAGCAGGATGAGGACGGAAGCCAACAATGGTGATGATGAAAATGACGATAAGTCAAAAGATGAGGACGCCAGAACAGTGTTGGTAGTGGTAGCGGTAGTGGTCGTGGTCGCAGTCGCGTCGTAGGGGTAGTAGTGGAAGTGGTAGTGGTTGTGGTAGTAGAAGTAATAGTAGTAGCAGTAGACGTAGTAGTAGTAGTAGTAGTAGCAGCAGCAACAGCAGTAGTAGCAGTTGCAGTAGCAGTAGGAGTAGCAGAAGTAGTAGTAGTAGTAGTAGTAGTAGTAGTAGCAGTAGTAGTAGTAGTAGTAGTAGTAGTAGTAGTAGTAGTAGTAGTAGTAGTTGCTGTTGTTGTCGTCGCTGCAGCAGCAGCAGCAGCAGCAGCAAAATTAGAAGCAGGAGCAAGAGTAGGAGTAGGAGTAGTAGGAGTGACAACAACAACAACAACAACGACGACAACGACAACAACAACAACACTGCTAATCATGTCATGACGATACTAACGCTGGCAGTACTAGCGCAAAGCTTCAACCAAATCAGTTCGGCAAGCAGTGGCATCACCGTCGTTCTCGCCACCATCACTTGTGACCCTGCAGCATCATCATCGTCATCATCATATCATGTCATTTAATCATCAACATCCTCTTCATCCGCCTCTGCCCAGTCATCCTCGGAATTGTCAGCATCATCCTTGTCATACCCACTTCATCGCTATCGTGATGAGCTTAGGCTGCTACGTGTCCACCCACCCCTTGCAACCTCTCTGTTCGATCGGCACCACCGCGTGGCTGAAGCGGCTCTCGTCCTCGTGCCGGACGGAGCATCTGCGATTGCATCTTAAAAACTCCTCGATGAGAGGCAAGCAACACCCCCGGGCCGGGCCCCCGGAAAAACGAGTGCGAGCCACTAAAAAACCGTCTTGCTGCACAGGACAGCTCCTCACCACGATTCGCACTAACTCATCGAGCCTCAGAGATGATGCAAAGCTTCGCAGTAGACATCTGTTACAATCAAATCAAAAGTCCGGTGCAGGTGCGATGTTGCGATGCGATGCCCTGCAGGTTTATCAATCTACAAACTCTATTTTCTGGGGCTGCGCATCCGAGACCAGTGCGTGAATGGCTCTGTGCTCCAGGCATGGATGCCGTCCTGCTGAAACCAGGCAAGCGGCAGCGGGGCAGTGAGACACGGGAAAGATCCAATTGCACACTCTCACAGCTGCCTCTAACAACTTTCTAATCTGCTGCAGTCCTCACACTGCAGCCTCAAGCGCGCCCTGGCGGCAAAAACAAGCCCACCTGCGACGATGGAAGGCCCTGTCGTGCCTGTAGTTGGAGCCATTCGTCCGCTGATGGAGATCTTCACCAAGTGAGACAATTGGCTCGACGGACACAAGTTCTGGGCCTGTACATGGCGAGCAAAGACTCAAGCGGAGTGCTTGTCAGCGCGAACATGAAACCCAACCAACAATGCATGCCCGACGTCCGACGTACGGCACATGACCCATGCACCAGGAGGAAAAAATGCCACCTCCAGCGGTGGAAGCAAGGTCGCCTGTCTTCTGCAAGCGACTTGTCCAGTCCTGCAGCTACACGTTGAACCAGATCACAGCGTCAGGCTGGTGGCAACCCCGAGAGAAGCGACATATGGCAGCCTTAATTTCTGCCCGCAGTCGAGTACGCTGCTTTTCCTGGCACGCTTCGCAAGTGACACAGCACGTCACCATGCAATTATGCAACTGATCATTGCATGACTCAACAATACGGTGCGGAGGATACCCATTGATTCAGAAAGGCGGTGGCACGACCAGAATGTTCAGAATTGTGCCTGTCGCACGGGCATTGTTCGGCTTGTAACATGCTTGTCCGATGTTCCACTCCGGCCGGAAACCGTCAAGCCCCTTTCCAGACTGCATACCGGATCAAGCTGCATGAAACCTATCCCAGCCTGGCCTGAACCTGGGACTTCTTGGGCTGTCTGCCGAAGGTGATGTAGACACAGTCGTCGAAACCTTTTCGCTGAACTTTCGCTCAAGCAACAGAAGGAGGACAAACGCCTAAACTCAAAACATGACCACAACCAAATGTCTATATCACAACTGCTACAATCGCACCTTTTCTGAATGGCCTATGCCTATGTTTACTGCCACGCACAAAATCTGCACGAGGCAGCCTGGCCCCCAATCTGCAAGACCCATCAAATTCCTCGCTGTTGTTTGCAAATACCGGCAGTCCAGATTGACACAACCAAGTCGCTCGGCTGCCAAGGGTGGAGCTCCTGGAACTGCTTCCATCCATCCGCCGTTAGCATGCAAAAGCTGCTAGCATAGGAAGCCCGTCCAGTACACTGTGGACAATGCACAGCACATGCGCTGGACTCCTTCGCCGCCCATCAGTGGACTTCACGCCACTCCTTCCGAACTTGACATACAAACTAAATCGCACAATTCAGCGTCACACCAACCTGTTGCAACCATCACAGTTGCCCAAGGCGACCGACTAACAACATGAAAACTTGAAGCTCCTGAACTTGTCGAAAACACTGCGAACTTGTTCGGGCGGCGGTGACATGGCATCGCTTGAAACTCGATGGAACATGCATCAAACCAAACCGCAAAGCCTAGCTTAAGAGAACTATGAACTATGCTTCCAACGTTTGCAGAACATGGCCTAGCGAAAACATGTCGTGGCCAAATGCCAATCCGAAAAAAAAACACATGGACAAGGTTCTCGTGGACCCTTATATTCGGAACCAAGCTCAAACAAAGCGGTTCGACAACAGAAAATGGGCAGCGAAGGTTACGAACATCCAACATGGCCGTAATGGAAAATGAAGCATGATGAAACCTGCTTTCGATCGTGTCTGACGCAATGCTGACAAGTCATGCAGATGCAAAGCAGCCAAACCGATGCAATTCACAAAGTTATGGAATGCAAACGTCCTACAGCGCTGCAGCGCTCTCACACCCAATGGTCCAGCTGCAACACAACGCTCAAGCTAATTGCAAAGTTTGTTCCGCCACGAGCATCTGGTTCCTACAGACTCAAACGCAATCTTGCAAACGTGCAACAATGCAAACAGATTCTTTGGCAGTCCACCTGTAATCTGGCCTTTGTCGACGCGCCAAACGTTTGAACAGAGCGCAAAAGTTTAGTTTTTTTCAAAAGGTTCTCGCCCACATGATTGCGTCCTGTTCCGTGTCCAAATCGCGAACTAAGAAATTCAATCTCCACCGAAGCGTACTTGGAAACGACGTCCGTTTTGCATTGCACAACATCCATGTTGAACATATCGACGTTTGCTAAGTGTTGGGTGGTCAAAAATGAGCACACGAAATCTAATCAGGGCCAACGACTGCAAACAGCATACAAGAAGCCCCGCAAGAATTTGCATTGGCTTGCACAGGAGGATTTCTTTGAATGGACCCACTGCTCAATCAAAAACTGATGCCAACTAAATGTGAACACAACACACAGCCACGCAGCCGAAGCACTGCCGGTGGATACTTTCTCATCAGCTTCATGATCGCAGCTGTATCTCTCTCTTATGAAGCGGGGTGTTCGCTCCACAATCGATCGTCTACCTGAGACCTGATTCAAAACGAAATGGTGTTGAGCCTACAGCCTCGAACCAAAAACGAAAGATCGACAGGGCTCAAGGGCGTAGGACGCAACAATCTTCGGCCCATTGTGGACTTTCTCGCTTCCCTCACTCTCACTCGCTCTGTCGGCTCTCTCCGCTCACTTCGCTCTCCTTCGAGCTCCGATTGGCTTGTCTCAAATTTTCGAGCTAAAAAGGCCGAAGATCGTTGGCTGTCGATCTTGCGTTTTTTGCGCCGAACCAAAATTGTCAACCCAACCCGCGCCGCGGAATTGTCAACCTTGATGTCAATGTCAATCCAACTCGCGCCGTGAAAATGTCAACCCTGTCAATCTAGATGTCAACCCAACTCGCGCCGCAAAAATGTCAACCCAAATGTCGCCGCCGTCGAAATCGAGTTGTCGTCGGCCGTCGTTCCTGTTTCCCGGCAAAGAAACGGTTTCGCAAGAGGCCGCTCCCAGCACCGCGAGCTTACATGAAGCCCCGCAAGCGTTGTTGCCGCATTACGGCGGGCAATTTGCAGCCGACGGCCGGGCATCCAGAACAGCTTTCTTGTGATCAAGTGCAGCCGGTTCCCCTGAGTTTTCGATTGATCCGACTCTCCAGTGTTGGTGCTGTGGCGCAACCGGCCGGCGTTGTGAGATGTGGTCGGAAATTTTCGAAAGAGAGCGAGAAATCCTACCAGGACTGGCCAGAACCTCTGCTGCCCGCACGGTTCAGTGCGTGCAAGGACCCGGGACATCCTCAACAGCATCTTACCGATCTTCGTTTCGAGGCTGGCTCCCGTCGTGCCCCACTCTTCTTGATTACGGTCAGGCTGTTGTTGTAGGTTGGTGTCCGTTGGATTTCACTTTGCAGCTTGCAACCCCAGCCGGGGCCAGAGTCATGATGGCAACATAGGTGCGCGAATCGGCGAAGCCAGCCACCCAGGGCAAGGTTCGAGTGCAAGCGGCAGCTCCCAGCACTGGGGGCTTGCACGCAATGCTGCTGCCGAAGGGTCTTGGCGTCTCAACAGGCCCACGTCGGCACCTCACATGCTCAGGCCACTGGAGTTCGCCAATGGAATGCCGCCGTATCCAAGACTTTGCCAAGCGCACTGCACTTTTGCACAAAGGATTTGAGTTTTGAAAAAGTTTCGTAAAGGCCGGTCAGACCTCCGCATCTCTTTTATACGAGCGTGGCGCTGCCGCAAACGCAAGCTTGCAGATCTTGCTAAGGTCCGTGCTGGGTGCCTGAAGCACCCAATCAAAAATACTATGTCTGAGGCCGAGACGCTGAAAATCTTTGCATTGGCCAAGCTAGCCCTCCAGGGGCGCAATCTCAAGTCGCAGGTGTGATCAGGATCGCCTCTTGCAATTTGTGGAGCTGGCATTTGACGCACTGTCTTGACTCTCCAGCACTTAAAGAATTTTAATCTCGACATTATTTCCCTCCAAGAAGTTGACATCCCAAGCGGTGTGCGGCAGCATACGCCAGGAAGTGGAGAGTTTTGGGATGGCATGTTTTGGCCAAAGCCGAACCACATTCAGGATTGCACAGGATCGCCGTTGCGTGCCGCATCCAGTGCCGCCCTGTCTGTCTGACAACCGAAATTGCGCGGACTCGTCATGCAGCCATTCTCGTGGACAGGCTGAGCACCTCCGCCGACCTCTCCTCATGGTTGCAATTTACAGGTTTTCGAGGGACCCTCCCACCACCAACCTCATGGTGGAAAAGCTCGCGGATTCCGAGGACCACACATTCTCTTAGAAGATTGGAATATGACTTCTGAGGAAGGCTCGGTGCAAAATCATTTGATGTCTGGAACCCTTCGATCCATGGACGAACCCTTCCCATGGAGCTTTGCAGCACGAACCCGGGCCCAACGCGGCGCATTGACTATGGATTATGCGATCCTTTTTTTTTTTGGCTTGACTGGACCTCGTCGACTACGGCTGTAGCACTCAGTCCCTACAAACAAGCAGACAACAAACAAAGCAAAACTACAACAAAGCGGTGTTGTTCCGTCGCGATCATGCACACCAAAATCCAAAAGTCCAATGCTCTCTGCGGTGAGCGGCTTCCAGATCTGATGCGGTGGCCAGAGTCGTGCAACTCAAAGCCGGCCAGCCAGATGCGAACGCACACCGAAGGACGAAACCGAACGATCCATGGTGTGCAAACAGTGGCGTCTTGGATGCAACCGACGGCCACCAATCGCTGCCACAGCACGCTGCCGGGCAGGATGTAGACCGTGCGAATCACTTGTTGTGCGTCGAAAACTCAGTGCAGCGCAAGCGAAGGAACGCCTTAAAGTCCCAAGAATGGGTCGTCCAAGTAGAGCGTGCACCCTGAATCCAGGTTCCCACGCAGTGGTTGTAGCTTCCCACTCAGGAATAACAAGGAGAGAGAAGAACCTCAACGACGTATGTCGTCGGTTACAGCGGCTCCCACAAGAAAGCATTGTCGGCCAGAGACAATCCGACCAACTCTTGAGGGTCCGTTACCACCAGACAACAAAATTGCAAGTGAACCGAATGGGAAATCAAGCTGTACCAGCAGTGTTCATGGACAACTATGGTGCTCCACAAACAACCGTGGAGACTTCTCAAGAGGTGAAGCAACGTGGCTCAAGGTCCGTCACTACTTAGCTATACCAGACAATTGCGAGGTGTTCTGGCAGAGCCTGCACTATCGGCGACTATTGACAAGGCGTAAGGTTCCGCCAGAAGCCCAGTTGAGCTCAGGCTCGGCGCGGATCCTGTAGCTCTTGCGTACAGCTGGGGAGAGGATCAACACAACCACGTTAGTCCCAGGGTCGTCAAAGGCGAAAGTCACCTGGAGGGTCCAGCCGCTGCATCCTGCGGCCAGCTAGGCACTCTCGAGCGCAGAACCGCTGGAAGGGTGCAGCGGAGGAGTTTTGCAGCGACGGGAGCCTGAGGCCCGGCCTCCAACTTCCCTGCATTTCCACTGAGTTTTTGCCACATCTCCATTGCGAAGACTATGACAACAATCAGTATTCATTTACTCGCTGATGGAAATCCACAAGGAGAAGAACTATCAGTTGCTCTTTCTCCTGAAGGAGAGTCAATTGTTCTCCTCTTGGACGACCACCGCTGAGCTGAAAGAGAACCATGACTTAGGCCTCAACACAGAATGGTTCGCTTCGGGGACGGAACTAGCAGGTTGCCGCAGTAGAAAGTCGCCACAGAGCGCTAGTAAGTTAACGCTTTGCGCGTTGTTGCTGTGACTCCCCAGGTCTGCTGGCGACACCCCAGTTGACAGCCCAATATATGGTTAGTTTCAAGGTTTGAGCCGGTATCTGAGCCTCAGTTTGAGCCTTGGGGGAATTTTAGGGTTTCGGGCTCGGGCTGAAGGTAGGGTTTAGGGTTTAGGGAATGTTGGGGGGTAATGCTCATGAGGGCCTGAACGTGCGGCAGAAGCTGCACTGCAACCTCTGTGCCCTCTAGTCAACACTCGTATGTGTTGAGTGTTTGTGTGTTCAAAATTGGGGGGCGAGAAGTAAGAGAAACGAAGCACGAGAGCACGTTTTCGCACGAAGGGCACCCAAAACAAAACAACCCACCACCTCCTTCCCGAGCCGCAGCTCACGACCAACGAAGGGTGAAAAGGGGTGCACGAGGAGAAAAAAAGGAAGGAAGTTTTCGGGGGAGATGACATTGGGAAAACTGAGGTCTGGATACCCCATACCAGGAGAGAAATTATAGAAAGACGAACGCGACGGAAAGAAATGATTTGAAAGAAACCTGGATGCTGACCTGACACTACCCGACAATATGGCTGCACGAACTGACGAACCTCACAGAAAGCTTGTTCGGAATGGATGTTTTGCACACTCATCAACAGCCACTGAGTCTGTTCCCCATGGGATTTGCTGTACAAACTGCCACACTGCCGTTGTTGGAATGCCTCGAGCTGGAAAAAGCACGGCCGCAAGATTTACCGCTTTACCCATCAGTCGAAAATCGTACTCGCAGCTCTTCGAAATGCAACATCGTCGGCCGCATCATCAGCCATGTCCTCTGCCTGCCGCTTTTTTCCACGGCCTTTGCCTTTGCTCTTTCTCTTTGGGCTGGCCGACATCGAAGACTCAGCCGAAGCATCACACAAAGCAGCAGCAGCACGCCGGCCTGGAGAAGCGGCCCCGATCTCATTGCTCCACGAGGCAGATCGGCGGGTGATCAGCCATGCCCTGGAGTTCACGTCACTCAACCGCAACATGTTTGTGAAGCCATACAGTAGGACAGCAAGCGCACTCGGAATGTGCATCGAATTGCCCACAAACGTCTTCATAGTTCTCGAAATCGTTGCCGACGAAGAGGATAGTGAGGCGACGACCTGCATGATGTCGGAGCTGTAGCGGTCGTTCCTGAGAGTTCCCCAACCATGTACATTGAGGAGCTCAGCATCAGTCAAAGCTCGGGCGGATGTGTGCTCCACCAGGTTGCCATGCGTCAACAAGCAGGGCACGAAGGGCGACGGAGTGCATTTTCCAGCGGCCGGGTTCTGCTCCCAATCACAAAAGAAGGGCAAGTCCATCTCCGTGCACGGTCGTTTCTGGCGGATCTGCTCATATGCCGTTGCAGCAGCGGTGTTGCTCGGGTTGGCTGCATTGCACAAGCACTGGAATCGTTCCGCCCTGGTTGCCGGTTCCTGCAGCAGTGCTCCTGCACCCAAGTGAAGCTGACGCAACCTCATGCGGTCTGATAGCTGGGAGCGCCTAGACGACCACGAATCCGTCATATAGCAGTCGCCGTAGGAGGTGGTCTCGGCTCCAAACATTCCGAAGAATCGCTGAGCTTCGTCATCTCCGCTTGGCGGTGGGATCCAAACCATTTTGTCTTTCGCGATGCCAAGCACATACAGCCGAGGTCTGTTGCACGGAAAGCCCAGGTCCTGCCCCAGGCAACACATCCCAATCCAATGCTGCTCTCACTCTGCTTTCATTTCACTGTCACTCACACTTTCGCACTGACTCTCTCTGTCTCTCTCTCTCTCTCTCTCTCTCTCTCTCTCTCTCTCTCTCTCTCTCTCTCTCTCTCTCTCTCTCTCTCTCTCCCTCTCTATGTCTCACTCTCTCTCTCACACACAGACCGTCGCATGTCGCATCACTTGCACTACTCACACGTCACAAGGTTTCAACTCCCGCATGTCGCAAACTCCCTCGCTGTCACCCTCACCGGCCCTCACCTGCACTCTCACTCTCACCCTCGCCCTGGGACTCGGACCTGGGGCCCTGGGGCCCTGACTGGCCCTGGCTCTACCTGACTCTCTCTTGCACTCGATGGACTCAGTGACTCACTGGCACACTGGCACACTGGGCACGGGCACACTGAGCGTTGCATTGACTGAGAGCCCCAGTGAACTGAGCCACTCAGCTTGTTTCTTGTTTGTTCAGCACTGAATGTAGCACTTCAGCCACAAAACGTCGCTCTTGAAAGCCGCCCGCACAGCACCGCCACACAGGTTCGCCCGTGCAGCCGTGCAGGCTTCGATAATCCCAAGCCAAATCTTGATTTTGGCACAGTTCAGACTGCGAGCAGCAAGCCCACACGCAGAACGCACGAGTGCTGGCAGGTGATGTCTATTCGTGTGACAACAGCTCACATGTGACTGATCTACATGCCCTGCACCAAGCATTGCTTCAATCAACCAGATAAACAAACAAACTTGTCAATCTATACTATACTCATGTAACAGTCGGCCAACGCTCGGACTGTCACTTCATGCCTGTTACGTACAACATACACTCAACGCAACACCTGTACTGCACTCAAGCTGCTGGTTGCCAAATCGCATCCCTAGGAAAATTATGGCATCATCACCCATGACTCACGATGCCATCAGGACTTAGATTGCCAGCCCTAGGCCACCAGCGCCACCGGCCCCGGCAATCACGTCAACCTTCACGTTCACTGACCGTTGCCGTCACCTCCTTTCTGAGAAAGCATGTCAATGATCTGGTTGTACTTGTCGCCGGCCTTGCCACACATGATCAAGATGTCTCGCATGGACTTGTACTGATTCAGGTCCTCCTCCGACGTGTCGACAATGAAGAAGCCTTGACGGGCAGCAACAAGCACGGCACCGTCAACAGCAAGCTCGAAGCAAAACCATCCCATTGGAATGCCGATGACCTCTCCGGGGATGGCCTTGTGCATGTACAGCTTGACGCCGGCCTTATGCATCTTCACGAAGGCATCCATGTCCAAGTCCTCCAGCAGGCTGCAAAAGCCATCGACATCGGCAAACTTTGAATCAGGTTTCAGCATGCCAAGCTCCATGAGCCCCTTGACCACATCCGTGCAGGAGAGACACACATGTAGGACCTGACCCATTGCCATGGTTTTCAATGTCAAAGCGCCATTGGCTTGCAAACCAACGAACCGCATCTCGGGGGAGTATCCTGCGAGCCAGGTTGTGTTCTGAAAGGTTTGGCTCGCAGGGAAGGCCTGCATGTTCTTCACGTGGGGGACCATGCCGGAGAACATGTCGACCGTGTTCTCGTGCCCATGCTTGGCCTCGAAAGCAGCCGAGACTCTGCCACGGTTGAGGTAGTCGGGGAAGGCCTTATACTTCACTGCGTAGGCTTGCGTTGTCTTGGTAACGATGGTATTCGTAGACCACTTGTCCACAGCCACAGCAGCGGCACCTCTCAGCACCCAAGGCCCAGACATGCTGGGCAGCTTCCCAACCTCGACTTCCGTGAAGGACTGGAGGCTGAAGCCGTCTGGCAAAGCATTCTGCGACATCTTGTCGAACATGAACTGGCAAGCCACATAGCCCTTCTTGCTGATGCCACCCTTCTTCTCTGCCAACAACGCCTTCGCACGTTGGTCGCTCTGCTCCTTGAAAGCATCCACTTGCTCGCGATCCTTTTTCTTTTGCTCTGCCTGGGCTTTGCGTTGCGCTTCCTTCTGCTGCTGGGCCTTTCGGGACTTGGCGTCCTTGGTGGCCTGGTTGACACCCTTCTCCAAAGACTTCAGAGCAAGCTTCTTGGCACCCCATGCCTCCTTGGCTTCCTCCAGCTGTGCCACGGTTGTGGCCGCTGCCACGACCTTGTCGATGCCGTCTTGGAGTCCTGAGAAAGACTGGAGGTGCTTCACGTGCTCCTCCTGAACCGGCAGCATCTCCGGGTTGTTCTTCAGGAGGTCCTCAACGCTGTCCTTGTCTTTTGCGAAGGAAACATCCTGAAGGAAGTCAACGTCCTTGTACTCAAACACAGCTGCCGAGCAACGCAACCGGAACTCCAGGTGAGGCATCAATGCCTGCAAAGACGGATCGGATGTGGAGTCCGAGTCCTTGCTGCAGGCGGTCCATTGCTCCATGCCTTTCCGGGCTGCCTCTCGCAAACCAGTTTCCAACCCTCGAAGCTCGGCTTTCTGCTTGTTGATAAGCTTGGGCTTCTCGAGGGCCAAGTCCACAGCCTTCTCCTTCTGCGGGCTCGTGTTTGCCTCGGCCCCGGCTGGCGAAGTGCCAGCAGCAGCAGTGGATGGCAGCCCCGGCCCCGTCGGCGTCTGCGGCTGCGAAACGCGAGGAGCCACTCGCCGTGGCTCTCCACGTAGAAAGCTCTCATCAGCTGTTCTGGAAGCAGCAAAAGCCCTGAGATCATCCAGGTCATCCTCGGCCAGTCTCCTCATTGGGCGGCTGTTCTCCACAACCTGCGACTGATTGAAGCGGGCTCTCTTGCGCTGACTAAACTCCGCTGCCGGCACCCAAAGGCGCTGAGCTCCCAGAGCCCCATGGGGCTCTCTGCCCTTGAAGTCCTTCTTGCAAGACACCAGCAACTCCTTCCACCAGTTGGAGGCCCCGGTGCTGGTTAGTCGCTTGGTGTCCGTGGCCCAATGCAGAAACTCGGCTTCCGTCATCGGCCAATCTTGGTCATTGTCGCCATGCTCATCCAAGGTGCCTTCGACGTGCTGGTACTGCGCGAAGTCGTGAGTTCTCTTGCGAGACCATTTCCCATCCACTGGGTTCTTCTCGCACCAATCACGCATCGCCACTTTGCTTCGAATCTCACATGACATGACTTCTTTCAGCTCGTCCTCCTGCCCCTGCTTCCTTGCATTGATAACCATGGCTGCATGAGCCCGCCGGTGATCTTGGCACCAACGCTGATTTCTGCAAGCTTCATTGGGGCAATCCTCAGCAGCACACATCCTTGGCACTTTTGCTGCGGCGGCCTTGCCCTTGGCCTGGGCCACGGTCGGCGGTCGCTGGGCCACCGTAGCACTTCCACTGCCACCGCCACTCTCGATCTGAGTGGATGCCTGACGGCTCTGCTGAGCTGGAGAGTCGCCGTCCATGGTTCCAAGGATGGCAGTGCTCGCACGAGGCACGGTGGCTCACGCTGGATCTTGTCCAAGAAAAACTGCACGATGAATCAGGTATGTCATAACAGTGTCATCTTGGTTTTCAAGTAGTTATGTGACGAGGTATGTGCAGTATGCATAAACACTTGCACAGCTCATTGTTCACATGATTTCCAGCATGCCAGCCCGCCAATCCCACCCAGGGCCCAGGGACGAACGTCCCACAAATCACACCAATCATCGCGTCGCATATATTATTGGTTGAAACAGTGTAAATGGACAGCGGCTTTCGTGAAATTCCAACCCCCTCTTGAGGCTCTGGATTTCGTTTGTTGGAAATCAGGATTTCGTTAACGGATTTGGTGAAATTCCAACCACTGCCAACCACCCCTTGATCAGGGTTTCGTTCACGGATTTGGTGAAATTCCAACCCCATCTTGAGGCTCTGGATTTCGGTGGGTTGGAAATCAGGATTTCGTTAAGATACAATCCACATGACCCAAGCAAACAAGAGCCTTGCTGGCTCCGTGGCTCCGTGGAAAGTGCACCAAAGTCACCAAAGTCACCAAAGGTTTGAGTCACTGACAGTCACTGATATGTGTCCTCATGGCCTTGTGGCAGGTTCGAATCGTACGCAAGGGCAGCCATTCTTTGACAGTCTGATGTATTTTGCATGCAGTGACACACAAACACTCACACAAGCATAGTATAAAGCATACACACACGCGAATCGCACGAACACGGAATCTGCTCATGCGACAGCATGGAATTGAACCTGCACTGTCACTGTCTGCACAGAACATAGACTTCAATGAGTGAAATGCAGCAACACAGCAGGACAGTCCTTGGGTCCGAAGGTCAGAGGCACCAGGTGGTGAGTGTGCCGCAACTTCTGCTCGATCTTCTCGTAGGGGAACAAACTCACATTCTCGAAAAGGAAGAAATCTTCCAGACACTGCTGTCGCTCACTGAGATACACCTGGACGGCCATCTCCGAAGGATCCGCGGCTTGCCGCCGCAGCCCTACTTTGCTGTATGCAACGCAGGGCAGTCCTGCGCAATTCATGAGCACGGGGTTCGTCTTCAGCATGCCGGCCGGCATGCATCTGGACTGCCTAACCTGACACTGCTGCTTGTGCACCAGCAAAATGCTTGATGCTCCGCTGGAAATGCCAATGGACCTTTCTCTGTCAACGAGATGCCGAGCTGCTGATACCAAGCTGCAGCTGCTGTCTTCTGTTCACGATTGGCACAGGCAGGCGTTGTCAGCATCCCCAATTCTTCCCGCACACTGTCGGCCACCATGTCTTCCACAGATTGGAAAAGACATGGTCGTAAGTGACCATCTATCTGATCTGCGCGAGCAAGCAAAAATGCCTGCTGGGCTGCGCCACTGTCACACCAGGAGCTCTTTACGACCCACAAGTCGCCGTCGTCGCCGTCAGTCTCCTCGGCGGCCTCTGCGTGCCCCGCATTTTCTTGCATGGCCAACTGAAGCAGTCTCAAGGCCTCGCCAACTGCGTCAATGCCACTGCACACGCTCTGAACCTTTAGGCCTGCATCCTTGAAGTACTGCAGGCGATCACGGTTTTCTGCATTTCTTGTGGCTTTGCTCAGCAAACTCACTGCGAAGTCTCGCACATGATTGTCTGGGGTCTCACGGGCCAAGGCTGCCATTGCCATGGGGAGGAACTAGAGTAGCTAGAAGGCTTACAGGGCATACGCAGAGTAGTGTTTGGGCGAAAAGCCAACATGCACAGGGTTTGGTGTCTGCCATTACTTTATAATACTTTACCAATGATCACTGACGCACCACCGGGTTCAACTCTCACAAGAACTCGCACTGGCACAGCTGTTCTAGAAAACCACATGCTCGCTAGCGACCCTGCCTGGTCTATTCTTGTTACTTGTGATTCATTCTTGGGAATCTGCAATCATGCTGAATCATGCTCGCCCGCCGTCGGTTCCCCTTGGAACCATACATGTACCACCTGCGTCGGCTGTGCACATCACATGCAAGGACAGCATTTGCTCATCTGCCGGGCACACGAACTGACATGGAAACAAGTAAATATCCCTGACACAAGTAAATATCCCTGACCCAAAACCACCCGGAAACAGTCGCCGAAATTAAGCTGACCCAAAGCCACCTGGCTGCCCCACAATCGCCGAAAGGTAAGCAAACGGCCCCGACCAAACCCGGAAGCTGCAGAGTCCCTGGAAGTGCCAGGATCGCCGAAAGTAAGCAAACAGCTCCGACTCGGCTCCGACCCAAGACTACGGAAGCCCAACTTGCCCGTAGCGCCCAAAACCCTCCATGTACGGCAGTTTGGTGCGCACAAACCCTAAACTGAACAAGTCTTCTAAAGTGCGCTGTTTCTGGCTGTTTCGGCTTCTTCGGAAGGAAATGCACAGAAATGGATAGGATTCGCATAGTTCAATAGATTCTGCGTGATTTTCGCAGAATTCAAGACAAACTGCTCCTACCAAGCAATGTGTTTGCAATTGCAAAGGCATACTCATCTCAACAAATCTCAAAGCAGAGGAAACCCGGAGGAGAACCGGAGGAACCGGAGGAGAACCGGAGGAGAACCGGAGGAGAACCGGAGGAGAACCGGAGGAACCGGAGGAAACCCGGAGGAGAACCGGAGGAGAACCGGAGGAGAACCGGAGGAGAACCGGAGGAGAACCGGAGGAGAACCGGAGGAGAACCGGAGGACCCGGAGGAGAACCGGAGGGCCTCAGAGGCAACCCAAGAGCCGACCACGGAGCAAACTTGCCTCCTAAAGGCTGTCTAAAGGCCAACTCAGCAACTCTTCGACGAAACTCACGCTGCAAATACCGAAAAACGTTGCTCTTGGTTGCATTTGCGACTGTTCCTGAAGTTTGTACCGTTTGTGCTCACACAAGCCGTTGCGGCTGCACTTTAGGCCTACCGCGCGTTCTTGGGGATTTGGCGGCTTTGGGCTCCAGGTTGGTTTGGGCAAGCGGGTTGCTGGCACCCAAGGGTTTAACGTCACGCAATCATTATTTTTGAGGGCTTCCTTGACCTGCTGTGTGAACCACAACCACTCAGTCAAAGCAGCTGGTCTCCAAGTCATCATTCAGCATCACCACCACTGTGCCACCACTACTATAGCATCACCAAGCATCATCCACACCAGCAGCATCAACATACTCATCTTCACAGCCAGCAGCAACATCACCGCTCATCACCATCATCATATCCATAATCGCACCATCTTTTGGCAACAGCAAGACAACATGACCACTACCAGCACCCAAGCATCAGCATGATCATCATCGTCGTCGTCATCATCAGATCATCACACATCACCATCACCATCACGCCGTCACCACCACCACCACCACCACCACCACCACCACCGCCGCCTCGCACCCTCATCCTAAGTCTTAACCTTTCATCACCACAGTCGCCGTCACCATCATCAGGATGATTCATCATCTTCTTCGTTCGGTACTAATATCACCTTCTCTGCTAGGGCAAGGGGACACTATGCTAGACACACAAGTACGAGCTGCACGGCGAAGTGCCACAGACCAGAGACTACATTTCATGATGGGGTGCATGAGCTTCAACACGGTAACTCTGCTGACTCCCCGACTCGCTGAATGGTGAGCGCTTTTTGTTTGGGCTTTCCTAACTTGAGGACACGGACAGAAGGTTCAAACACCTATAGACCTCTGACCTTGTTACGTCTGCTGTGTGCCGTTGACATGTGCCAGCGCTGTGCCACACACACACACACCAGAACCAGCAAACTGAAACATCCATGCACTGATTGCACCTGACGACAGCACTCAAGCACTCAGACTCTTTCCCCCTCAATCGAAGCCGAAGCCTTGTGCATCCAGCTGAGCTGCCGCGGGTGCCACACCAGGAATACTATGCGGGCACCGATGAACATGCTCTTGCCTGTTCGCATAGTGCCTTGCTTGAAGGCACCACCACTTCAACTTGAGCAACGCATTATCTTCACCGCCATGAGCAGAGAACAGGAGTGTCCGACGGCACTGCTCATGTGCTGCATGCTTGCAGGTGGCCTCGTATCCTGTTGTGCTCCCATCACTGCCCTTGATGGGAGTAAACTTACAGCCTCTCCAGAAAAAGGTAAGGGGTCCGAGTGCACCGCCACCGCCGGCACGAGCTTTTGCCTTGGCCTTGCCTTTAGCCTTGGATTTTGCTTTCGCCTTTGCCTTTGCTTTGGGAGCCGGTGCGCCGTCCGTGGCTCCACTGCCGGTGGAGATGCTGCCTGAGCCACTGCCACTTGAATCACCTGAGCTGCTATCAGACGTGCCACTGCTGGAATCGGAATCTGAGGTGCTCCCACTGCTGCTGGAATTGCCACTGTAGCTAGGCTCCGCCGGTGCCGGCTCGGGCATTGAAGGCAGGATGTCGCCCACTCCTCCGCCGTCGTCTGCAGAGTCTGCAGCTGCCTCAGCTGCCTCAATTTCAACTTCAGCTGCTGCTTCATCTTCGTCGATCTCATCTATCATGCGAAGCAATGCATCGACATCACCAGCATCATCGGAATCGCCGGGGCCATCCTGGGCATCCTGGGCATCTTCTACAGCAGCAACAGGAGATGCATCACAGACAGCACTGGCACCACCATCGTCACGCTCAATGGCTGCCGGGTGAGCACCGCCCTCTGGAAGCGGCTCGGGGCGTTGTTGCTGTTTCAATCTTCTCCTTTTGCGTGCGGGCGGCCGCACAGGGACATGATCTAACCATTCATCGCCTTCTGCAATGGCACGGAAGGCACGCACTCTGGCACGTGACGCCCGTGGCTCTGGCAACGCAAGGTCAGGAACACCGCTGAGGAGCCTTCTGTACACATCTGCTGATTGACCGTGCCGAACTGGCTGCAAGTCATGCTGCACAGCCAATGTCAAAGCGAGCAGGTACAGGCGATCAACCACGACACCGGACTTTTGCTGCACAAGGAACAAAATCTTGCTAGCAGGCAAAACCCTGTGATCAAAGGGCACAGCTGATCGGCACTGGCTTGCACGGCAAACACGTGCTTCCCAGCCGTCGTCCAACAGTGTTTGCAGCAGCTGCCACTTCGACTGCTCCACAGGTGGAACAGGCAACTTCGCAAGCAGAAGACGTGGGTGGGTCACGGCATTGGCCAAACAAACATGTCGCAAACCTTTGTCTGTGAGCTTGAATGGTGGATCCTCAGTCAGCAGACCGTTTTGCTGCAAAGGCAACAGAAGTGATCGTTGCTCAGCCGTGAAGGATGATGTGTCTGCCACGCCTGCCTTGCCTTTCAAGAAAATCTTCTCAAGCACGACTCGCAAGGCCCGCGAATCTGACAGGGGAGGCGAGTAGTCTTGGCAAGACCGCAAACAATATACAATGCTGGGGTCAACTTTCAACACTCTCAAGGATTTCAGTTGCGACAAGGACAAGCTGCTAAATGAAAGCACACAAGGAAGGTCGTCCACAGCAAGGCCTCGGACTGCAGACCGCATGTTAAGCAACTCCGAATCAACGAGCAGCTCTCTTCGCTCCTGGCTGAAGGAAGCCGCCCGAAGCAACGCGATGGGGAGGTCCGTGCTGCTCAGTCGCAGCTCACCGTCAGCTTGGAAGCGTTTCATCTTCGACATGGATGGCAACAACTTGAAAAAGACGCCTGTCATCTGATGATGTGTTGCTTCTGCCTGGCTGATTTTCTGAAAGAGAACATCTATTTCTCTGCGAGGGCCAGGGCCGGATGCCTCAACTATTTCATCGGATGCAACCACCTCAGATGATGAGTACGTCAACATCGGCATCGGCTGCTGCTCCTGCGAGGGAAGCAAGAACTCACGAAGCAGGGCGAAAGCCCCAGACTCATAGGCCACAGCAAACACCACAGGTTCTCCCGAGTTCCTAACAACAGGCAAGCGATCAAGCACATGTTCCAAAGCAAGTCGATGCAGAATCGGCCCCAGCGCTGTGGCCTCAACTGCATGCTCCTCTGCCGTTGGGGGCGCTGGCCGCCGGGCCGATTTAGTGGCTGGGTCACGCACAAACACTTCTGGCATGGTCTGATGCTGACTCAACATGTCGGCACGATACAACAAATCTCGAACCCGCCTGTCACGGGGCCTAGAAGATTCCACAAACGCTGGATGCAGCCCCAGCCTCATGGTTTTGGCCGCCTTTTTGTAACTTCGGCACTCATTCACACACGGCGCAAGCTGCGCAACGAAATCCTTGGGGTTTCCGCACATTGCATCTCGCAAGTCTTTGGCTCGGATCTGCAAGGACATGTATGCTGGGGAATGGCATGGGCTCTTCTTGGAGCCCTTCTGTGTGCGGGCATGCTGGGCTTCCACACGTCGCTCTGCAGTGGGAATTAATGCCAAGCCTGCGATCTCAGCTGCAAACAATGGACACGAACTCAAATCTGCACCGCAACACCATTGGTCACCCTGCTGCAAGACATCTCGCGAAAACAAGCGAGGCAACTGCTTGCGAAGCCGGACGGCCTCAGGCCCCTCATCCGACAGACACCGGATGCGATTCCAGACCTCACGAGCACGCTCCTGATCATGGTGAGCAAGGCCTGCAGCACACCATGGAAAACTTCGGAAATGAGAGGTTTTCAAGGTAAGCACAGCCGTCAAAAACGACCGACCCAACTCAAAGTCTTGCACAATCTTGGTTCGCTCCTCTACTGGAAGATCCGGGGGGAAGCCTTGAACTAATGACGTAGCCCCATGCGACGACAAAGCAGAAAGCTCTTGCATGAAGTCATTCAACGCCAACTCCGGGGCACGACGGCCCCGCATCGGGCATGATTCCAGGAGACACCTAGTCGAAGCATCCATTGAAGCTGCACCACCACCTGTGAGAAGATGCCAGTGACACGGGCATCCTTCTGACCATGCAATCAAATGCAGGGTCACTTCTGACAAGAGCACAAGCATGGACAGGTATGCTTCAAAGAAGGGGCATCGCACGAGTGCATCGACCTCTGCAATGGATGCACCTTCTGCTTCGCCTTGACCGGCGACGGCACCTCCTTCCAGATACTTTGGCAAGCTCCAACCCCACCTCACGGCAGGCAACACTTCCTGCAGATCTAAAGCGCATGAAGCAACCGTGCCCCAGCGACCACGATAGCATTGAGACCTGAACTTTGACACAGCTTGCTTGAAGACGGCCTCGCCGGGAAGACCCTGACTAAAGCACTTGGCCAGCAGCCGCTCCTTGGAATGCCTCTCTCGCAAAAATTTCGCCAGGACTGACATCTTCGAAACTTGCTCATCGTAGCACTCCATGCAGGAACCCAAATCTTTTGTTGCATTATGGATTATGTGCAAGAGGCCGCCTACACCGAAAGAATTTTCAAGGGATACAGGCCCATCATCTTCATTTTGGGGGCAGACTGGAACAGAGTCTGAATCCAAGAATTCCTCGAGCCCTGCTTGGACCGAAAACCCTACATTTACATCATCATCATCCCCAAGGCTTGGCTCTGCTACTACTTGAAAACCCTGACCCTGACAATCACTCGCCTGTGGCTGGCAAGACTCAGCCTTATCTGCCCTGGGTGGCTCGAAAAACGGTAGCATGGCAGACAGCTCAAAAGGCTCCAGTCTCGTAAGCAAACTCTCCACGCCAAGGTCTGTCGTGATACTCACAACACTCTTCAGCAATTGCCGCAGGATTGTAAAGTCTCCAGCAATCAGATGCAGAGAATGCAAAAAAGCAGACAGGCGATGGCCTGCATTGGCCGACCTGCCACCGAGCGTCGTAGGAGGTGGGATGAGCTGAACGATCTTTCGTCGCATCTGCTGGATGGTCAAGCGGATGCCGGGCGAGATGCTTTCAGACCTTGGATTCGCAATACAATCGCTGGGTGACCCAAGTGACCAGAGCACATACTCCTGACGATATGCACAGCCAAGTCATGCCATCGTATTTCTAGCGTTTGCAGTGCAGCTACGTCAAAGCATGACCACGACACAATGTTAGACGACAGAGGGTCCTAGACTCACAGACTCACACTTGACAACTGTCAAACTGTCAAACTACATAAAGCTGACTGCTGCTTCGTTACTGCCGGCAGGAGTGCACGTAGGACAACAGCTCTGCAGCATGTTGATGCTCAACAAAATCCAGCACAGTAACTTCATAATCGCGGCCGCCTTGTGGAGAGGAATCTGTCAAAGCGAAAATGAAAACTCCCTTCAACAAGCTCGCCTGGACCTTAGCCTGTTGCAACAGTGCAAAGCCCATGTCCAAAGCAGCACGTCTCTGCGAAATGATTGCTTTCGACGGCAAGTATAGCCTGTCATCTGCTGTCAGTCTGTCAATCCATGCCGCAGCAAGCTTCTCCGGCAAAAGTAAGCAAGCGGCTAGTTTCATAGCATGCGCCAATTCACCATCGCTGTTTAAAGTCATAGCACACAGCATGGACTCAACTAAGAAACCGATGTTGAATGCGAATCCATGATTCGCGACGGCCACATACGCATGCCTCTTACTCGCCAGCAGCAAACTCTCAGCATGTTGATAACGCATGCCTTCCACAAAATCTTTCCAGACTGTAGGGTCGACAAAATCATCTGCACCCTGCCCCAAAGCAGCAACACAATCTGCCAACCCCCAGAGCTTCACTGGATCGTGGATGCAATCAATTTGCTTCGCAGCTCCTGCAGCTTGGGCAGACACCGCTTCTTCAAGAGCGGGTCTCTTACCGAAGACTCGCAATGCCGGCCACTGCTCAATCCGTTTTCGCTGGCCACCAACAAGACCAGAAACAAATTTGCGACCTTTTGTCATACCGTAGGAATCATGATTCCAAGCCACCGGCAGATCCGGGACAACAACTACAGACCATTGCTTTGCCAAAATGAGCATGGCATACGGATATGGAAGTCGTAGAACTTGGGTAAAAGGATACGAGAATACAGGATGACACTCCTCAGGCCACACTGAGCGCAACCGCTCTTGCTGCCCACTTTCCAACTCTGTGAAAAAACAGCCACCACGTCTGCCAGCTATGGTGAACCACTCTTGCGGCTGCTGTAGCAGCATACTTTCTGAAACATCGAACAACAATGCGAAACCATCTAGAGGCCGGCCAGCAAGGGCCGTCCAATGTGACAGCTGATGCTCGGCCTCGGGTCCTATCAATGTTGCATCTCGGAAAACTACTCGCTCACGAGGACGCAACGCCACTGCTCCCAGAATATGGCAGTCGGCAGGTGACAATGTTTCGAATGGTGTGTCACGCACTGCATCACGAAAGGCAGGCACCAAGGCTTCTGTCAGGCATATATCCCGATCTTGCTCTTGCTTTCTACTGTATTTCATGCCATGGCGATTTGAAGTTAAGAAAGACTGTGATGCAACTGTTGCCACAAACACGCACCGCACGTCGCCTTGCATAACGGCGACCAGGGTTTGCCAGGCTAGGGCTAGCACTGGCAAAAACAGTCGAACCAGTAGCAGCATCAGCTCAAAGAACTTTCTTATCCATGCCGGCTGCGCTTGCCGGAGAAATCTCGCTACGATGCTCCTACGATGGAGGTTCGAAGTTGCAAGATTCTAGAGTTCCTGCCTGACTGCCTGCGTGCGAGTGTTAAAGCTTTTTCGCTTTACAACTGCAATGGTGATGGGAAATGACAACTACGACTATGACTGGCACAGAAAAGTCTCCGAATGCTTCCCAGGCTTCTTCCGCTCTAGCCCTAGCCTTCCTACAACCGCTCATCTCATGGGACTATCGAAGCTGTCGAAGATCCTATCATGAATCATGTCTGAAGTGTTCTGAGTCTCTCGAACTCAAACAGCTGGCTCGCACCGGCAACGGTCCACTTCGTTGAAAAATCCGAAACGCGAAAGCTTCCACTGATTGACTGATTGACTGTCTGACTGATTGAATCGCGGCCGGCGGCCGGGCAGCCCGGCAAAAAAATGTTCAAGGCGGGCCGCGGCCGAAACGAAGCTTTCAAAGTTCCAAAACTGCCGAAACAAAGATCCCCAAAGCTGCCGCATCTTAAGACTCTCCGGACTTCGGACTGACTGGGCTGTGGCTTGAAGCTTGAAGCGAAAGAGGGGAACTTGGGGGAAGTTAAGGTACTTCGGGACTTCGGGACTTAGGGTCTTTTTTTTTTTTTGCGCACTCAAGTCACACGAGTCACACGGCAATGAAACCAACACACCGGACCCAGAACCAAAGTGCGTGACGCGGCGATCACAGTCACCACCCTGCCTCCCAACTTGCCCTCCAACCAATCCTAACCTGGACCCCCCACCCCCACACACCACAAAGGAAAGCGTTAACTTACTACTCTCGGCGAGCTGGCCTCTTCCTTGGCCGGTGGTTCTGCCGGTGCCGCCGGCGGGGCTTCCCGCACGCCCTTGTTGCGGCGCAGCCTCGGGTCTCGGCCCGATTCTCCGCAAAGCGTTGGGGCGTGAAGGGTCCTTCGGGCTTTCCTTCGCTCTCCGAGGACTCTAGCCGAACCGCGCGTACGCGCTCGGCCTGGCGGTTCGCTGCCGCCACAAAAGCGGGATGGATAGGACGCCCCGGGCTGTCCTCCTCCTCGCTGTGCGACGGTGCTACCACAGCTAGTGGGGCCTCCGGCGCGACCTCCCTCAAGACAACTGGCGGCGGCCGTCTCTCGCTTGAGGGGCTCTGCGGGGGAGTCCTTGGATCTGGGATCCTCGGAGGAGTCCTGGGTTCAGGGATCCCAGGCTCGTCGGCCGGCTGGACCCACTCCCACCAAGGCTTTCCTTTGTGCTTGGTGGGCGTGGGTCGCGGCTGCCACGCCGCCTCGGCGGTCCAGCGGTTCCCCCCGCTACTGCTGGCCGCTTCTCTGCGGTTCCAGTCCTCTACTCCGTTCCAATCCCGCCACGGATCGTCAGGAGCTTCTGCCTGGTCCTGCTCCCAGGCTTGCTCTTGCCAGTCCTCCCAGTGCTGGCTTTCCTCGGTGGGTTCGTCCCACCAGTTCTGCCGAGACCAATGCTCTCGATTCCAACCTTCTTGGTCGCGTCCCCAGCGGGACGTTGCGACTAAGAAGGGCGGTTCCACCCGCGCGTGGCGGGTAAAACCTAAAAATGGAGGGGCCGCGCAAACAGCTGCGGCTCCCTTCCCGGTTTCTCGGCCCGGGTGCCGGAAGGAGGAAGTCCTCGCTCTGGGCGGGACTACCCGCGCTCAGCCTCCACTAGCGCTCAGATACCGGGTTTTTCAGGTCCCGCGGTGACCCGCAGCCAGCCACGAGAACCTCGAATGAGGAACTCGCGGGGCTGCCCGCTGTCCGGAGTTGCTGGTCCTGTGCTCAGCAGAGCTCCGCTACCATGCGAAGCCTCAAAGGCCGGGTTCCTACCTACGGCTGCCTACTGGGCTCAAGGCAGGCACGCCTCTTTTCGGAACCTCAAAAGGGCTGCGGTGCGCAGTGGTTGAAGCGTAAACTGTACAAGCAAAACACAAGGGGTAGCCTAGCTCAAGCCCTTGGGTGTTGGATTAAGGGATTCCTACGTGATTTCTCGCAAAAAATCGACTTCATTTCATTAACATTCGTTTAGATAGGGAAGTTATGATTAAAAGAAATGGTTTGAATTTTTTCAATGATTCATTGAAGTCGTTAACTTGGCCCTTGGGTCTAATTCTCTCATTAATAATACTGGCTTGGGTTTTGGTTCTTCTAAGCATACACATTAAACTCACGTCTCGGGCCCTAACTTGCCACAGACAATACAGCAGGCCGCACTCAAGGCGTTGCAGAATATCAGTTGGCAACAGCTGAAAAGCCAGAATTCCATCATGGCTGCTTCCAAACAATGCCGATTGGGTGATACTGCGGACATTTGCGAGCGCATGGCGCATTTGCAGGGTCGGTGGCACAAGCCTGCAATGCGTGGATCTGGCCCTTTTCGTTTTTTGAAGCCGCGAAAACCTCAGAAAAACGTCTTTCATTTCTACGTAAGAAGAGAGCCACACGAAAACGCTTCGGGGTGTTAAAGCAAAGAAATATGAGTAATGGATCTGAAACATCGTCTCCAGCGAACAAGAAAGCTTTGCGAAAACACTGCCAAGAGGGGTGAAAGCGAGCAATTCAGAACTGGACCAAGACTGAAAGTTCTCCAACAAACAAAAAAGACTTCAAACACCTCCCGCTCTCTGATTTGTTTGGCGTGGGCGGGCCTCAAAGACAGCAGTTGCTGCACTCGGTCCCAGTAAGAACTACAATAATGCCAATAACAACAACAACTATACAAAACAGAAAACTACGCATAACAGGGTGAGACGGGCCGCGACTAGCAGACTTAGCCGGCAGACGTCGTTCGGCAAGACATGCCCGGCACCTAGCAGCTAGCAACTACCACCGCTCAGATGCCCCGCTTCCCAGTTGGACTGAGTCGCGCAATGGCACACATATTGCCCAGCATCCAAAAAGAGTCGGACAATACAACACACCCATCCCGGCCGTTTTTTGCACTTAGCCCAGCTTCCCAAAGAGGGCCTCGCAAGGGCAAAACGGAGAGGCACTTGGTGTGGAAGAATGCGCCCAAGCACCCATACAGAAGCGAAGAGCGTGCCGCAGTGGCAAGTGCATGAGCACCTTTAATTCAAGCCCAGCTTCCCACCAGTGTGGGCCTCGCAAGGGCAGACACTCTGATTTTTGCACTATGACAGCAAACAGGTAGCAATGGACAGGGGCCATACTGGGCAATCAGCAGCTTGTAGGACGCCACGCGTTCCCAGCCCAGCTTCCCAATCGTGGGTATCGCAAGGGCAGAGAAAAAACAGGCAGCGACCACGCCGAACACCACACTATATTCACTATATAAAGACATGTTCGACCCTGACCTGCTCAATAAATGCACCCAAGCCCAGCCTCGCAAGGGCAGGGGCTAATCGGAGCTGGAGGAAGCCCGGCCAAGTAGGATGGAAGCCTGGAGCGGAGAGCAGCTCACCCCAAGGGCTCCATGGGAAAGTAAAGCCGTCTCGCCAGACCAGGCCATCCCTCAGCCCAGGGTTGCATTGCTGTTAAGGCCGACCGTATGTCCTCGGCGCGAAAGAAATCAGTGCCTTCGTATAGTGCGAGGACAATCCGACAGATATGTCGCGACACCGGAGCCAGCACCATTAAGGCCTCGAGATCGATTTGTAGAATGGTGGCGCGCACCTGAAAGCCAAGTCGTACGATCAACTGGAAGTTGGTCGCAACCCAGACTCCTCGGAAGGTGCGCTGCGCCAAGAAGGCAGAGACCCGGTCCTGATACTCAGCAAACTGCTGTCGAAGAGCCAGGCCAGCTGCCCGTCGCTCATGCGGGTCGATTGTGGACAACAATTGCCGAGTGGCATCCGATGGTGGGGCACAGAAGAGCACATGCAGCGAGCGCCCAGAGACGTAGTGGACAATCTGAGCCACAAGATTCTCAGGAAGCGTGGCCATGGCTCGTAACCTAGCCTGCACTCAGAGAACCGATGCGGCTGCGAGGGATGCAAAGCACGTGCCAGGCGAGATGATCACATCCACAAGCCCAGCTTCCCACCAAGTGGGCCTCGCAAGGGCAAAAAGCAGGGGCCGATGAACTGAAGGTCGTGTCAAGCAGACAGGTCGCCATGGACCCCACCGCTGCATAAACACAGACAGGGGCAGCTCGTGGACAAAAAGAGTGCCCGGCCGTACCACGGGCTCGCCCCTACGCACACCTTACCAGAGACACACGGGAGCCAGCCCAGCTTCCCACCAGAGTGGGGCTCGCAAGGGCAGGACTGCAATCCCGAAGCAATCACATCCACAAGCCCAGCTTCCCACCAAGTGGGCCTCACAGGGGCACGAAACCAAGCCACCGCCGGACCTTGGCGGCACTAATAAGCTGCCCACACCCTCCTTGGCGGCGACATGGACTTGATCGCCTCTGACGGTCCTGTAAGAAAAGACGCCTACACTCGTTTCAGGGGCATGAAAAAAAAACAAAACACAAAGACATGAAAATTCCAGAGACGCAAAGGCCGCTTTTAGTTTAGCGGGGTTCACCAGGTTTCAACTCAAGACAAAAACAAAACACAAAGATTCGTTCACCCAGTTTCAACCCGGCTTCACCAGACATATTTTCACACAACAGTCTGTAAGATCCACTGTTGACAATCGTTGTGAACGAGAACATGACAGACAGAACAAAACGCAATCAGCAGAAATTCTAACTCAGACAAAAACGCTCTTCAAACTTCCGCATGGACCAAGCACGGGGTCTGAAAAAAGATATCTCGGGGTCGAAAAAAAAAGCAGCCCATGCAGTTTATGATGATGATACGGAACGGCGCCGGGCCCAATTGCATTTGCGAGGCCCCGACAGGGCGCTGACCGGACGGCGCGACAGCCCATGGCATCCAGCTACTTCTTTCCTGTTTTTGACACAATTGATCCTTACATAGTCACGCTGGATGTCAAGGACGGCCACAAGCTCTCCTTATATGGCTTGCGAGCTCATTGGGGACGGGACCTTTCCATCCTTGCCTTTGTGACCATCCATTCCCTTCTTCCCTTTTTGCCCTTTCTCGGGGTCTTTACCAGACCCCCAACTGTCATTGTGCCGCTTTCTCCGACTCTGGAGAGCAACTGGAGAAGTGAAGTACTGTTTCTTGGAGCTGCGCATCCTTTGATGCTCATTGCGATTCACTATTGCGGGTGGCATGCACCGCAGGTTCGCCTGCAGCCGTAGTGCTGGCGCATCGGATCAGGCCCCGCGAACTTTGATGCCACATCCCAGCCCCGCCCAGGCCATTCGGCTTTGCGGCGGTGTCTGGGATGATGAGGATTTGGAGCGTGGATCATGTGCGACTCTGGTGCCCCTTGCTGGCTGTGGCGCCCCCACCATTGGCTTCACATTGTACTCAGGGCCTCTCTTCGGAACGGTGCCACCACGGATGTGCTGTGTCTATGGCCCTGCGTGTCGTCCGATGAGGTTCGTTCTTGCTGACTGCTTGCAGCTGTACCACAAGTCTGCGCCTGCCAGACTCTTCACAGTGCTCCCTTTCTTCAGAATGACTTCGGAAGCTGTTTCGCATCCCTCAAGGATCCATATCCCGAACGATTGTCGAAAATTGGCAAACCAACCTGGTCGTCTTCCAAGATGCATATGCAAACAAGAATTCTTTCCAAAAAACAACAACTTTGTGGAAAAATTGGAACACGGAGGCAAACACTGCAGCACAACATAAATACTTGCAAAACCGAGTTTTGCAAAGAATCCTGAGTCTGGCGATTAACCCCATCCAGTATTCTCGGATGCTGCTGCAGCAGTCTTCCAGCAACTTCGGTGAGACAACAGACACGAGAATTATGAGCTGCAGGTCGTGTCAAGCAGACAGGCCGCCGTGGACAGCACAGCTGCTTGTGGCGCATAAAGAACATGACGCAAACCCGGACCATCCCGCAGCGAAGAGCCGAGCCACACGGCCTCAAACTGCATGGGTATTGCCGGCTGCACCAGGTATTTGGTCTTCGATTGACTTTTTGCCTTGTTCGAACGCCCTTGTTTGCTGCAACCCAGAGCAAGTGGGAAGCCAACCAAGGGTAGCGGGCACGGTAAGTTGGCTGGGCCAGCATGCTGGAGGCCGCAAAATGTTTTTTTCTTGGTATTTTGGACTTTGGTGTGCACGCTGCGAAGCTCGTTGTCCTACGGGACGTGAACGACACGGAGTCTTGACTTGGCACCCTCCCAAGTAGTTTGGAGCGACGGCTCCAGCCTACCGTCAGCTGCGGAGCTAGACGTAATCCGCTCGCCGCAATCATTCTTGAGACGTAGTTGGTGAGTTCCTGTTTCACCCTTTGTCTGTTTGCAGTTTTCGTAGTTTCGTTAGGGACTGAGAGCTGGCGAGGCTCGCACACGCCAACAAAATGCGCCGGTTTCAGGTTTGATGTTTCGGGTTTCGTGTATAGGATTATCGCGTTTCGGGTTTTAGGATTGGGTTTTAAAGTTTTCAGGTTTTCGGGTTTAGGGCTGAGGAAAGGTTTTGTCTAGACTTAGCTGACGTGCTTGGCTCCGCGAAAATAAATAGTATTGGAGGTGTCAAATTCTGCAAGTTTTGGCACTTGGCTGCGCGACGCGCCTCACAGCAGCTGCCAAGGCTGAAGTATGCCTCGGGTGCAGTTTTTGCGCCGCCGAGACACAACATCCATAGATGTTCCGCACATATTTTGACAGGTTGGAAGGTTTGCAAGCGAAGCGAGGTGCTTTGTCTTGTGAATAGGGTCGGATCGGACAAAAGATTGTGACAAGTTGTGGACATTTGTCGAAGCCAAAACATGCTCGGCATACCATCACCATGACTTCGCTGAACCTGCGCTTGATATTCTTGATGTGGCTGTACAGGTGCCAACGTCCTTTGTGACATCATGAGTTTAGCGGATGGCTGATCGCAGTTGAAAAGCTTTTCGTGATGTAGGCTAACTGTCGGGAACATGTGCTCATCGTGCTTTACTGCGGAATCCCTGCTTGAACGGGGGGCCAATTGTGTTCCTCAGGCTTTCCTTTTTGTTGAAGAGCACCCCTAAACTCAGTCAAGCCCAAATCTCAACGAACTAGCATGCTTTTGTTCAACATGCTAGTTCAATGCATCAAAGCGCAACGGTTTTTCCATGAATATATGGGCATGCATTTGCGGCTAATGCTATGCACATACCTGTTCACAACGTGGCCGGTCGCGAACGTTGCATGCAATGTTTGTTGTCACATCCTATTGGCGACTATCTCGTCCCCGTTTGATTTGACGCCAGTGCACAGTGTACACCCTGAAGTGATTGTAGGGTCCTTTGAAGGTGCACGCTTGCGGGGCATACGACACGACCACTGGCACCACATCCAATGCATTTTTTTTACATTCAGTTTGATTTTGGCCCGAGCCCACAGGGATCGAGCATCTGATATTTCTCGGTTGCGCCCTTGGTCGAAAACGCCGTCATGTTGTTCTTGTCCGGTGATTGCCCGTGTCAGGTAACTTTGCGCAAAGGACGAGCGATGACTCGATTTGCGAGTGTCCTTGCCACTTTCCGAGTCCGTGTGCTAGTCGTACGGTTGAGTGGGTTGAACTGATTTAGACTGAAGGCTTTTGTACCATGGCTTCTTCCACGAGAAGCCTGGGCTTACATTCCATCCTACGGCAACACCAGCTGTCTGCTTTGGCAGGCCATGAGCTTCTTGTGAGGCAGCACATCATCCAACTGGAATATGTGCAATTTTTTCCGCCCGCAGGGAGACGGATGCGAAAACATTCGAGAAGAGACGTTGTGCGCCGGGGCCTGTGTACTGGTGTGGGCGAGCCGCAAACGATTGTTGTGTCCATTGCGATTGAACTGAAAGTATGACCTCAGGTAAACAGCCGTGACGGCATGGCCCACGACTTGTTTGGCAACGTCAGATTAGGCTTGCACATAAATACACTGTAGTGGCCACGACTGTACCATGCTCGAAGATGGCAGCTTTGTGCATACAGGCAAGCCCTGTGCTTGGCACAAGGCTGGTGTGTGCGCGTGGGTGACCTGGTGGTTTGCAGGAAGCGCGAGATTCAGCAGCCAATCAAAGTCCGAGGCGAGTCGACGATTGGACTCGCCGGCAAGAAAATCCAAGTCCCCGTCCCAGCTTCTGTCATGTTGTCAGCTGCTGTCGAAGGCTGCTAGATTCTAGATTCGAGCCCATCTGCGAGAGGTGACTACACAGTGGCCAAATGCAAGGCCAAACTGAATGCGGGATCTGTGTCAAACAATGGAATGTACCCCGCCACGCGTGGTCCGTGATCAGGAGGGAGCAGGCATTGACGAGACGATTGCAGCGGTGAAGCCTCCTGCGGCTTCCCAGGGCCAGTTCAGCTCGGACACCAGAGCACGCTCCCCAGAGACATAAGTTTGGCATAGTCATGGAAAAGCATTTGTATACACCGTAAACTTGTCGTGGCTCTGCACAGCTGCACAGGCCCACATGCCGTGGAGCAAGGTTGACCTGATGCCGATGGATGGTGGTTCCGATCGAGCTTGCCGTGGAGTGATGCAGACCCAAACAGGGTTGACCCGGCGAGTAATGTCCATACACGCGTTCTGGCAATCACAATAAACCGCCAGGCATGTTGCGCGATTGTACAACATCTGGACTGCTTGCTGTGATTCGTTCGGAATGGGTCTGACATCATCGTAGACAATTTGTGCCCCTTATGTGCCATTCTGAAGTTATGAATACGAATTTCAGGACTGCATCGAACATCAATGACTGCAAGGTGCCAATAGTGCGGTGTCCGCTTTGGTGCCAGCTGTCTTCGAGATGTTTCGTCCAGGCTCTTTGCACCGGTTCCTGCAAAGGGGTCGAGTTTCAAGCGGAGAACAAATACTGCGAGGCAGGCTTTTCTTCCGAATGTGATTGATATATGTGGCTTTCCCTCATGATGATTGCAGGTTTGGTATGGAGATGTTCTCTTCTCAACAGAGAATCCAGGTTTTGAATGTCGTGTGCTCAGGCTTTTGTATGTTAACCAGGAAGCGGTGCGAGAGTCGGTCGTTTGGGATCAAGGTTATGTTCGTAAGGACGAGGCCAGTACTGTCGACTGAAAGTTACTGGGACATGACTGGATCTGGCCCCAAATATTGTCCAGGACCAAGCCGCCAAGTTGGCGCTGGTCAAGCCAAAGGACGGAGGGAGTTCTACATGCGTTTTTGTGTTCAGAGTTCCGAGCTGACTGCATGGTGCGTTAGCCGAGGACATGAGCTGCCTTCGTGCGGAGCCCGAAGGCTGCGCTGCCTTGAAGGACTGCACTGCGCCGAATAGCAGACATGAAGAGATTCGAGATAGGCCATATGTGGCAGGATCGTTTCAGCTGTCTCAGCAGCAAAGACGGCAGCGGGAAAGAGGACGTCCTTGGTCTGCAGGCGACCAATCTCCTGCAGTTGGCCTGCCATCTTCGATGCGTTGCCGCAGGTGGACGATGAGCCATGTGTCTGGTGTGGCGGAGGGCTCTGCCACACTGGCGGCTTGTCCATGTGCGAGCCCTTTGACTATTTGCTTCGCGGAGCGGGCAAGGACGCCGCATCTTTTGATGAACATCCTGCAGCAGACAAAGCCAGCTAACGACATTCACTGTTAGCTTCACCGACGTGCGCCTGTCATAGGATCATGCCTTCGGAAGCTTCACGGCGTCCGGCACCTTCGAAACTCCGTCCTGCGAGGACATGAGTGAGGGGTTTCTTGTTGTGCGTCACTAGCACCAAACGAGCCTTTGTGCTGTACTTTAGGAAGGGCAGGCCTCTGTCTTTGCCCAGAGCGACACATGGTGGCAGCCAGACCGGCCACTCGAGGCTGCCGCGCTAACATGCGCAGTCGCATGGTGTCCCACTGATCCGTTCGCTCGAAGGCAGAGATCCAGAAGCTGACGCCGGTGACGGGCGGCTGCACGTCTGTCCAGGAGCGTGGAGCTACTTGTGCAAGGCAGACCCCACCAAGTGTCGAATCGGTCCCATCAGGACATGGCAACATGCCTGAGCAGCAAAGATGCAAGCTCCAATGCCACATGGGGATACACTCCGTACAAGGTGCTCTGAAGACATCTCGGGCGACCACTGCTCTTTGGGGGTTCCGCAACCTGTGAGGTGCAAGGGGAAGCCTGCGTTTGGTGTGGCGGAGTGTGGCTGGCTCAAGACAGAATGGAAGCCTTATGGTCCACGTGAGCCCCGACTCGACTCAGGCCCTGTACGGATGCCAGCTCATCGCTGTGCATGCCCTTCGACCTTGTCATGAACGGACAGGGCCCTGCTCTGCACTTGGAGCAGCCTCCGGCACGGCCTCCGGCATACGCAGACAGCATGCCGTTGCTCAGCACCACGACACCTTCTACGCAAAGCACCGGGCCTCGGACGGGAGGGCGCCAGCAGCGCTCTTTGCTTCTTTGTCAGCTCAGCAAAGCCGCCCAGGCACTCATTTAAGGTGGCTGCGATCAAGGAGTGAAGGGCAGAAGGGCACTTCCTGGAACAATTCCTGCGATTTGGGCCATATTGGCAGACTGAACTTTCGACAGGAGTCTGAGGTTGTTGTCAGGGCCGACGTTGTGGGTGCCCCAGTGTCCACCCCCGGTGTTTGTTGCAGATCTCACGCGTGCAAGATACTGACTCATCTGCATTCAGCGTCACAGAGCCGTGTTGAGGATGTGCAGTGCCTTTCACCGGACAACCATGGATGCAATACGCCTCAGCCACAGTCATTCAGATTGGGTGGTCGCTTGCCAGTACTCTGATCTACAGTCACAGAGCTCTCTTGACTCTACCTGACGGTTTGCATAAGCATAGGTCAGGCCGAGGTTGCCAACCACAAGATACTTCTCAAAGCCACCCTTATTCACGATCACAATGGTTTCAGAGACCTAGTGGAGAGAGTTTTGCACACAGCTCATCCCACCCGCTAAGCATGGCACACAATTTCACCTACCCCCTCATTCCCACCTGGCGTCCTCAAGGCTTACCGATGCTTTCAAGTGCTTGGCTAGCGTTGATGGCCGCCCCAACGAGACAATTTTCGGCCGCAAGGCACCAGGTTCTCCCAAGCTCTGTCGCAGCAATTGCACGCATTTGGCAGGTAAAAGGTCAACCGTGCGTGTGGTGCAACGGCAGGACACAGTTTCAGCACAACGTTGTGCTGAATTTTTTGTTGCAGGTGTAACTATGTCAATGTGTGTTTGGGTGCGTGCAGATGCTTTTGGCTTTGAGGAACTGCAACAGCGAGGGTGGGCTTTGCGAAGCATATGATCTGCAGATGAACGGTCCGCTGGCACATTAGGCTTGCTGCATCTTCCCGTGTGCACGTGCTGCAAGCACCCAAGGCGAGAGCTATGTTTTTGCGACTAGTCTCCTGGCATTCGCAGAAGTGCTCGCCATGCATGTTATGCGCAGTCTGCCGAGTCACCATTTCTCCCAGGCTTCGACAAGAACCCCATGGTGGCTCAATGTGAGGCAATTTTACGGACGGGCAGAGTCTTGAGATGCGTTTCTCTCCCCGAAGCTTCCTGCTCAGGGTGGCATGGTCAAAGCACATCCTCATGTGCATTCGGCTGTTCTGGCACTTCCAGAACCCAAGATGGTTGCGTGGAATGCAATGCTGATTCTGCAAGTTGTGCATGCGACAGACATGTGGCAAGCTGTTCTCAACAGACTGAGCTTAGGAGGAGTTGGGCTGCCTGAATGTTGAGGCAAGATGTTTGGTCTGAGTCATGTCCCACGTGTCGCATGATCTCAATGCCTTGTCAGCCCGCGGGATGCATGTCCATTACTGACAAGATTCATTGCCTTAGCTCAGCGCTTAGGGAATCTCAGTGCAAATTTCTGAGAATGGGAGGGGGAAGCCCTTGTGCATGAGCTGAGGCAGTGTCGATGGCTCTGTTGGTGCCTCCTATGGCGGCCTTCGCATCCGCGGGCAGCCGTGCGTGTGGTGCGGTGGGACGCCAGAGTCTAAGGATTTCCAGAGTGACAGTCTTCGTGGTACATGACATGTGTCGAACACAATGTTCTCCAGAAACGTGTCAGGTCTTGTACAAACGGCGGAAGCTTCAAGTGTGCTCCATACGAGTATCTCGCCAAAGGCGCAACCAAGGCGGCCGGTGTCAAGCATGTTCAGAGATTTTGCATCTTCCAGCCTTCCAGCGACACAACCTCGGGAGGTGTTCCCCCATGTGACCGTCTGGGTCTCAGGGACGTGTCAGTCGAACAGAGTGGGTCATAGGACCATAGGAGCTGTGATGAGATAAGGCAGTATCTGCAACCGTGGCCCAGTGCCATGTGAAGGGCCCAGTGATCGCCGAGTTCCAGATCCAGAGCTGTGGAAGGGGTTCGGCACTACCCAAATGAATTGATTGAGGCCCAAAGCCGCTCCTTCCCAGAAGAAGAGACCGCCTGCCTCAAGCCTGGGACCCAACTCTCCTTGAAAAGGATGCCGTGCCTCTTGTCCACTTCCGTGCTTGTGGCTGACTATAGTGTTTCTCCCAGGATTGCCGAGACGGGCTGCAATGAGATCAAGGTGGAGTTTGCATTCACTGTCTTGCTATAGAGGCGTTTAGCAAAACGAGTCAGAAGCTTGTGCCAGGACATGGCAACCTGCGTGAGCAGCAAGGAGGGCCGTCCGTACGAGTACATCGCAGGCTTCAAGGCCCTAGGGCCCTGGGGCGCTAGCAGCAAGCAAGCGTCTGAGTGTCCGCAACTCGCTGCAATGAACATCGCAGGTCAAAGGGGAGCCTTGCGTTTGGTGCGGTGGCGGGTCCGCTTCCCGTTGGTGTTGCATTTCTTGGCCGCAACGGGATCTGCGGTTAGCGAGGCAGTGCAACTCCGGGTCGCTCACCTCCTGCGAACCGTATGACTGGGCGGTCAACGGTGCAGGCAGGGGTAGATGAACACAGAGCTGGTTGGTTCGAGTCCTGAAAGGCCTCAAGGTCATGTGTTGTGCACAGGCCACGTTTTCGCAACCCAGATGAGCAGCTCGGCTGTAATCCAGCTCTCTGCGATTCCCACCTTCCTTTATCTTGGCATGACTGCCTGACAGTGACCCAGGCACCAGCCTGTACTCCAGGGCGGCCTGTGACAAGGCCTCCGACCAGCAACTCGCGCTTTCAAGAGTGGTCCTCTCTTGCGATTTTTCTGAGGATGGCCAGCCGGGCCCGGTGCAGTTGCCGAGCCAGATGGAGGTGCATGGCTACCACCAATCCGCCCGACAGCCCAGTTTAGAATCTGCTGTTCTGCCGTTAGTACAGTAGGCTTCAGTCACCGCGAGACGTGCTTGTTCAAGCGCTCAGGTGCAGTGCGGACATCCCAATCCAATGTGGATGAAAGTGGGCGTCGAGCCCAGCGTGTGGTTGCATGTGCACTTTACGGCAAGTCTCCACGCAGATCCAATCCAACTTATTGAGGCAAGACTTGCGGCTTCTGCAAGGTGTTGGTTCCTTCGATCAAGGCGATTGGGCAGGGTAGCGGCGTAGCGGCACAACATCAGTGTCCGACATTGCTTTTGGCGACCGCCGTCGGCTCCAGGAGCAGTTTGCCACCTGTGCGGACTACTGCGCCTCCCAAGGTGCACGGGAGATCGGAGTCACATGCAAAGGGATGACGGGAAGCAGCAAAGAGCGGCGTTTTCAGGTGGCTTGCAGTGCAAGTCGGCTGCTTTCGGTTCTCTTGACAGCTGCGATGTGTGTCTCCGGCAATTTTCAAATCGTTTTCAGCAGCCAGCTAAGTGGATCTGAATCAATGCCAGGAAGCAAGCTGCCACCTGCGACACGAACTTCGAGGCATCATTCCTATGGCTTCATCCATGTTTGGGGAAGGACCAATGAAGCCTTGTTTTGGCAAGGTCTACGGCCATGCGATCTGCGAGTGCCAGCCGCCCGAGAGCCCCTTCAAGGCCGATTCCAAATGATGTTACACTTCGCAAGTAAGTTCGCAAGCGCGGGCCCCGTGCGGAGGCAGCCAACGAGGCGTTCGCCGGTTCGGTCTCTGCACCAAAGGCAGGAGCTGCGGGGCTTGACCTTGCAAGTGTACATTACCAGTAGGAAGGGCGTCGCTGGCTGGTCTTCAACACGACTCGATTGTTGAACACGTGATGTGTGGCGACACGAATGTGCGAGGCCGATGACATGAAATGTCTCAACAGTGTGGTTGCTTCCCAAGCAATCTGGCTGCTTTTCCTTGGGCGTTGCTCAGAAAAATGTCTCGTCTAAGGACACAGGCTGTGGCTCAATCAAGGACAAGCTGATTTGCCTCAGCACCATGGCTGCCGCAGTGTAGTGCGTATCTTCTGTACCTCTCCTCGCCGATCTCTGCTTGAGGCAGCATGGACGGGAGCCCGAATGCAACTTACCGCTCGACGAAGATTGCAGGGCAGCCATGTGCGTGGTGCGGGGGAGTGCTCGTGCCTCAGGTTTTCTGCAAGCATGGGGGCGCAAATCTTTCCCCTGTAGTGCAGTCAGGGCCTGCACATCGCACGATCCCAGCGTGATGTGTGTGGCTTTGGACTTCCTTGTCAACGGGCAGGGCCCTGTGTTGGGCTCAGATGCGATCCAGAGTGCTTTGTGTGGCCTTTCTGCCGCAATGGGTCGGAGCGAAGACAAGCGGACCATGCTTGAATGTGACAGGCGTATGCCACCCGCCACGTCGTGGTGCCCCTATCATCTCGACAACGGAGGGGTTGTTGTCGGTGTTGGTCGCACGCAGTCCTTGTTGTTGCGCTTGACTGAGGCTGCACCCTCCGTTGATGTAGCAGGCTGCGACAAGGCATCAGGTTTGATTTCTGCCATGTCAGACTTGCATAATTCTGCATAATGCGTTTCAGCCGTGGTTTCCTTAGTGTTTTTTCAGTTCTCATCGTGTAAAGGCAAAGTCTGTGAGAGACTTCGGCGATGTTTCCTGCCTCAAGCGCGTCGAAGACGGATGCAACACGCTCAAGGCCTCCATCGCCAGCTTTCCCTTCACTTCTCTGTGTACACGCCTGCCTAGTAGTGTGATTGACGTTTTATTATGTGGCAGGATAAAGACGCTTGCTTGGGAAGTGTCGATGGCCGTCCGTACGCTCAAGTCGCGGGACTCAAGGCCAGCCCAGCTGCAAGGCAGGCTGCTTTTTAATGCTCGCCAGCTTCATTGCCACTTTTCCTATCCCAAAGGTGGAGGGCCAGCCGTGTGTGTGGTGCGGTGGATTGCCAGGAGCCCCAAAGCCTCTCAACACCTTCACGCGCAGGGTAGCAGCATTCATGTGCGGCTCGACTCAGGCCTTGCACCTCAAACAACGGAAACCTCTGCGAACCCTACGAGTTTGCGAGCCACGGCGAAGGCTGGGAGCCTTCGATTGCGGAAGAATGTCGCGGCTTGGGTCGATCTTGCTAATCGTCAAAGCCAGGGCATGCCTATGACTTCAACAACGATAACAGCTACTTCTCCGCGGCTTGCGAGGACGGGCGATTTTTCTGTGCTTTACGTCGGATGGTACAGTGCACTTTGCGACTTAGCCATCCTCACGTCTCATCTGTCAAGTTGGCTGCGATTATAGCCTGGCGGCCCTTTCACAAAGGCTTGAAACATCCTTTGGCCTGCGTCCAGGGTACCGGTATCTTCCATCGATACGGAGGGCCCCCAGGTGCTGAAGGCATTGAAGGCAGAGGTACACCCCAAGTTTCACCTGCATCGTCGTCAGGCATCGCTTTCTTTTTTTGGATGTGTATCGGCCGCACGAGCAATCCAGCCATCCCATGGAGCCTCCTTAGTTCTCAACTCGTGGCTTTCAGACTTGACTGTGGCACCAGGGTGGAGCGCCTGTGCAGCACACCATGAGCACCGCCGTTGCCATGGCCGGAGTCACCGCTGCCGTTTCGATCTCGGTTTGCTGTGCTGAAAAGCTTTCCTGGATTCCCCCCCGTCCGTTTCGAACTTTTCGAAACGTGCACAAGGTGGACTGCGGGATGCCTTCCCCGCTCTGGCGCGGGGTCAGCCAGTCCCCCAAACTCGCCAAAGACACCCGCCGAGACCTCGCCTCGCTTCGCTCCCCCCCGCTGCAGGCAAGACGTGCGGCTTTTGCCAGGTCCTGGTGGCCACGGAGGCGCGCTGCCGGGAAAAGGAGGGGGGTGGCCGAGGGATGCCGAGGGATGCTGTGCAGAAGAGACCATGCTCAGGCTGCGAAGTCCTACCTCAACTGCGAGTCCTACTGCCAGGCAGGATGCCGCCAAAAGGTTCGAAGACCCCTCCTCCCAGCACCTGAGTCTGACCTGCTGTCCTGCCAGGCACAAGGAGAGCTTCATAGCTTCGCGAGACTTTTCCCATGTGTTCTGTGCAATGAAGGCGACTCTTCGTGCTTTGAGTCTTGTGCGCAGGAGGTATGGCATGCACGAAGGCTTTCTCAGGAAGCCTGCATAGCAGTGGCCTCAGAGTGCTGATGGTGAGTGATACTCAACAGTCACTTTGGTGAAGTTGCAGCGAGTTGCAGCTTCGCGGCTGCAGGCTGTGATCTCGGGTGTGACCCCTGGTACACTCTTGTACTTCTGTACTTCAACTCGCTATGATGCGGTGTTTCTTCGGGTTCAGAGTCGAAGCATGGGCGAGGCCGGCGATGAGCTGCACTGCAGAGTTCCCGAAGGACATCTCCCCGATCTGCGAATGCGCTGCGCCCAGCGTCAAGGCCATTTGGAGACAATTGGAGATCAGGGTCAGGGGGAGCCTGCAAGAAGGGGGGATTGGGTTTATCTGTTGTGGAAGTCGCATGCCTCGAACAGGAGAACGATGTGAACAAGAGATTTGTGGAGGCCATTGCCCGTCCGGATGAGGCGTGTCGAGTGGTGTTGCCAACATGCATACGAGATTGCTCGGCCGTAGGTTTTGCATGCTGAAAGACTATGACTCAACGCAGGCTGCGACGATGTGCCTCACTCCAGCAGTTCGGCGCTTAAGCCAAGCGCAAGGGGGAGGTCGCCTTTGCCTTTGCCTCCTTCTCAGCAAGCTTTATTCTTATAAGGAGAATGGTTGCAGCGCTTTGGACAACAGGAACGCTTGCCTGAGTGCCTCAGCGGAGATTCTTGACAGACGCACCAATAAATGCATGCTACCTCCTGCATCTTACTCATACTCGTTGACTTTGTGAGGTAGCAAGGACGCGAGCACGGAGAGCTATCGTGGCTTGAAAATGGCGGGTGAGCCGTGCGTCTGGTGCGGTGGCGCGCGTGGGCCTCGGGCATTGCAGACGAGAGTGGTAGTAGTCGGTTAGCTTCGCTCCGTGTGAGGCAGTGAGGCGGATTCTGTTTCAAACGTGTAACCGTGTAAGTCTCAGGCCTTGCACAAGTCACAGTGAAGCAAAGTGTGCTCCTTATGACTTCCTCGCGGGGGGTCAAGGACTGGCGTGCGCCTCAAAGGCTCTCAGAAAGGAGCTGCATCTCGAGATTCGGTTTCGATGTGTTTCGTTTTCAGTCGTTTTCCACTCAGGCCTTCCAGACACGCCAGGCCTTCCGGCGGCAACCGGGTGGCCTGTGACAGCCTCTGCAGTTTCCCCTCTTTTGCAGGCTGCTTCTGTGATGGATGTCGCCCACTGCAAGGCACATGCCACGAGAACCGCAGGCGACCTTGTCTGAGTCTGGGCTGTCCGTGTCAAGGAAGCGAGCCGCACCTGGGAAAACATCGGCTGCCTTACTCGGGCAACGGATGGCTGCCACACTTTCACGGTGGGATCTGAACATGCTCTTCCTTGCTCGTTTGTGTCATGTCACTCTCTTTGAGGAGAAGGATGCTTGCCTCGCACACGTTGATGGCCGCCCCTATACGCAGATCGCTGGCCTCAAGGCTCGGATCTGCCTGAGGCTTCGGGCTGAGTTTACTTTTCCGTTTAGAGTCATCTGCAGGTTGAGGGACAGCCGTGCGTCTGGTGCGGCGGAACGTGTGTAGCTTACTTCCACAGACAGGGCTGCTTGCCGCGACTGATGAGCATTGGTTTCGGCGAGGACCTGCCATGAGTCGGGGACGTTGTGCGAGCCGTACGAGTATGCGATGAATGGAGACGGTCGTATCCTCACGCCGAGCGGCACAGCATAACAAGGCGATCCGATTGGACGTAGATTCTTAGGACGTGTGCTGCTTTGCTTTCAGGTCATGCCTTCGACGTGTCAGCTGCAAAGAGCACTTTCTTTACTGCTGCTTGCGAGGCTCAGGGCGTTCCGCGGCCATTTATGTTTGAAGCCTTGAAGTTCGGCACAGGATGGCAAGCCCGTGGAACATAGGGTCTCGTCTGCCCTGGTGGAAGCCGGCTTGCCGCTTCAGGCTGGGTGTCAAAGCCAGTGCCTACTGTACTTCACATCTTGCTGCAATAGGTGGACTGCGGAGTTCCGAACCCGACTTGGGACAAGGTCGGCCAGAACCCTCAGATGTCGCTCGCTCGCTCGCTCGTGCAGCTCCGTCTGCTGTAGTCCGAGGCAAGGCGTGTGGATTCTGCAAAGTCCAGGTGGCGAAGGAGGCACCAGCATGGGGGAAGCGGATGAGCACCAGCACGAAGTCAGGTCAGTAGGCACAGGACGTGAGCTTAAGTTCGGCTCGGTCCCAGGCTGCTTCCAGCTTCAAGACCTGCGACGCCTACTGCAAGGGGCAGGGTCGGGGCCTCTGCGTGGAGACTCAGGGGGGTTCACGGACCTTCCAAGTGACTGAGGCAACCTCACCTGTGCTGGGGCATGGTCGGCACACCCCTACAGCGCTGCTCCTGGATTCAGAACCGCGGCATGCCACTATGTGTCCTCGGACAAGTGCCAGAGAAGTTGCAAAGCACGGTGAAGCTTTTTTCTTTGTCGAGCGTGTTGTGAAGGCTGCGACGTTGCGCTCTTGCCTGAGATTGCCGGGATGATGATACTTCACGAGCGAGTCATCTGTGTTCTGAATGTTTCATGTTGAAGCGAAGGTCCACAAAAACCTGCGCTGCGGAGTTTGCAGATGAAGAGTGGCCACTGTGCCAGTGCAGCCTTCCAGCTGCGACCGTGGCATGCCCGGAAAAACTTCGGGGCGGGCCGCCTCAGTCGCCTCAGCTTTGGTCTCTGTGCCCAGGTGGCTGCCTCATCGGCTGCCTTCGACTTGCCGCGCCCGGCAGATGTTCGCCCCGCCTTACTTGAAGTCATCTCATGATTTATCAGAGTTCGAGTCGAAGCGAAGGCTCGGGAACAGACAAAGCCCTGCTGAGCCTTAGCATTCAGCGCAAGAAATTCTGGATTAGTTTACTGCATGGACACAACTGCAGCTGGCCTCAAGATGCGTTGCATTGTGGCAGGCTGAGCTCACATGCCTGTACACAGCGGCCGGTGCCTGAAAGAACAGAAAGGATAAGTCGAGTTGCTTCGTTCAGAAAGTGCCCAGGAGCAGGGCTGCGGTGCTCTGGACAACGAGCTGGACTGCCTTGGTTGGGGTCCAAAGATGTGCTTTCGTGCTGTCTCTTCATCCTTCTTGCGAACCGAGGTAACAAGGACGGAAGCTCCGTGACTGACATCAAGGGCCTGAAGGTTCAGGGAGAGCCTTGCGTGTGGTGCGCAGGGGGGTGGCGGTCCCGGCATGCCAGCAGTCTGCTTGCCTTGGCATGCCTTCTGGATTCGTGAAGCTCCGAGGCCGTGCACGGATTACAGCGCTTCGAAGTGCGTTGCCTACGACTTCTTGGCGCGGGGACAGGGCTTGGCGGCTGCCCCAGTGGAGAATGTGCAGGGGCAGAAGTTCAAAAGTCCTGTCATGTTCAGTGACTGCAATCATTCAATCATGGCCCAGGCGTTCACGGTACGGGTCAGCTTTCGAGTTTACAAGCAACCACCCAAGAGGCAAGATGCAAGAGACGTTCTGTGCCAGGCATCTCCTATCGCGGCTGAGGTTGCCAAGTGCAAGGCTCCCCGCAAGTGGGAGGCGTCGTTGGTGTGACTTCTCAGCTGTGCCAGACTCATCACCGCCCCTTTGGCGACACCAAGTGCCTGAAGCGGGTGACGGAGGGATGCAACACCATCCAGGACCCTCTGCCAGGAAGGCCCGAAGACGCCGGGCTTGACCTGGCTTGGCTCCTCTTTGGGAAGCCTCGATGTTTGGATTGTGCATCTTGTGTGATCTTACAGGGTCCAAGCGGTCAAGGCAATAGCTTCCTAAGCCGTCGCCGTTTCCAACTTCTGCAACCTTGTTCGCTGTTGCGGCAGGAGCAGAAAGCATGCCTTGCCAGCTACGATGGCCGTCCTTACACGCAGATCCGAGGCTTCAAGGCTCCTTAGCATCAAAGTGTGCGACAGCAGAGGAAACGGAGAGAATGGTGCTACTTGTACTTGTTTGTAGTCATTGTAGTATGTTGGAGGGCACCGCCAAGTAAGATTAGTCCGGCGACCAGAGCCTTGCAATGCAAGGGTGCTCGCATCGACAATCAAGCAATCACACAAACAAATCCAATCAATCAATCATTCAGAATCATTCAGATTCAGATAATTCCAATCAATCAATCAATCAACCAACCAATCAATCAACCGAGCAACCGACCATCTACCAGCAGAAACAGCCGCCAGCAATCGCAAACGGCGTCCAGAGGGAGACGCCACCGTAATTTGGCAGCAATGCGCGGATCTACAGCAGCTGTTTGCTGGCTGCCAAAGCATACAGACAAGGGAAGATCACGCTGCAGCCACTTTCTGATACTGTCCCAAAAGCTCCAATCCGACGCAATGGCAGAAGTAGAACGAAACCACACTGTGAGAAGCCGAGTTGTGAACAGTCTTCGAAGTTGAACACTTTTAGCAACTTAAGCGTACCCACAGCTCCACTCTGAACATCTTCTCTACGAAATCACCCTCAACTTCTCCTGTCTGCTGGTTTTCTGTCAGCTGAAGTTTTTATATTGATTAGATGTCGTTTGTCTCACGACGTAGCGGATGCTGGTCTGAAGCTGCTTCATCTCACCAAGCAGATGCTGCAAAAGATTCCCAAAAGTATGTAAGCTGACACCGCCGGGTGGTTACGACTGACAACCCTACAGGTCATGCCCGAGAAAACAAAGAACACGGGAGAGACGAGTGTGGCGTCTATGCGGATGGGAGACGAAGGGTGCCTGAAAGAAGCATGTCTGTAAGGTTGAGGGCCAGCCATGCATTTGGTGTGGTGGCGTGCCAATAGCTTACAGAACAAGAGATGCGTTGTGGCTGCAGCACTTCAGCCACAGAGCGGTGAGCGACCTTGCTGTGAGGCCTTGCACCAGCGGTGGCAACCTCTGCGAGCCAGGAACTTACGAGAGCTTCCGGCCTCCGATTGAAAACTCTGAGAGCTAATCGTCCACTCATAAATGAGTCATAAACTGTCTCAGGCCTTATGAGTTCGGGAAGTACAGCGCGGAGAGCAAGCAACTCAAGGGGATTTCCACAGTCTTTCTTTCTGGCTCAACGTGAGCCCGTTCCATATCATTGACGCTCATGAGATCCAGGTGCCGTCTGGTACACTGCTACCTGCGAGGCAGTGGCCGGCCGCAACTCACGGTTCTGAGAAATGTGCTTAGACCAGAATCGGATGACAGAATGGTGAGCCGGTCGAGCACGAGATTCCAAGCAATTTCGCCAACTATGGACAGACGATTCATGTCAGCGCCCCAGTTGGGATGTCCAGGCCGCTGTGCACCAGTCTGAGCTCAAAACGCTCTCCGCGGAGGTGAACTGTGGAACGCCAGAGCCTGTTTGGTTCAAAGTTGGTCCATGCCTCGAAATTCTGGAAACTTCGGGAGTCGGCTAAACGGTTAACCTCCCAGAAGGGGATGCGGGATGCGGGGGGTGCTTCGATCATTGGCAGGCAAAGAGTGTGGCTTCTGCAAAGTGCAAGTTGCCGCCATGGCCACGGCCTCGGCAGCAGAAAACCACTCGTGGGCTCTGCCGCCACAATTCGTCTGAAGGCAGCGTCCGGCTACAAGAACTGCGACACGTACTGCCGCGCCCAGCCCGGTTGAAGGCTTAGCCTGCTTACGGCTGCAGCATCGTTGCTCGGCACTTGGGTTACGCCAAGGCAACCTGACCTGCAAAGCGGCGTTTAAGGGTGCCAAACACAGCTGCGGCCTACGAGAGTTCATCGTGTGTGCCGCGCCACGGAGTAGAGAAATCTCAGAGCTTTTGGAGCCGAGGCTGCGATGAGCAGCAGAGAGCTCAGATTACTCTGCCGCGCTAAAGACTCCAGACCTTGCATCCCCCCGCAGCAGGACGGCGATGGCTTGCTCTGACACATTCCCTGCTGACACTGCCCCCATCTGCGAATGCAATCCGGCCTTGGGCAAGGTTGGGAACGAAAATGTGCATTGGTTGAGCGCGAGGATGTCAGTTCACGTTTCCCTCCAGGCGGTGACGGTTCAGCCAAGACCATCGGAGGCCAGTCGGAAGATCCAGTAAGGGAAGGGCAACAGGCAGCAAGTCAACTGGTCTGTTGCCTGCAGGCCGACATGAAGTGCCTGAGAACTGAGGCACGTGAGCTCTCTTGAGTTGGGAGGTGCAATTTCAGATTGGAGAAACGCTGTCCCTTCGCAGGGTCTCGGATGCTCTGCCGTCTCCGACAGGCTGAATTGCTTGAGCTGCCAGCTCAGTAAATGCAGCCGTTCTGGAAAAGTTCTACAGGACGCTTAGTCGCTGCACCTGGCTGGACCAACCCAGGTGTATTCCTCGCTCCTTCAGTATTCTTCAATTCCTTGTAGGGTCAGCCCGCATATAACTTCTACACCTCACCGGGTGGTCCACACCTTTGAGGGCCACTGCCGGGCCCACATTCATTTTGGCGCTGACCGCCTCACTCCTTCCGGTGGTGATGTAGGGAAATTTCAGTTTCTCTCTCCTCTGGGTGATGGTGTTGTACCCTCTCCCAGTGTGGTTTCGGCTTCGCCACTCCTTTTGTTTTTCCATGCTTTTGTCTCCTACAAGGCTCTCGGGTTTCTTTCAACCACTCCCGTCTTGATTGGCACAGCGCTGTTGGGAGCCAGTCGCCCGGATTGGATCTAGTGATGTTTTGCTGTTTGGCACCCATCATCTCCTATTCGAGAGCTTTGTTTTGCACAGTAGAAGAAGCCCAGACATGCATTCGGTCGTTTGTGGTCGTCGGTCGAAACCATTCATAGCAGTGCAAGAAGTGATCGATGTGAACATGGAACTCACACGGTATGTGAGCACTGTAGAAGCGAGACCAAGCCACTCTTCTAGCCAGGCAAGGAGGGGCTGCCACCCATTTTTCACTTTCGGGTTTGGGTTGCCACTAGTTGCCAAGTTTTGGCTAGCACGAGAGCTGGTTTTCAGCCTTCTCTACCGCTTACAGCTCTGATCCAGTGCCAGGAAGAGGGTGTGTTAAAGCTAAGCGACTGTTTTGATATTAGTCCCTGTTTTGAAACAAGGGCCCTTCAAACAGGGACCGGGGGCCCTGCCTGGTTTCCCTCCCTGTTTTCAAAATTTACTGAAGAACACGTGCCACACGGTGTTTTGGATTAGCAACCCATCATCTCCCACTCAGGCTTTGGGGTTAGCCCCTGTGCCGGCTAAGCACATCATCTTGTTTTGAAGTTAGGGGTTTCGGGGGGGTTTCGGGCTTGCCACGTGCCATTTGTCGTCAGAGCTTGGGCGCCGGCGAACCAGTTCCCGTTTTAGCCTTTGTTTGCCACCCATCATGTTGGAACAACAACTTGAATCAACTTTGGGTCTACCAAGGTTGGCTTTTTTCGGGGTACCGGTCACTCTTTGTGAGGGTTTCGGGATGTCTCGGGTCCTTTCAGACCTTTGGGTTTGGAGTCCACACCTACTGCTGAATATTTTTGATGGCGGGGGGGGGGGGGCTTTTAGGGTTTAGGCCCAGCAGGCTGTGTGTCCGTTGCGGTGCAGGTCTTTGTGGGGCGCAGCTTTTTGGGGTTTAGGGTTAGCCGCATCATCTCTTTTAGGACGTGTCCTCAACCCGCCGCCCCGCGCCGAAAGTGTGCAGTGCTTTTGCTAGCTTCCGCAGCGTTGGACTAGAATGTCAACTCCGCAGCCCCGCCCATTTCGGAGGTTTCACAGTTTTTGCTAAGGTTGAGGTCAAAGCAAGGCAGAGGCAAAGAAGTGTTACGCCCAGGCATCTCACGCGGCTAGGCGCCTCCACAACTTTTTGAAGAACCCTTCAATAACGATCAAAAGAAAACTCTTGGTCCATTTCCAGACTTTTCTTGCCATCCTACTGTATGGCTCGGAATCGCAGATGTATCTCCAATCAAACCTCACTAAACTCAACAAGCTTGACGATAAGGTCCTATATAAGGTCCTCCATCAAATCTTTAATTTGTAGACTTCCTCATTTACCACAAAGGTTTTGAGCCCTCAGAGACTGGTTGCTGTAATGAAGCTCCTGCTCAACCAGCCTATGAATACACCCACAGTACACCCCACAGTTGTTGTCTCCCTAGCAGCACCTCATTTTTTGAAGAATCTCTTGTTTAGGTCATATTCTCAGACACGATGATTCCCTGGAACGCATCTCCACATAGACCGCCACGCATATCGCCGACTGTGTAGGGAACGTCCTGGCCACGCTCGGATAAACTGTGCCGATCTCACTATATGACTCAAGCCACCAGAGGTATCATATCATTACTTCTAACACACCTATTCCACGCTCCCACCACATACACCATGCCCCTCATGATTCAGGAACGAAGGAGGCTGGAAGCTTTTCGGCCCGAGGTCTATGCAGCGAACTTTGGTCTCTGCGGTTGCTCTAAGGTAGGGCGTGCATGAGCCTGGAGCTCAGAGTGACTCATCTTGAGGAACTCGTGCTGGCTCTGCAGAGCCGCGTGTCTGAGCTTGAAGCTCTCCTTTCTCCACGCTCCCAAGCTGCTTCTTTCGAGCTGGTGAGCCAACCTGCTGCTTCTGGACCGTACCCACACCGCGAAGCAACCCCTGGCCGACGGCCGCAAAACCAGCTGCCTGTGAGCCCCTCTGCTCACCTTCCCGCTACTTCTTCACATTCTTCAGCTGCTCCTAGCAGCGCCTCTCAGGAACCTGCCGCTGAGCGAGCAGCTGCTTGCCGAGAGATTGGTCTCTTCTTGCGCCGAGCCGTGAACGGACAGCATCGCGGAGCCAGTGGGAGAGGTCGTCTGGGACTGCAGTCGAGACTTTGGGTTGTAGTGAGGGATTTTAACGGTGTGGTGAAAGATCCGGTTGTGGTGTGTACTAGGTTCAGCGAGTGTGCCCGCCTTTGTAAGGTCGGCTCTGATTGTGGAGATTCAGTGTTTGTCGGCCTTCCGGCCCGCAGGGACGTGATTGCAGTGTGCGCCGCCGGCGATTTCCAATTGCCAGCTTCTTGGTGAAATGGAGGAAGAAGAGCTCCTTGAGCACGACGGCGAGCCTCTGTCAGCTCGTGACGCGGCTGCTGTCGGGGACGGCTTCCTTGATCAGCTATGTCCTCTGCTGTTGCTGCCTTGTGGCGAAGATGCCGCTGGGCAAGCAGTCACGGTGCAAGCCCTTTGCGTGGGCGATGTTGGCGGCCGCATGCTTTTGGCCTTGCCGGCAGCCGCCTGGCACAGGACTATCGCTCGACGCACGATCCCCAAAGGTTTCCTGAGCAAGGTGTATGGTGCCGAGGTCGCCGCTTGCACTGCCAGGGATCGCACCAGCGATGTCCCGGGGCAAACTTTACGGATCTGGCTCGGCTACTGCGAGGGCTCGGCCGAGGATTCTCTTGTGGTGTCGGAGGAGGAAGCCTCAGTTCCTTTTGGGCGCCTGCCCTCTGGCGAAGTGCTCTTGCCCTTGGTGGACTCTTTGGCTGCTCTGTGGAAGCTGCAGGTCGAACAAGCCCAGGCCACTCCTTTGCATACTGCTTCCGAAGGTGCTGCTCCTTCTGGCCTCGACCTCCGTTTGGCAAGTCTCGAAGCTATGGTGGCGAACTTGGCTGCCAGCTTACCCGGGCCCGATGCCGCCCAGCGGCCCTCTACTGTGCAAACGCAGCCGGCCAAGGAACTTGGGCCAAACTCCGAAAGCAGCTGCTTCCAAGCCCCCGGCGAGCGGCGACGCTCCCGTAGGCGACCTGCCCGGTCTGGACAAAGGAGTTGTTGCAGCAGCGCTGGCGGCAGGCGTTCAACCGCAGGCCTTGCAAGAAATGAGTCGGCTGGTCAGCGCCCCAGGCCCCATGAGGAAGCTCAGGCCCGAACCGGAAAAAGCCCGCGCGGTTGTGATCGATCCGTTGGAGGAATCAGAGGAGGAGGGAGCGCCCGGCCAGGACTTCACAGCAACAGGTCGTGCCGAAGGTTCTGGGTCTGCTCCCGCTTTGCCTCAAGCGAGCTCGGCCGAAGCCTTTGCGAGCGTGCTTGCCAAGTGCCTCGACACCTTCCAAGCAGGCAGCGCGGTGTGAAGAAAGGCCCGCTGGAACGGGCGCTCGACGCCTCCGGCAGTGGTTCTCTCGAGTCCTCGTTGGGCGGTGGGAGGCGCAATGCATCAGCCAGGCGCCAGCTGCGCGAGGCCCTGACTACGTCGCCTCACGAGATTTCGGCTATCATAGAAGGGCTCATGGCAGAGGACTTGAGCGCCTCTACCCCAGGCGTCGGCAGCCCGCCTCTTACGAGCAGCCGCGCTTGGCTAGAACAGCGGAGCAGGGTGCAAGCTTACCCCACCATCGTGCATCTCTCTTGGGGAATAGCCGGAGCCTTGGACTGCCTTCGGGCAGGGCAGACTGCACCGTCGAGGGCACGCCTCAACATTGCCCTGCTGCAAGCGGATCAAACCTCGGTGGACCGATTGATCCAAGGGGTCTTGAACCCAATGCCTCGGTACTCGATGGGGCTTGATGTTATTTTGGAATCCGCCACTTATGCGAATGCGGTTGATTCCATATCTTGAGCGCGGCCCCTCATTCGCCGATCGGGGTTTATTAAGCCTCAAACTCTGAAGATTTGAGGCTTTCGGACTTTTCAAGTTTTCAGACCTTCGGACTGTCAATCCCGGGCTCCTCAAGCTTTCAAAGCCCAGCCTCTCAAAGCTTTACACTCGAGAATGAGCATCACGCGGAGCAAGCGGCCGCGGTTTCAATTTTGGAAATTGATGGAAATTGTATTCCCGTTCAAAGGTTCAATTTCCATCCTCGAGCGATAGAAGCTTGCGAAATCCCATCTCTCAACTTTCAATCTCTCCGATTTCGCCCTGTATCTGATGTGTTCAATTCTTCCACGGTTCAAGTTTGCAAAGCTATTTGATTGTTTGGCTGGGGCTGTGCCATTTCGGTTGTGACTTGCTTTCTGCTTTCAGTGCTTGTTGCGTTTTTGCTCCATCCCTTCAATGTTTCCGGTGTCCGGTGTTTCGTGTGTTTTGATTTTGGTGTTAGGCTCGATTTGCTTAGCCTTCGACCTTTCTCGAAAACCCTGTTCAACCCTAGGACCTAAGCCCGCCTGGTCCATTGGTAGAAACGAGGAGATTCGCCTTTTGTCTCGATTTGCGGTTCTTGGGAACCAGCCATCCTTATCTGAGGGTTTGCCCAGGCACTTTTCATGGCTATACCCTTTCCAGATCGTGACTCGTCAGTCATGCCTCGCTGAAAAGCTGTGGGTCCAATGTCAATCATCTCTTGTTGGGGTGTTGGCAACCATCTTCTCCTGTTTGAGTTTTCGCGCTTCGCCACCCGCTTTGGGTTTGCTTCTGGTCATGTTGCTGTCAGGTTGTGGGGGTTTGTGGAACCGCGTAACCAGAGACCACGGGGCTACGGTATACTGGTTGGATACCACTGCGTTCTCTTTGGGTTTGGAGTTTCTCTCACCTTGCAATAGGCTGTAGGGCCTTGCCAGCATTTACTTCTGTTGAGAGCTTGGGGTGTACCGCTCATCTCCGAGTAGGCCTTCTCGATTTCAGAGGTTCGCATTTGCCTGCCTTTGAACGGCTTCATCCCATTGCACTCCTCTCGGGTTTGGTTTGCCACTCATGTTGCGACTTAGCTGGATAGCAGTTTAACAAAGAGCTGGCCATAACCAGGCTGCCTCAGGGCCCCAGAGTAATTTGAACCAGTGCCATTGCCAAGGCAGCAAGGATGCCAGCAACAAGGTTGCGGTGGCTGGCCTGAAGATCCAAGGGGAGCCGTGCGTGTGGTGCGCTGACGGGCCGGGGTCCAAGCAAATCCTTCTTTTGAACCGAAGTGTCAGCACGGCAAGCATCTTCTGAGGCCCTGCACTAGCAACTCTGCCTCTCAATGCGCCCCCTACGACTGGTTCGTGCGAGGTGAGGGTGTGGTTGAAACCTCAGACGCAAAGGGTCGCATGCTGGGTTTGCTTCCGGCCGAGCACCACAGTGTCGAGGCCTTTACGACAAACCTGGCCACTGCCAACTTCATTGTGGCTGCCTGCAAGGCGTCCCACAAATATTTGATGCGTGTGGCCTGGTTGTGGTGGATCATCGAGTGCATCATAAACACTTTCAGAACTCAAACGTAGCAGTGTAACCTGAATCGAGTGGAATATACAGGTCCTGAAGATGTGTCTGCAGCCACCACTGGAATAGATGACGTGCGATTTGGATGTGCTTGGCAGGCAGACTCGGATGCTGCGATGGACAATTCCAACGTTCAGTGTTTGGCCAAACATGCCAACGGATGCAACAGCATCCAGGAACTTTTGCTGGGAGTAGCAGAGTGACGGTGCCGTTCCGTAAAAGTTTAAGGCGGTAGATGGTGCGTGGGGCAGGATGAGCAGACGTGCCTCAGCAGCCTGGATGGTCGACCGTACGAGTTTGTTGCTGGCTACAAGGCTGGGGCCCCGGCAGTCTTTGTAAATGGGGTCGAGCACGAGGCGGTGTGCACCTTCGGAGCGTCTTCCCGTCTTCGACACAACATCATCCTGCGTCAGAGAGGACAGGTTTTAAGTACACACTTGCTGCTTGCGAGGCAGCTGGACAACCATGCGTGTGGTGTGGTGGTGGGCTTGCCGCTGAGCACCAGATCCCGGCTGAAACCCTGCATTCCTAGATTGTGGATTCTAGATCTGCAGCTCGGACTGCGACCAGGGCTTGCACCTCGCAGAACGACAACAAATGCGAGCCTTACGATTACGTCGTCAATGGTGCAGGCACATGGGAAATATCAGCGTATAGAACTGATTACTTTGATTGCTTTGAGGCCATGCCTTCCAGACATTCCATGCCTCGGACTCGGGTGGTGCTCGGATATGCTTGGCTTCGAATTTTTTTTTCTAACGGGCGATCCCCTGTAACGAGGCCACGGGGCTGTGGAAGATGGCTGCCTGCGAGGCAGTTCCGGATCTTTTCTTGGGCCCGGCAGTGCCTCTCGGAGTCTAGGCCCTCAGATGAAGTAGTAGGAGCAGCAGCAGGAGGAGGAGTAGCGGTGGTCGTCGTCGTCGTCGTAGGTCGTAGTAGTACTAGGAGCAGTAGTAGTAGCAGCAGCGGTAGCGGTGGCAGTAGCGGTAGTTGTGGTAGTAGATCTAGTACAAGTAGTAGAAGCACAAGTCGTAGCAGCGGGAGCAATGGTAGTAGCGGTAGGGGTGGCAGTACCGGAGGGATAGTGGTGTAGCAGTAGTAGCAGCAGTAACAGCAGGAGCAGGAACAGAAGCAGGAGAAGCAGGGCTGGCAGTGGCAATAGCAGGAGCAGCAGCAGCAAGAGGAGGTGGAGGAGGAGTGGGAGCGCAGAAGCAGCAGGAGTACCACTATACATGAGAAGAAACTGCCCCTAATAGAGGAGTTTGAACAAGACTTTTACGTGCGCCCTCTTTGGTTTCGCATTGCCTCTACTCTTCCTAGCAAATCTGTAGTTCGTAGCCTGGGTCTTTTCTGATATGCGTGATATGCCTCGTGCTCTGTGCAAGGGCGGTCACGTGGTCGCGCATGCTCTTCCGAGCTCCTTCACTCACGGCACCAACCTCCAGGCTCGATGCAGTTTTTGCACAGCTCGATGTTGAAGGGAGAGACCTGCAGGTGCAATGCGGCTATGGGCCGTTGGCGGTGTGGACTCACACCAGCAGACCCTCTCAGACATGCATCTGGAAAGAGAGAGTGACAGAAAGCAACAGAATAGTCTAAGGGAGCACATGTCTCGGAATCGTTTTGACCTTGAGCACCACTTCTCAGGTCGAACCTGTGGCGAGTGCCAAGTGAATGTGCCGCAAATGAAGGATAGTGCAGACTGATGTTGCTCCTTCACTTGTCTTTACATGTGTGCAACATATGCTGTGGCCTGATCCGAAGGACAACTTCGCGACGTGCCAGCACTATTGCGAGCGCCAGCCTGGTCCGGGCGTGAGTTGGAATCTGAAAGAGCGGGTGCAGTGGCGTGCAGTGGTGTGCGGCGCAGGTGCTCCCACATGCTTGGGTGCTGCCATCGCTCATCATCCTAACTCTTGCGACGTCCAGCAACCCCGGCACGCTTGGGCTCTTTGCTCCTTATTCCGATTGCAGCTGTTGCAACTGCAGCTGTTGACAGTACCCCTGCGGCATGCGACTACGAGTTCAAGAAGGCCATGCAGATAGCCGATGTTCTTCGGTCAGCTGTGTTTCGATCAAGGGCTTGTTTCGTTTTGGGTTTGAGCAGGAGGAGGATGGCATTTGCAAGTGCAGTGTGGCTGGAACCCAAGTGAAGTATTGCCCGCCTCAGCTACAGCTGCTCATCCTAACTCAGGTAAAGCCACCCCACGAGCGGGTCCAGAAACTGTGTGATTCTTATCATTGTTAGCATCCGGACTGCTGTCGCTGCGGTCTCCTTGTATAACTTCGTCTCGAGGTACGCGCAGTGTGGCGGCAAGAACTGGAAGGGTTTCGTGCAATGTCAGGCTTGAGCAACACACTGAGCGATGCTTCGTGGCGCCAGATTGCCAGTGCAGAGTGCGATGCAGGTTGGTGCTATCTGCAATGCTTGGACTTCAGAATGTGCTGTCGCTGCAGAGCTTCAGCCCGGCTCCAGCGCCGAGGTTGTGAATGATTGGTACTCGCAATGCCAGCCATCTTTGAGTGCCTGCAGCTAAGATGCTGAGAGTCCGGTCAAGGCAAGCAAGGCAAGCAAGGCAAGCAAGGCAGGCAGCCAGGCGTTTTTTCGTGAGGCCAAGCCAGGGGTGAAAATCAATCCATTCGGGGCCGATTCCGAGACCGTGCTTGGTGTTCGGAGCCAAGTTGTGAGAGCCTGGCCGTGGACTCGCGTCTCGTCGCGTCGCATAGGTGGACGAAGAGGAAGTGGCGGCCTCAATGGCTGCCGGAGCCGGTGCAGCCAGGATCTTGGAGACCATTGGCAGGCTTAGGCTTAGCGCTGTCAGGCGAGTCTTCTTTTTGCTTCTTTTCGTGTGCTTGAGGGAGAAGAGACCACCCTTGTCGTGTGCACATGTAGGTGCTCGTGTCGTGTGCGCAGCAGTCCGAGAGAGTTTGAGGAGGGCTCCGAAGGTTGCGTGTGCGTTGGAAAACGGGAACAGAGTTTGAGTCATCGAGGGCGCAGCACAGTACAGCAATTGGCAATAGAGTTGTTTCGTGGGTTCAGAGTTCTGTCGGTGCCTGCTGAGGCCATTGAGACACCCAAGGCAGGTCCAACCGTGGTTGTGGCACCGCCCAAACCAGGTCCAAGCGTGGTTGTGGCACCGGTTGTGGCGCCGGTCGTGGCCGCACCACTTGTAACACCTCCGAAGCCCAAGGGGGCAGTGCTAACGACTCCGCCTGTAGATGTGCCCATGTTGGCAGCGGATTCAGGAGTGGTACTTACAACCGCAGCGCTGCCAGAAATAACGACACCCAAACCGGTGGTTTTGCCGGAGCTGACGACGCCCGAACCACCCAAGCCAGTGGCGTTGCCAGAGTTGACGACACCCGAGCCTCCCGCACCAGTCAGCGTGGCAACACCGGAGACATCCATGATCCCTGCAGTCGCAGCTGCGGAGCAAGCAAAAGCAGGCTACATCGCCGTCACACCTGGTCCATCTGCTGCTGCTGTGCCGACAGTGGCTCCCGCCACCGTGGCTCCTGCAGCCACCGTGGCTCCTGTGGCTGCAGTATCTGCGACCACGGTGGCTCCTGTTGTGGCCACTTTGCCTCCTTTGGCCACGGTGGCCCCTTTGGCTCCAGTTGCCATCCGTGCCAAGGACCGTCAGTTTCCGGTTTCAGAGTAACTGGAGAAGTCTCAGTAGCATCAACTTCACGGTTCTGCATGCTTGGCAGATGTGCACATGAAGGAAGCCACTGACCAGTCATCAGATATTGCTGAGACTACGGTGGTGCCCTCAGCAAGATGCAGCCAGCTCGAGCTCAGTCTATTCGATGCTATGTTCAAACGGCCATCGTCGCCTTGAGGGCAGCGGAGCAAGCACAACAAAGATGCCACACTCTGTTCAGGTTGGCATAAGACTTGGCTCGGGTGTTAAAAGGTTTCGCGCGGTAGCAGTCCCATTCAGGCAGGCCTCAATGCTGCGGCACTGAAGAGAGACGACGACGGCACTCTGGTGGAACAGGCGTTGTCTTGTTGATTTCGCGTTTATAAAATCCGTAGCCTGGAAGAAGCCTTGCCTGGGACAGCAGGCCGTGTCTGCCGCGGCGACTGCCGGCTCTTACGTCGCAGCCCGAGTGAGTTGGCAAAATGCTGGGGCGGTTCTTCTTCTCTTCCGCGGGCTCAGGAGGTGGCCAACTACGGCTCATCGCAGGAAAAGGCGCAGGAAAAGGCACTGCAGGCGCGCGCACGAGCGACCTTGCAGTGGTGCTCGGTGACTGGATGCCGCTTTGCTCTGATGTTGCCCCTCGCACACGCTGCTTGCAGAGGCAGCTGTCAGCGTGTTCGAGGATGTGGGAGGCCTCCCCGAAGCCCAGGCCATCGTCGGGACTGCCTGTACTGTGTCGTGGGTACGGTCGGTTATGCTCCTGCAGGCAACTGTGGAGGGCGAGAAGGCACTCAAGCCTTGGCCCAAGCTCCTCAAGGTGCCAGAAGCAGGCATTGCTGGGCAAAACGCCGGGTGTTGGCTGCGGCATGCTGCTGCAAGCTGATGTACGCTGATTGAAGCTGAGGAGCGCACTGGAAATGGTCGGCGGAAAGTTTGTTCACAGCTTACAGAGTTATCCGTGCCAGCGTGTCCTTCTGAGATCCTTCTTGCGCCGAACGCGTTTCTTTCCCAGGATGGTCCTGATCTCCTGCACCGTCACGGCTTTGCGGACCGCGGCGGGTTGGAGCAGGGGCACACCCTTACTCGCAGACTCGCAGCGGCCTAGCTGCCTAGCCGCGCAACCTCACAGGACTGCTGGGAGCCTTGCGGAAAGAAGGCAGGTTACTGCTCCGATTTCTGCGGAAGAGGAAATGCCTGCAGGGACCTCGGAGGGCGAACCGCAGCCAGAAACGCATCAGTAAATTCATTCTGTGTGAGTTCAAGCTGTCGAGGCTGTCGGAAGACCGGTGACATTGTCGTCCCCACGGAGTGCATGAATGCCCGCAACACAGCATCATAAGATTATGCTTAGTTACACGAGATGTATCTACTCTCATTCGAGGCTACCTCACGAAACCCGTGTTGTTCTGCATAGTCTGAAGAGCGCAGTGGCTTGCACTTGAACTGCACGCAGTGTGACAAGCCGGACCTTTAGGTTTACAGCTTCTACACGCCGCACTACGAATGCATCAAGCCAACGGCTGGAGACTGAGCCGTTTCGAACTTGGTGAGCTTTCTCATGCTTTCTCATGATGGGACGGTGGGAGTGGGAGCGGTGAGGCCATCTACATGCCGACCCAAGTCAAGGCCAAGGAGCAGGCTCCTGCACTGCACCGACAGCCCGCGTCGGGGAGTTCTCTTGTGGTTTTGACTGCAGGCCAACAAGACGATGGAGGTAGTGGAGGCTGGAACGGTCGTCGTGGAGGCAGCCAGAGCATCTTTGTCACTTCGCAAGCAAAGGTTCCACTTTAAAGCACGGCAGGATGCGTCGGCAGCGGCACAGCCAGACGACAACTTCACCACCGGGCAGTGGGTTTTGGCGAGCGGCCAAGATGTGATGTGAGGTTTGAATCTGCCTGACCGTGCCTTGGTGTCAGATCGCAGCAACCATTCTGGCCCTGCTCTGCGCCGGCGTCGTCTGCCACAAGCTTGGCTGCGCTGTGAGCCTGTCAGCTGCCAGCACGGTATACTGCAGCCGTGCTCAGGCTGGACACTGTCGGAGGGCAACAAGCGATCTGTCCCACTGAAAATGACGCGGTCGGTGGAGGCGCTCAGAGCGGAGCGGCTCGCCCCTTCCCGGGCTTTGTGGAGACCGGTGCCTGCCCCGCTCTTTGCAGGTCGCTTCCCCGACCTCGGCGACCGGTGCCGACCTTGAGCTTCAGGCAAAGCGCTTTGCCTCGCACGCAAACCGCGATCAGATCTGCTTCTCTGCCTGTCTGCCCATGTCTGCTCTGCCTGGTGGAGGCTCCTTTGACGGCTGGAGCAGCCCTGGGTGCCGTTGCCGCACCGGTCGTCACGGCTGCGCCGATCGTGTCGCAGCAGTGCGCCCGTTCACACACACACACAGACACTCACGCCGCGAGCATTTTAGAGTGTGATCTTCGAGTGTGCCTGGCCTTGCAGGTATCGCTTCCTGCCGGGGGGCACTTCACAAGGTGAGTGGTGGTGGCCCTGGTGAGACAGATGTAGATATGACTCCGACCTTCAGGTTACCAGGCAGCTCCAATGGATGATGGACTCATGGCCCAACCAGCCGAGAGCTAACACCGGGCCTGAAGCTGTGCAGCGGGTGCCGTAAACTGCATCTGAGATTTCCACCGGCGTGATCTCAACTCCAGTTCCTATGGTCAGTGACCAAGCTTTGGGTTCGGTTTCGGTAGAGTTCTTGACATGTTGCTCTTGGTGACACACGCAGAAACACCCCGAAAAGGCCCACCACGACAGAGTCTTCTTTCATCATGTTCATCGTGCAGAAATGCTTGCGCTGCCTTCTGCACAGGCTGGAGCCGTCTACTACCCTTCCACGCAGGTGGCCTATGCCCCGCTTGCAGCATCGGCTGGCACCTCAGACTCCTCGGTTCAGGCCTGTGCTCAAGACGCCACTGTTGCGCGTGAGGTCGCTACCTCGACTCCAGTGCCCATGGAACCGATGATGGCGGCCCTCCCCTGAAACAATCTGCACCTCCCGCTCAAGGGAAGCTCTGACGCGTGCCTCAGGCTGGAAGTTCGGCGGTCCAGGCGAGTTTGCACATCCCGAAAAATTCACCATGGAGCCCTGAATCCAGGATCCAAGAACATGGTGAGCAGCTCCTGCACAGGGGCCACCGACACAATGTCCTGCCTGTGGCAACATTTACGCTATCGACAGTGTATTCTGCCGCAAGTGCGGAGTGAAGCGGCCAGAACACTGAGTCAGCTGCTCGGTTTTGCAAGCGACCGAAATGTTGTCTGCTTCGAGCGGTAGTCCACAACTTGGCAAAGGTATTTCGTTTGATGACTACCTACCTGGGCATTCCTTCTCGAAGGCTGCAGGGTGGGAGCCAGTATTATCTTTGTGATAACTTGCACGATTTGTGCCGCAGCTCAACCCAAGACACGCAGCATTACAGTGTCATGCAATGCATCTCGAGTCTGCAGCAGTGTTGTCAAGTGCCCAGGGCCAGAGCGTCAATCGCCCGCCTACACTCAATGCGCAGAGTGAAAGCGCAAAAGTTTTCACTTGTTGCAGGCAGTTGGATGTCCAGATCTTTCTCATTCTTCGAGCCGCACACGGCTCAGCTGTTGACAATGCCGGACAGGATGCAAGTCATCATCTGATCATGATGAGGATGGCACTAGAGCCGTCCTTTTTTGGCAGGCCAGGCTACTTGCTCCGTGTCACTGCAGCACTATGTTACAGGATGAGCATCGATATGCCACTACAATCTACCGCATGCAGCGGGAAATCATTTCATGCTGCAGCCTGAAGAGTGCTGTTCAACAGGGGACGCCTTTCGAGTAGTCAATCCAACAATACATGTTTGCGAGAGGTGGGGTAAGTAAAGCTTGAGTGTTAGCCGCATTAGCCTGCCTGCATAGCAGCCGAGCTGCCGATCTTCGCCGCTCCGCTCTGATTTAGACGCGATGGAGGCCTTCGTCGCAAGCAACTCCCAGCCGGCGCTGCGCGGCACCGCCGAAGGGCCGGGCGGCTGGGGCTTAGCCCCAAAGTTCCCCAGCGCCAGCGCACCGGGCGAGTCAAGCGGGAGGGGAGCCGCACTGGGCGTGGCCGCACTCAGCGCCTGGGCATGCGTGGCCGCACGTGTAAGCCGGCCGCGAAAGACGAAGACGAAGCTCGGAGCCCGCGGTGGTGATGTGATGGAGGTCATGCCCACGACAGAGATCCATTACTACAAGCTTGACAAGATCAACACGGTTATGATCATGGCTCAGATGCGGGCGGCTCTCAAGGCCATGAAGAACATCGTCTCTGGGACTGAGGAGGCGGAGGAGCAGATGCAGACGGTTCTTTGTGACGAGGATGTGCGCCTCGCACTGGTGTCCCTGTCCCGTTTACCCGTCTTTTCGCACGAGTTTGGCTCCGCCTTCAAGGATGACTTGGACCTGCTGCACTCCCTCAAGCAGTTGAAGTACTTCTGGAACTTGCCCATCAGCCAGCTGGCGATCCTGATGTCCAACATATCCGAGCGTGTCATGACCGACATCACTCAGGACCTGCGGGCTTTCGAGGAGAGGCTGGGCAAGTCCCCTCGACATCTGGAAGCCGTGAAGGAAGTCAGTAAGCGTCTTCCAGAAGAGGTTTATGCCAAGTACATGGAGAACGCTGCTCACCTGGAAGATGCAGATCCGCATGCTGTGTACCCCACTTCGATCTACAGACAGTGTGACGCCCAGACCTTGGCCACGAAGGACGCTTCCACTATCGAGGCAGTGATGAGCACCACCATCACCACCACCATCAAGATTGCCCGCAAGGTTTTGGATCCCTCCAACCACTTGCTCTACGATGTCTACAAGCCCCTTGGCCGGTGCGTGGCCGTGGTGGATGACAAAGTGGACGAACACTACGGGGCGGAAATCGATCAGTACTTCGCGGCCCACGGCATCGAGTTCACTAAGTTGGTTTTCAGCGGCAACGAAGTCGACAAGGGCATTGAGGACGTGGAGAGGATCCTCGTCGCAATGAAGAAGTATTCCCTTGGCCGCCATGAACCTCTTCTGGTCGTGGGCGGAGGAGTCATCGCGGACATCGCGGGCTTTGCTACATCCCTGTACTCCAGGAACACTCCGTACGTGATGCTTTGCACGTCCATCGTCTCTGGGATCGATGCAGGCCCGTCACCTCGCGTGTGCTGCAACGGCTTCGACTACAAGAACCTTTACGGCTCCTACCATCCACCGGTGCTGACGATCACAGATCGAGGCTTCTGGAAGACTCTGCATCCCGGATGGTTGCGCCATGGCGTGGCAGAGATCATCAAGATGGCAGTCATGAAGGACCTGTCCCTTTTCGAGCTTCTGGAGCGCCATGGTGTCCGTGCGGTGCAGACGAAGTTCGGGACCGAAGGCGACAGTGTCGATGACCCCGAGTTCCAGGACGTGTGCGACCTCATCGTCGGGAAGGCAATGGAGGGCTACGTGCGATCTGAGTACGGCAACCTCTGGGAGACCCACCAGTGCCGACCTCACGCATCTTTGTCATAGTTGGATAACATTTACATTTTTATGGTTTCTTGAACCGAAGAAGGAATAGACATATACATTTTCAATAACAGTGGACCAGGCATATGGACACACCTGGTGCCCTGGCTATGAGCTGCCAGCAGGCATGCTGCATGGGCAGGCCGTTGGCACATGCATGGGCTTCGGAGCCTACCTCTCGTTCGTGGAGGGCTGGGTTTCCCAGGAGGAGATGCACCGCATCTTGAAGGTGATTTCAGATTGCGAGCTCTCCTTGTACCACCCAGTCATGGACGACGACCAGATGGTCTGGAAGACTCAGCTGGCCATCGTGGAGAAGCGAGGTGGCAACCTTTGCGCTCCGATTCCTAAGCCTTTGGGCTTCTCGGGCTACTTGAATGATCTTTCAGAGGAGATGCTTGCTCAGAGGATGCAAGAGTATAAGGACCTGGTGTCCAAGTACCCGCGCGCCGGCCGCGGTGTCGAGGAGCACTGCGTGGACGTGGGCCTTGAGGACCCTCAGGCGAAGAAGCTGCAGAAGCTTGGTGCTGTTTAGACGGGGCTGCGGGAATAGGAATGAGCATCCCTAACCGCTAACCATCCCATTAGGTTTCCTTTCATGGTCAACTAACCGAGGAAGAAGGCGGAGGCTGATGCGGGGCTGGCCAAGCTTGCCGCTGCGAAGCTGGACCTGTTGAAGGAGCTTAGAGACGAGGGCCTTCTGACCGATGAGCAGTTCGATCAGAAACTGCAGCTTCACGGAGCTGCTGCATGAGTACAGGCATGACATAGACATACCCAAGGTTTGTGGATATCCAGACCACATGCATGTGACCAGATCAATACGCGTGCGCGCGAAGTGACAGTGACGTGAGTGGATGGTTGAATGACAGAATGTTGGACAGATTTTCGACTCTAGAATCGTAGTTCCCAAAGAGGACAGCGAGATTTTGGTCCTAGCTGGTCGGTCAGCTGTAAAGCCCCTGGAGCCTTGTTCGGGGAGACCAGCAGGGCCCCATCAGATTTTCGAGAGGCCTGCAGATTTCAGCCTTTGCCTTTACAACAGATCCCTCGCAGATGCGCCGCAAATACCTCTTTGCTGACCGGTCAATGTGACCCAAGCATTCCGAGATCTGCTTTGTGAGTGCATCCTGGTCTGGAAAGGTTGGTCCGATAAAGCAGGGCGCCAAGAGTGCCGGGCGAGCTCCAAGAGGCTGTCAGGCGTGAGGCTGGCAAGGCCGAGCCAGCGAGCCATCTGAGGTCAATGATGACACTGAGTTTTGCGGCTCCCAGCAAAATCGCTGCGGTCGCTAGGATGTGCCGCGCAGGAACCAGTTTTGATGTGTCAGGGCTGCCTAGCAGGCGGGCACACCGGAATGTTGCTGAGTCATGTTTCTGCGCGGTCACGGACTATAGTTGTGCTTCTCCATTTTTGTGTTGAATATGCTTCTTTCCATCATATACCAGACCCAGTGGACCTACATCATTGTCGGCCGTTTCATTCAAGGCTAACACGCTCCACTTAGCACTCCGACCATGCCAGCTCGCATAATTATGTGGTCTTTGCGTGGGTATTGCGTCCTGCAATGAAGATAGAGATAGGTTGCCATCAACGCGAGAGCCGCGTGAAGACCCCAACATCATCTCCCAATGCGGAACGATGAGAACTGCGGAGATACAATGCGCATCATGGAAATCATGACGATTGCAACGCCGTTTGTTGCCGCTTCAGATGATGAGGGCAGGGAGCTGCAGCCAGCGGAGCTTTCGCACCACAGGAGCTGTAGGACCTCCACGTAAATTACGTAAGATTATGTAAGTTCAATAGGTACTGCAGTAAGTCAGTAAATCCCCATCACTCAATGAACACAGACGCACAGTTACGTCGCACCACCCACTGGAAACATCTCGACGATTTTTCATCCTCCAATATCCCCTTGGGCGGACACCTGTAGAATTCTGTGTTTCTGGCCATGCGCGAGATCAGTGAGCGATCACCCTGCCATGGTCCGATCATGGCATAAAAGCCGGCGATGACCTCTGAGGAGGTTGAGCTGGACATAGCGTCCTTGACCAGGGCCCTGGAGCAACTCAATGGTGAAGTCCATGGATCACGTGTCGGAGTGCTCGATGCGATTCGATCCCGAGGGGCAGAGTTTTCTGCGGCTTCTGGCCAGGTCAGCGAATTGCAGCGGCGAGTTACCGAGTTGAAGGAGGATCTTGGGATTGCATCCACCGCTACCCCGGCTGCCCTGGCTGCACCAGTCCTGGCCTTGCAAGCCGCTGACGTGCAGCAGGCCTCGGAGAGGCATTCACAGCTCAAGGCCCAGCTTTCAGAACTCGATGAGGGCGTTGGGATCCTTGCGATTCTCCTTGAGGTACGAAGAATGCTCGCTCGAGTGGAAGACCACCTGTCAGGACACAGGTTCACACAGGCCGCCGAGCACCTGCAAAACGCTGCCGCATCTTTGGCAGAGATCTCTGCGCCGACGGGCATGGACGAGCCCGACATGATCCGGTCTGCGAAGGCTGAGTACTCCAGACTGCGAGCAAGCTTGGTGGCCGATCTCGATGCTGGCTTCCATGAGCTGGTCTTCTCTGGGACAGACGCAAGCGCCGGATGCGCTGCAAGTGTTGAGCGATTGCAGGAGCTTTGGAGTCTGTATCAGGTTCTAGGCTTGAGGGGCCGTCGACTGGACCGGCTTTCTTGTGAAGTTCGGAGAACTCTTCTGGCACCGCTGCTGGCCGCGGCTGCGAGACTCGGGCCGGGCCGGTGCTTGCGCCGTTTGAAGCAAAGCCCCGGCCCTGGCCGCCCTGGCTTCGCCAGGGGCGTCCTTGGCTTCGCTTGGGAGGAGGCTCCGACGAAAGCCGCCTCCGCCTCCGCGAGACACTCCGGCGAAACCGTGCTGCCGCCGCTGCTGGAGCTCTTCGAGGAAGCCTGGCACTGGGCCGGTGAACTCCCGGAGGCCGGCCCCGGCCAAAAAAGGGCACCACAGAAACAAAGAGAAGCAGAGAAGCAAAGGAGCAGCAGAGCAGGCTTGAGGGGCTTCGTCTTGAAAGGCGGTAAACAGAAAGCGAGGGCCGTCGGATCTTCGCAGAGGTCTACGCCGCCCTGGGCTCTCGGCTCTACGCCCACGCCGCGCGTCAGCTCTTGAGCGCCTTGGCCTTGCCTTGGCGGTCGGAGCCTACACTTCAACCGACGCGTTGCGTCGGTTCTGCGCTTAGCCGCTTGCAAGGCCACTTCGAGGTTTACGACCTCGATGAGGGCCGAGCCATCGAGGAGTTCGAGACGCGTCTCCAGTCGCGAGGCGCGGCCGACACGAAGCCGACTGAAGAGCAGCGCCATGGCGCCATGTCGCAGGTTTCATCCGCGCTTCTGAGAGTCCGCTGCAGAGGCATGTTCGTCAACTCAGTTTTGCGCAATGCTCGGTTGAAACCAGTGAATTGCATTCTGCAGTAGCAGCAGCATGTCGCAGCGAAAGCTAAGGCGAAGGACGAGGCGCGGAGGGCTTCCATCCTCGTCCAAGCCAAGGCTTGGCTTCAGGCCGGGGAAGTGGCGGAAGTGGAGGCATTTCCTTAAGTGGGGTCTTAGTCTTGTCAGAGTCTTGCTTCCTAGCCTGCAGTCTCTGCAGGCTGAGTCCGCTGACTTGGCCTGCCTGTCACGGTTTTACAAGAAGAGGAACCAGACTACTATCGACGTTTTGATCCCGTACAGAGACGCAGGGGTTAGGGATTGAAGACATGCGAGCCTCAAGAAATCGAACTAGGTGTTGCTGTTCCGGCCCAGGTTGCATCAACAGCAGATACCAACACACCGCAGCAAATCGTACCATTCGTCACCACAAGGTCATGGTGGCTCTTTGTGCCACAACCTGAGCCGCAACAGTTCCTACTGCCGTGCTGTTGGTGGCTGCTTCTGACCCAGTCTTTGCCAAAATGGCTCTTGGTGGCTCTTTCTGACCCAATCTGAGCTGGAAGAAATCGTCCTGCCGCCTTGGTGTCCGCAAATCCCAAGCCACTGGGTGCCAGCATTAGATTCACTATCGCAACGTAGGATGTACAAGCTGGAGAGAGAAACTCACGTCTTTCTTGCGAGCGGGTCTGACCCCGCGCCACCAAGATTTTGAGACACATGGCCACTGGACCCCCCCCAAGCTTTGTTCACACAAGCCCACAGCAGCAAGCTGGAGGCATTGGGCTTGCGGCGCAAGGATTCGGAAACATCCGGTTGGTGACAATCGTTTCTTGTTGGAAGCTGGTTGAAGCCGCTTTCATCTGGGCCTGCTGAGTTTTCTCAGAGAGATGGGGAGGATACAGAAGGTTCATTTGAGTAAAATCAAGCTTCGGCCCTCCTCGAAAGCATGAAACCAACACAGAGTTTTCAAGATAGAACGGAACTGCCGCCGAACTTGGGCTGTCAAACACAAGATGTTCTTGCCCTGCAGCATGGCAGGTCAGCGTGGATGATGCTGCTTTCCATGATGTGACCGAGCTCCTGCAGTCGGAGGCTGCCGAGTCGCACTGATGTTTCTGCCGTTCTCGGCCGGCTGCCTCGGAGGTCCCTTCGCCGCCGAAGCCGCCGGAGCTCCAGAAGAGTCTCCGCCTTCCTTCGATGAAGGCCTGAGACGGCGAGAAAGCCGAAGGCACCAGAGCCTTCCTGCTTCCTGTGCTCCTGCCCGAGGTGTCGTCTGTGCTTCTGCGGTTGGTCAGGTGCCATCGGGCCGCACACGGCCGCACTAGCGTGTGATCTGCGTCACTGCAGGTGCATCTTGAGCTCCGTGAAGGCAGCCTGGGACGGACAACAGGAAGCAAAAGAGACCCTCGAGCTCGTTCGGCGACTCTGCATGCTCTTTGCATTGGTGAGGCTTGGTATGCGGCCGTTGAGTTTGGACTTCCCAGAATCTCTCGCCTTGACAGCCTGCGAGGCCGCATGTGCACCAACTCAAAGTGGATGCGAAGCTCTGTTCAGTCTTTTTGGCCGATGTCCTGTGCTTGGTGAACATTCTGATCTGGCTACCCTACAGATGGCCCACGTGTCCTGACATATGGCAAGTCGTCAGTTGCGACTGTTTCTGAGATGCGTCTTTCTCGACTCAGCTTCAGTGTGCACATGTCGTGAGGCCTCATCCAGCCGACCTAGTGACTCTCGACTTGGTGCCCCAGCTTCGTCAGCTGGGCGAGCTGCATTTCACTGGCATGCTGCGATACCAGAAGGAGCTCGAATGACACGCTGCAGCACGCTTCCAGTTCCTGTACATGTTTTCTGTACCTGTCAGGACCAGCTCTTCTCGGCCTTGTTGCCGTGCAATTTGGGCCGGGGTGCCGCGGAGGATGCTGCCTACGTCGCCACAGAGGCCGCCCTGGGCGCAGCCGCGCAGCAGCTGAAGGCCAACTGTGTTGCGGGGGTCGGTGGCGGGTGGAAGCTCCGGGCTTCTTTCCCTCCGAGGTTTTCTGCAGCGGCGTTTATGGAGTACTCCCTGCCCAAATCCTCCGAGAGAGCGTCCTGCTGCTCCTCGGCTTTTTCTGCAAGGAGCTCGTGCGGAGGCACCTGGAGGCTGCCGACGAACCGCTGTCAAAGCCGACGAAGGTTGATCTAGCAGCTGGCGTTGGGCGAGTTGTCGGCGTCGGTGGCCGCTTGTTGGAAACTTTCGCGGGAGCTGCAGGCGTGGGGGGCTCTGGCTCAGACGATTTCCGAGAAGTGCTGGCTGGATTGAAAGATCCACGAGTCCCGGACGCGAGTCCTCAGATGGAAGTCTGGGTGCTGGACGGAGAAGACGTGTCCAGCGTGATTGCGCTGTTGACATCTGCACAAGCGATGGTGCGCCAAAGCCTTCAAGCAGCAAACCTTGCAGCTGTGGAGGACGAGGCCCGTGCTCAAAAATGATGAAATCAAAAGCACGGTGATGACTGCCAGGTCCCAGGTTACTCCGAGCTTCAGCTGGTAGCAGACTTGCTGGGCTCCGACTTCTCGCGGTTCCTCCAAGGGCGCAAGAAGATCCTGACGCCTAGATCGCAATTGAGTCGAAGAGCAGATTCGTCTGCAATCTCTAGTGGTGTCACATGCAGCTTCAAGTCAAGGAAAACCATGCAGCGGGACGAGGTGATCCGGTTAATGAAGTTGAGCTGGCAGGACGAGGAGCGAATCATCTGGCCTTGACTGCTTCAGCCATGTTGCAGGTCATCACTTCACGAGCAAAATCTGCAGTTACTTAGATTGGTGGTGCTGTGTTCGCTAGCCGCTCTTTGCGCTCCTTCCCTCTCTTCTGTTGTGCTTTCCTCCCAGAAGCAGTGCCTCCCTCCCCTTCTCCCCTGCCGGAGCTGCAAGCTTTCCCAAGTGCACCTTCGTTCTCCCGAGCAGGCGCTGACGGCGGAGGAGGCCTGGCGCGTCCTGACAGCCGGCTGAAGAAAAGTGCAAACAAACATATGCAAACTTTGCAAACCAAAGCGATAAATGCTGAGCACGAACCTGCGGTCTCGCCGCAGCAAGAGTCCCAAGATGCTTTGGCTGGTCGGAAAGTCTTAGCTCCCGTATTTCCCGCTAAGTCACAGACGCCGGCTACTGCAACATCACACATGTAGCTACTTAGCAGCGCAAGGATCTAGGACAAAGCACAGAAGTAAGTCAAGGCCTCGGAGCCCGCTGCACTGATCACATGCAGCCGTGCCACGTGTCGGCGTTCTAGTTTGATGCTTTGCATTATGGGCGGTGTCTGTCATCATGACATGGATCCGATGGAGCTCCTCAGTTGGCACTAATCAACGCTTCTCTGCTTCTGTAGGGCCCTAACGAGTAGCCAGACAATCTGTAGATGTGGCATGGCGAGTTTCCCAGTGTTGCTGCTCGAAGATCCCAGCCATTCTGTCAAGGTCTGTTGCTAATGTCATCGATTCTCTGGCTCTCGTCGTAAGGTTGGCTGCTCCTACTGGACCTATGGAGAGGCATTCATTGCATGAGTTGCTTCTCCGAGATACAGTTCAGCTGGTGCGAGCAAGCTGGAGCACGCAGAAACGTTTTTTTCTTATGGCGTTTGCAGTGTTGGGTGTGTTGCAACAGACGTGGGGCTGAGCTGCGTGACGTCGGGGCCACTCATTTCGTGTCAGGTACAGCCAGACGGACCCTAATGCAGCGCCGAACTGTCCTGACGCTTGACCTCAAGCAGACAGCCGTCCTGCCTCGCAGTGTCACCTCCTGCAACGGCCTGCAACACCCTAAGGAGTATGTTTTCTCGATCGCTGGCTTTCAGAGGAAGCTGGATACTCACTACAACTCTGGGGGCCGGCCCCCACTGTTGGAGGCTGGCTTAGCGAGGGAGTCGGTGGTTTCGGTGCCCCGAGTCGCAAGCAGGCCTTCTTCTTGATGCGGCTCCACCAGGACTTCTTGGATGCAGCAAGTATGACACGCTGCAGAGGGGGTTTCCTTGCAGGACTACAAGCAGGGCTTAGTGGATGCTGATTGCCCGAATCCACTAATCCTTGCTTTGCTGCTGCTCGACAGGAAAGTGTTTTTTCCGTGGCAGATTCGATTCCTGTCGACTTCCTGCCTACCAATTTTTCCTTTCTGGCCTGTCCTGTCTCGCTGTTTGCCGGTTCTCGCGCAATGTGGTAACCTGGTATGTTTTTGTTGCCTCTTTGCATTGTAGGGATTATGCATTCTGGCTACCCTGAAATTACATTCGAAGGCGTTTCAATGCCCTTCATAGGATCCCGAGTTTGATCCAAAATGGAACACCAACAAGACGAGAGACGGCCATTACCATTTTCGTCGTAACATTGGGAAGATGCCATCGAGGCTTGTGAGCGAGGTCCAGCTGCAAGCGCCGCCATGGTATGACTTGGACCGGGCCTTCGCGCTGCTCAGAAGCCCTGGCGATGATGTAATGTACGACTTTGCACAGGCCATCTCCGAAGAAGGCGCGGCGGGTCCTTTAACGGTCAGCCGGACGATGTTGCAGGCGTCTGCAGTGCTGTGATGTGCAGGACGGTCCCTGCACGATGTGGGCCTTCGACTCGCAAAGGAGGCGGCGGGGGGGAGGAAGTTGCATAAAAGAGTGTGAAATTTTTGTGCGCTGTGGCTCCTCCGTGCTAAGCTACAGGCTTCACCATTCCAGCAGCACCTCATGGCATCGGCACCAGCTGCTTGGCCGCTGCGCAAAGCTCTCAAGCGGGTGCAGGCAACGCGACGCTTCCTGCGCTCCGAAGCTTCTGCATGCTTCTGCATGCTTCTGCTCTCGCTCACTCTTCAACTCCGCACTGTGGCACAGTTCGTGTTCTTTGCAAGGCAGCCCAGGACCGGCTCAGCGATGCGGTGCCGCTGATTGCGCAAGCAGTGCTCGGCGGCCATGCGCCCTCAGCATGTGCTACCGTGCTTCCAGGGGTCGCAGGACAGGGCCGAAAGTCAGTCTTGCCTGTTGCCCCCTGTGAACCGCTGACCTCCGTTGACCCCAGGAACCTCTCTGCCGGCACCGGGCGGCTTCAACACGGCATGTTGGGACGGTCCCGCTGCCAGTTCTGCAAGGATCTTTGGCTGCAGTGACTCCACAGACTGCGGCAGGGATGGAAAGATGCACTGGCCAGTAGCAAGAAGGACTTCTATAGACCCTCTACGGTGATTCAGTTGCGATGTTTGCAAACACACGCCGACGCTGGGGTGCTCTCATTCTGATGCATTGCAGGCTGGACCTTGTGGTCGCGCACTGCAGAGAGCCGTTGGATTGGCTACACACCAAACTCACAAAGATGCCTCCAGGCTCGAGGCCGGAACTCGCACTGTTTGCCTTCGCCGAAGAAACCATTTCCTCCCGTTTCCTCCAGGCTCTTCCTGTACGAGAAGTGTGGGGCTTGGACGGACCCGTCTTCCTTTGCAGCCGGGCCATTTCAAGCAGTGCGCGTGATCGCGCGTCCAGACATAGGCTCGCCGGCCCAAAACTGACTCTGCTCCGGCTCCTGCGATCAAAGCATGAGCAGCCATGAGCCGGCTCTATGCTTTCAGTCTGTGAGCCACTCTTCTTAGCATCAAGCCTCGGTTGTATTCTCTTGACTACCTCCTGCATTAACCTTCCTCGAGACATGTGAGCTTGCTGCCATCGGTTGCAGGAACATCGCCCAAAACGACTGCGAAATGAGAATGTGTTGACATCTGCTGGGGCTCTCCCCTTCCGACTTCCCACAGAAAACGAATCAGAGAAGCAAACTGGTACACGGACCTGTGAAAGTCGTGCCCGTTTTTGTGTATGTACAGCAGAGCATGCGGGGAAGCTTTCCGATAAGTCGTGCCCACAATGCTAAACGCCTAGTAAGTGCATGATTTTGCAAGCAAACCGGTTCAGTACTGTTTAACATGTTGAAGGCATGTAAACACCAAGTAAGTGCAAGGTTCGGCAGTCGCCACCGGGACATAGTTCGAAGTGCATGTTTGTTGCGCTTACATGGTGAATTGCTGTTCGGAGTGGTTTGGCAACCGGCGAAAGGAACACATTTGTGAGTTACCGGTGCTGTCGAATCTATTGGCCGGATAAGGCGGGGAAGCATATTGCGGCGGCACCATGAAAACAAACCAAGAGCTCCTTCTATGCGGGGAAGTCTTTTGGTGGTGGCGCCTGTCGACGACTGAAACCCACAAGACAATGCGGGAAAACATTTTGCCGTGGCACGGTTTCCAAGATGATGATCTGCGGTGTTTGTTTGCTGCAGGGCACAGGCCTGTCGTCCCAGGTCCTGTGTGCAGTTGGGGATTCCGCTAAACCGCATACGTGAGCGCTGCACGTTTAAAGTTGACCATGTATGACCCCGACAACCCTTTGATGCATGCGCTTAGATGGGGGAAAGGGTTCCGGGCGCGACTTGTCGTGACTTCTTGAATCATGCGCTTACATGGGGAAAGGCCACCCGGGCACGACCAAGGCATGACTTTCGCAGTTGCCTGTAGTTGCTCTATTTTCCACCTGCAGACAAGCCGCAAAACAGGAGCAGCCCGTGGTGACGAGTGCTCGGCGTACTTGACCCATATCCTTGCAAATTACCAGAAGCTGGCGGACTTTATTGTCTTCCTCCAGAGTGATCCGATGGATCACTTACACATGGACTTCTTGGACTTGGTGCTGAGGAGCATCGCGGCCGGCACCTATGATGTCGGCTTTCTTCCCTTGAATGGTCCTCGCCACGTGCGGACGCTCACACCATGCCTGCAAGCAGTTCACGAAGAGATCTTCGGTGAGAACCTCACAGCCCTTGTAGGCCGCGTCTTTCTGTCGTAGTCCTCGTGTGATGCCCTGTAACGTTCGGTGCCTGCAGGGCCCTACTGCTGTGCGCAGTTTGCAGTGTCCCGGGAGACGGTCCAGCAGCGCAGCCTGGAGCTCTGCAATCTGCAATGAAAGCCTGTGATTTGGAACCTTGGCCCCGTCGCAGGACTTCTTCTCCCGTATGTTGAGCTTGGTTGATGGCTCCCGTGATGTGGATCTATGCGGCGTGGAGGGCACAAAGCGGAGTACGCAGTGCTACGGTTTCGAGTTCCTCTGGCATGTGGCCTGGTGCCCAGAGGGATTCGGCTCGGTTCGGTTGGGCTGCTCGACGTGTGTGAGGTCTTTGGTGAGGAGGTCGACCCACCCAGCCGAGAAGACGACATGCGCCTGCCGGTGTCGCTGCGCCTCAAGCATGGCAAGGACGCTCGGATCTGCTCGGCCACTTGCGTTGGCCCATGCTTTCGCTGCCTTAGCTGCTAAAGCCTTCAGGAGCATTCTCGGCTAAACTGGATTGGAATGCCTCTTGCCCGCGACATCCCCCTGAAGCTGGTGCCAGATCATGAGCATGGCAACCCTATGTTTGCAGAAGAAAAAGGCGTCTGCAGACAGGAGGCAGCGCTGCCCAGAGAAATTAATCGGCCATTATGCAGGGTGTGATGAACCATGTGGTGCATCTGCAGACTGCTCACAGGGCATGAGTGGCACGTTGAAGCATGTTGGCCATGGCGGAATGGAGCTGACGGAAGCACTGGAGACAGGGGGTTAAGCAAAACACATGGACCTCATCACCAAGTATTTGGACTGTGAGGCCGCTGCAGGGGCAGAGTGCCAGCACGCGGCGGGATACAGCCCGTTTGTGAACATTCTGATGATCGGTTGACACTCTGTTGACAATATTGCTGGTCCTCGTCTCAAGTTGAAACCAAGTGTCCGCAGAGTTGGGGGGAGCTCTGCACATTTCGGCACAGGTAGCTGATGATGTGTCTCCGTGGCACGAACTGCGTCAACTCACGCAAGAGCACCTGAACTTCGCCGGCCAGAGCCTTACTTGGTACCAGCTTTCCTTCCCTTGTGCTCTGCAGCTCTGAGGTGTGAAGGTTCCTTCCTCGCTGCTCCTTGTGGTCCGGCGTGTGCTGCGGATTTGGACACCCTTGGCACTGCTGAGGGCGCGGCAAGAGCTCTCCGCACCACTGAGCCTCGGACAGCAAAACTGCAGCAAGTCTCTCCTTGACTAGAGCGTTCGCGTGAAACTCCTATTGTGCAGGATCATGCAGGATCCGCCGGGTTGCTCCTTAAGCTAACTGCCAGATTGCAACAAAGATCTTGATCGCCATAATGATTGACAGAAAAGGACTGGCCGAGCACCACTACCACCTGAGAGTGAGACTTCCTGCATCTATGGCGTCTTGACTGCCAACTTCTGGCACTGCTTCGATATCTCGTCAGAGGCTTCCTCACTCAGAGTTGAGCGATGCCTGAAGCGCATCACACGGGGTCCTCTCGTGAACATGGACACCCGAGAGAACTGGGGTCCCTTGGAATTCTCGCAAAGCTCACGCTGGCCGCTGCATCTTCTGGACGTGAGGCTGGTTCAGGATCAGTGGACTGCTTGCAGTGAAAATGGCCTCTCCGTGTCCTCGTGCCCAGCTGTGGGTCTCCCGAAACTGCGTCTCTTGCATGGTCTGGCGGAGGGCATTTCCGTGCCGACCGCCCCATCAAAGCTCGTTCTCCAGCAGCTGGATCTCTCCGCAAGGGATCTGACGCCCCCCTTGCATGCCGTCAAGAAGAGGTTCGGCACAAAGGCTTTTCACATGGTGGTTATCGGCTCTCACATGGGCAGCAACATGGAGCCTTTGTCCATGGTCGAGGCATGCTTTGCCCAGGCAGGTGTGCCGCTGGCTTCTACCGTGTTGGGCACCACGTACCCCTTTCCAGAGATCATGTGCGAGTCATTTGGCCATTGTGAGCAGAATCGTCACATTGACGCTGCTGTGCGCCTTCTCGTCCAGCAGATGTATCGCCCAACGTGGGAACCTCAGCATCTCCTCAACTTGCTTCATGCAGGCTTGCAAGGCTTGAAAGATCCCAGTTTCGGAGAGCCGGATCTGTTTCTCTGCGCGCAGCCGATGGCCTTGTGCTCCTTCCTTCGCAGTCTCACCAGCCAGCCCATGCTACTCTACCAAGCCTTCCCGTTGGTTGGTGCTACCCCAGAAGCCTTCCGACACCTACTGCTTGTGCAGTTGCGAGAGGTGCAGGTGTCCAATCCGAGACGTTCCAGCCTCATCGCGTACTCCGAGTTTCTGGCACAGCAGGTGCAGCGTCAGACCGGGCAGAGACCTGTCTGCTTACGGCCTCACTCTCTGTATGCCGTGGGAGCGGGAGCTCGGACTTCCACGTATGACCCTGACACGCGGAATCCTCGAGTGTTACTGGGAAGAATGGCTGGCTGGGCCAGGGACGGTGCTGGAGCAATGGTACATCTGATGGAGGCCTTCGCGCAGGACATGCTGCGGCCGGGCAGTTCTTTACGGCTTGTCACCCGGTGATACTGTTGGAGCATGCGTTGCTTTGTGTGTTTGCACTTTGAAGCATGTTCCCCTCTCCAGCCGAGGTGTTCCTTGGCCTCAGTCGCGAAGCATCAGAGACCGTGGCTGGCATAGCGAGACCTTTCAGCTACCACGAGCTCCGCCGGTTCCGGGCTGCCGTGTACTTTCCTTGGGATATGGGAATGCTGCTGTTCAGTGAGCTTTACGCCATTGGGGTTCCGACCTTTCTGCCGGACAAAGCCTGGGTGGTGTCGATCATCAAGAGACACTCAGAGACAGATTTGAATGTGGCCTTGCCTTGATCCCGTATTCGAGCGATTCGAGCAAGTATGCAGTCGGTAGAATTTAAACAACCTTGACAGCAATTCTTCTTGAGGAATGCTGGAGTACACTGATTTTGGGTGGTGGCAGGCTCGAGAGGAGGGCTCCTCTGTAGCCTTGCCATCTGATTCCAACGTTACCTTGGACTGGCCGTGGTTTGGGGAGAACTCTACTATGGCACATCTTCTCTCGCCCCTTGTCGAAGCCATTTCAAGGATTTTGTAAATGCCGAGCACTGCCTGCGTGTGTTGCGAGGTTGTATGGCCTGACGGATTTTGCTCGCTGGCGGGGGGCTGTGATATTATGTGTACTTTCCTGTGGCGCTCCTTAGTTGTGTCTGCAGGCCGTATGTGACGACCTTTCCCAGCCTTGCCCGCCTGATGGCTTCGCTTCGAGATGCAGATTTCGATGCGACGAGCCGCTTGGCCGCGCTTCCTGACGTATTGGTACTTCCTACTGTCAGTGTGACTCGCGCTCAGGCAGGCTGATGCTGCGATGGAATGAGGCAAGCCTGCCGCTGCCGCTTTCCCGACAAGGATGTAGATTCGTTTTCTGCAGCAGGGCGTGGTTTACCATGTCGGCAGAGCCTTGCGTTTGGCATGGATAAGGTCACTGAACATTCTGGGACGCACGTTGACGGCCATGCTGGACAACACATCTGATCCATCAGATGTGGACGAGTCAAGCTGCGTGTGAAAACAGTGGGACGAGTTTAAAAAGGAGTATTCAGCAGAGGCGTGGTTGCAGAGATCACTTTGGAACAAATGCAGACTCTGGCTGTTTCGGGCTCTGCTTGAGTGGCTAAAATGTTGTATCATGTAACGACATTCAAAGCACTTCTCATTCATTCGTCGTGGCGCTGCCATAAAAGCCCTACAACAATCAGCAACGAAACTCACCGCATTTCGCTCAGGCTGATCAAGACCTATCGAAGAAAGCACAACGTTGTGACACATTCAGGGAACGGGAGGTGTGGGGAGCCATGCCCTATCCAGGGGGACCAGCGGCGCAGCACCAAGAGTGCAAGAGGATGTGGCTGTTTGGCTGTCTTTCCGGTGCCGATTGGTGTCTGCTAAGGGCATGTCCAAGGAGGACCCGAAGTCACCGAAGCACCTCACTTCGGGTCCACAGGCCGGAATTTTCACTCGTCTCATTGTCAGAATCTATGCCTGCGTCACTGCAGAGGCGAACCGTGTCAAAGTCAATCCTCAACCTCCAAACCAGGCACGTCCGGCCTTGCTAGCATCTAGGGCGAGCGCATCCATGCAAATCACCTTCGTTGAAGAAATGAAGAAGTAGACTGAAGACCTCGAGGCTGACATCTAGCAGACATCCACAGTACCGGGGCCCACCCCCAATGCACTTCCTAGGAAGACAAGGTTCCAGAGTAGCCGTTGCCATCCCTGATCAGCTCTGTGGTGACGTCGACACCCTGCCGGCCTGCGAGAACTCCAGCCTGCTGTCCATGCCTCCAGTCTGCGCAGGCCTGGCCTGTGCAGCATGCTTCTGCAAGATGGGGTGGGGGGATTAGGTAGCCTAAGCCTAGGTGAAGGTTCGGATGCTGTGCTGACGAGGCCGTCGTAAAGCTTCCACAGAGGACGGTGAAGAGGACCACGCCCGCACGCGTGGGCTGGGCTGCCACGTCTACATCGGGACTCCTTCCCTCCTCCCTCGTCTTCCGTCGTCTCCTCTTCCCCGGCTCCCCGGCTCCTCCCTCCTCTCGTGCCCCCAGTGCTTCTCCGCACGTTGTCAGGAGCTGTCCATGAGCCTCTTGTCGAGGGAGGAGATCTTCATCCGCACCTTCCCAGGCGCGGGATGATTGAAAACAGAGACATTTTGACAAGCCGAGACGTCTTGGGCAGTTCTTGAAGATGAGAGTGCTTCTAATGCAGAGGTGTTGTTTCAGTGATGTCAGTGGGAGAGCTGGCAAGGTACCTACTGGAAGGCAGGTGCCAGTGATGAAGACATGCGCCGACCTCGGATGTCCGGTAGGTAGGTAACTCTGCATTTCGTTGTTTCGTGGGTTCTTCGAGGGGAGTTCGCATTGGCGGCGTTCGCGTTGCCAGGTCTCCGGTCCGGTCGGGCGCATGTGCTCAAGAGGAGGAAGAGACCGAGGATGCTGCAGGCACCAAAGCAATAGCAGAACAGCATTCGCAGCCTGCTTCCGGCTCCGACTGCATCCTTCCGCTGCGTCCTGCGACAGGAGCCTCCACAGACCTCCCTTTGATCCACAGCCCAGGAGGTAGCGTGCCGCTGCCTCGGGCTTGCCTCTGACTCTGGGCCTCGGCATCCTTGAACAAAGCTCAGGTCAGCGACCTCCTTGAGCGCCTCGGACCACTTCTCGTCGCCCCCAGCACCTCGGAGCAGAGATGCGCGGAGCATCGATGGAGCCCTGGTCCTGGCCCCTGGGAGGCGACGCAGCGGGGCGACAAGCTGAGGGAGAGCATCTGCCCGGGTCTCGGTGAGCTCGGATCTTAGAATCCTTTAGAGTCGTGACATGCCGTGACCACAGGCCGAGCGGCGCGAGCGGAGCCCACAGGCGCGCAGAATGGGAAGTCTTCGACTTGGGGGACTTCGGGCTATCGCCTCTCGCATCGTCAGGGCAAGAGATGCAGCGGCCATCTAAGTTCTTCCGGGCAGCACAGTGAACGCCAGACAGACTGGGTTTCTCAGCACAAAGGCCGGACAAGTCCGAGGACATGGTCTGTGAGGGCATGTGAGGGCTTTCAATGCCGACGGGTACAGTTGTTTGCTGTACTCACAGGATGGGGTTACGAGAAAAGCGTCCGATCTGGTGGTCAGGCACGCGCGTGAACAGCCAGCATATTCGGATAATGAGGCAGCGCATGCCTGGACAGGCAGCACACGGCGTCCACTGACGATGAAACTCAGATCCACCGGGCTCCCTGCCAGCACGTGTCACGTGCTGAAGGCGCATCCGCGCATGCTGTTTGCCTCGTCATTGAGGTTGCGACGTCGCCAGCATCTATGGCGCAGCTACCGTTTCTGCCTCAGTCAAGCATCGCCATGTTGGGTGTGGTCACAAGATGGAGCAAGGCAGCCTGCACAACCTTCAGGAGATTGCATGAGATTGCTTGCGGTTGATTTGCGGGTCTTAAGCGCAGATCTCACATGAACGTCATGTGAAATAACACTGTACCCAGGGTCGGAGTCAGACGCTTTCAACAGTGACAGGAGCTCCGCAATCTCCGGTGCCTCAGCCGGTTGTGTGTCTCGACTTGCGATATTCGACATAAGACGTCGAGCATGCTTATTGCATCTGCCTTCCTACCCAGGCAGATGACTCAAGTCCTTGCACCGCCGAAGATGGAGCTCTCGCTTTCAGGGGCTTGCTTAGACCTCCTGGTCGCACCAGGTGTGGGTGGTTCCCACGAAAGTCCCGCTGTCGGGGATTTGATCTCCGTATGCAGGTGATGTGCTGCTGATGCGTGGGTCAGGGCGACTGGCCGAGATCGGCAACGCCGGCGGCTTCATGGGGCACGTGCTGGTTGTGCTTCTTGGCGAGAGGGCATCGAGTCCAAGTCCTGTCGGAGTCCACGGCAGTTCCAGGGCCGCATATCTAAGGACTGGCAAGCCTCGAGAGGTGCTGGCAACCTCCGCCGAAGCAGGGCAGCTCGCGAGCCTTTGGCCCGAGAAGGCAAAGAGGAGGGTGGGAAAATGCCGGCGTGCGGCCGTCCCGTGGTGCGGTTTGCAGGCCCAAGCAGTGTGGCGCATACCGACCTTGGAAAGCACGCGACGGGAGCAAGGCTTGTGGGAAGCCGAAGCTCGTTCTCTTTCAGGGGCCGGGGCTCATTGAGCTCGGAAGCATTGGCACCGGCCAAGGAAAGTGTCATCATGGTCGAGCGCTTGGGGCGACAGCTGACGCTCGTAGGCGCCTCCGCTTGAACTCCTGGCGTTCCTTGCGTTGCCTGCTGCGTGGAGCTGGTTTTGTAAAGGTGAAGTTGAGCGCGATGGCGACGTGTGCAACTTTGAGCCGCACGAGGCCGTGGAGATCTGGCAGAGCCCAGCTCCTTGCTTGCAGGGCTTGTAGTGCCGACTGTCGCTCGAACGCTGACGATGCCCACAGCCCTCGAAGCAGCTCAGGAGGAGCTTCGCGGAGCTTTGCGTGTCGACCTGATGGCTTTGGTTCTCTCGGACATGCGCAAGAACCAGGTCTCGGGGCCTAGAGAGTGTGCAGTCTCTGTGTGTGTGCGTGTCTTACCGGTGCATCATGGGAGTTTTATGTTATTGGGACTCCCCCCACTTTTCCACTGCTCCTCTCCATTGCTGAAGAATCCACCACACCATGCGCAATTCGTGCTCCAACCGAGGCCAGTTGGAGTGCGACGACCGCAGCTAGAGCGGCTCGGAGCTCGCGGGGAGATTTCGATCAGCCAGGAAGCACAATCACGCCGCGTCTTTTGTCGCCCATGTTGCTCAATAGCTACAGGGAAGCCGCCAGCTGCTTCGGCTCCGATGACCTAGTATCTGCGAGTGACTCGATGCCATGCCGACCATCGCAAGTTCTCCTTCCGTTTCGGTCAAGGTGCGCAATGCCCTTTGGCACAAAATGGTTCTTGGGGTCTGGAGAAGTGCGTGACAGAGAGCCTTTACACAGTGATTCGGATTGAGTCGAGGTCGTGATCCTTGCTGGGCCCTCAGCATCTTCAGCCGAAGGAAGCCAAGCCATAGCACCGACCCAGGCCTGTGCCATCGATGCTGCAGACAAGGCCACAACTAGAAAGAAACGAGCTTCAGAGCACGGAAGGTTTCGATCTTCTGAAGCTCTTCCAAAAGAGCGATGTCTGAGAGCCATGTGGATGAACGGAATATTGAATATTGCTTGTCTTGCTCACCGAATGGTCGCTTCTTTTGGCAGGCCCTGCTGCCGGCCACCTTCGGTGCTCTCGCCGACCAGCTCCAGGCCTGAGCTGAGACGGAGAGTGCCAAAGTCAAGGTAGTGGCAGCCGGTCGCTGTCTCTGAGGTGGGTCCAACGCAGCTGGCCATGCTCAACTTCGCTCAGATGCTTAGAAGATAAGACGTCCTTGGTGCAGACAAGCTGAGCTAATCACTTCAAGACTCCCATTGCCATCCATCAAGGAGCATCGCCTTTTCCTTGGCTCTTCCCGTGTGGGGCTCCATGATGCAGTTCTACACACCACGAGACTTGCTTGCCGGTGGCTCCTTGACTGGGATATGTGGTGGCTCGCTTCGGGGGACCCTTGCACGACCTAGGCTGCTTTCTTTGGGGTTCTGTCACGATCATGATTGCGACGAGCACCTTGGCTCCCAAATCAGTCCTTGCCGTCTTCCAGTGGTCGCAGTGGCTGCAGGGGGTTGGGGTGCGTTGTAAACGCTTACAGCAAAGGCTCGAACTACTCGGTCCACTTTTTGCTCCGGCTTGTCATGGGTGCTGCCCTGGCGGACACTCAGCTGGGCCAGGAGAGCAAGAGGAAGAGGGAATGCATGAGTGCAGGCCCGCCCTGCTGTCCAGCTGAGGTGGTCGCGCCGATTGGTCAAGCCATGCTTTGCGACCTGGTTCCCGAAGCCGAGCGCGGCTGGGTCTTCGGGCTCCTGCAGTCGATCTCCACGGCTCTGAATCTGAACTGATTTCTGCTTGGAGAAGGGCTGAGCCTCACTCCGTTGTCGCGCCGTTGCATGTTCATGTCGTGGAATCCCGAGGAGTGTTGGAGTGACCTTCCTTACCACCGGCTTTGCCAGGGTGCTCATCGCCGGCGTATACGGCTGGCGTGACTTGCATCCAGCATCACACATCACAATCCGTCAGAAAGAAAGTCCACACAAGGGCAGTCTCCGGCATCAGCACTCAGGATGCATATACGCGATGATTGGCATCGCCTCCTTCTTCACCGTCGCCGCTGTTGTGACGATCGTTCCAGATACGTTGGCCGCTTCTGGAATGAACACCAAGGGTCGCTCCTGGTGGGAAGAGCAGGTGCAGAGAGTGGGAAAGCATCGGAGAAAGATGACGAAGTAGTCGGGCAGTTCTTCAGTCGGAGGTGGAAAGTAAGCTGCAGGTCCGAGTGGTGCAGCTGGTCATGCAAAAGCCGTCCTTCGTAATCATGGTATCCCAGGGCTGGTGGCCAAGCTTTGCACGCTCTGCAAAGCGAAATCCTGCTTTGTGTGCCTTAATCGCTTGGCCAAGGTGTGACCGGTGGAATTCCGTGGAACGGTTTTGCTTTCCTGCCGCTGTATTTTCAACTCAGTGGCTTCAACGATTTCCGAGCCGGCGAGATCATGCTGTACGGAGGACAGGGTGGGTGTAGTCGGAGCTGCCGGACTACTCTTGTCCTTGAGGCTTGGGTGGCATGGTCGGCGGATTGCTCGGTGGCTGGCTGGGTGACCGCTTTCATCGCTGCTGGCCTTACGGGGGCCGCTGTGTCGTTGCACAGCTCTCCGTCCTACTGGGATCTTTGCTCTTTGTAGCCGCACGGGCCTTAAAAAGAACCAGGGTTGCGTCCCTCTCACGACTGCCCCAGCGAGACTCGCCCCGCACGTCAGGTGATGACCAGCCCCGCGCGCTTCAGTTTGGTGGTGGGCTTCTTCTTTGCTTTCCATGTCGCCTCCTGCTGGTGACTCGCTTGCAAAGACTCCATGAGGGGCTCCTCCGTGCCGCAGTGCGCATGTCGTGTCAGCTCCGAGGACGCCCGCAGCGGCTCTGAGACCCATCTGTGGCGAGCCCGGAGCCCGGTTTTCGAAGACTCGAGCATGTCGCTTCAGCCTGGGCCTAGACATGCCTGCAGTCCCTCGACCGTCGCGTGTCGTGGTGGTCGTCGTCGGCTCGCTGCATGTTGCTCCGTGAGCGAAGGATCGTCCGAGACAGCCGCGATAGGGCACAGATCCTTGCATTGTGGTGGCAGCCTTAACTTCCGAGCAGTCTCCCCTTGTGCATCTTGCAATGTGTTGCACCATGGCAGCATCCCAAGGATTGCCCTGGAGGGCATCATTTCGTCCATTTTTGGTGCGCCTCTGGTTGGCCTCATATCAGAGGTGCCGATCTCACTTGGCTTGGCCTCAGAGACGGGCTGTCGTGCATGGGGATGCTCAGGCCTTCGGCTGCAAACTTGGGGGTCTAAGCACATCTGCCGGTCAAGACCAGTCGGTCACGGCGCTGCGCTCTGCGCCTCGGCGGAAGTTGGATTAAGCTAGGGCCAAGGGTGGCGGCTTCTCATAGTCCCGCTGAGCTGAGGCCCTCTTAGCAGTGGCCCTGATCCCGTGGGTGCTCTGCGGGCTGGCCTGGTTTCCTATGTGACACGGAGGAATTAGTGGGGCTGACACCTCGCTGATGCGTCGCTTACAACCAGAGTTCTTTCGTCTCTGTCACTTCTGCCCTCAACCACCTCTCATGTATCTACATGTGCCCTTTTCCTTGTCGAACCTGCCTCTCAAACATGTCGGTCGTCATTACGGAGGGCTGCAAAGGTGTAGAGGCTGCAGGGGTTTACATGAAGTTACTGCCGTGGCGTTGACCTCGTCAGAGTTGCGAGCCGGACCAAGACCGAACAAGAACCAGAGAACCGAAACACACAACCAAGCGACAAACAAGTACTAACAGACTAACAGCCTGTTGTTCGGAGCTGGCCTAATTTGACTTTGGCAAGACCAGAGCTCCGATTGTTTGGTTTACTGAAAGGCCCTCCCAAAGTCTCCAAGTCTACAGCATTACAGAACGTGGCTTGCTCGCTGCTTCCACCTATGATCGAAGCAGCATGGAATGCCCTGACGACGTGCTTGCCTTTGAATGCCGTTTTGCGAGTTGTGATTCATGTTCGATGACTGGGCAAGGATGACTTGAAGGCCTGGAGTGTTGTGGATTTGGCAACATGGAGTTGCGACCAGTCGTTATTCACTTGTGGATTCAGAAGTTGTGCCGCAACACAACGTACATGGTTGAACCAAATGGGCCCATCTATGATGCAGGGCTGCCACACCCCCCCTCCCCCCCCCACCCCATGGTATCCTCCCCCCTTCCCCCCCGCCCCCCCTGTGGTGTGGGGCCTGTGGTGGTACTCTTTTTGCCACGACGTTCTTATGTGTTGCTCCTTGTCTTCCCTCTTGTTGTGGCACCGGTGATACTGCTCATGATGTTGTGCTGCTCTAGACCGGGACATGAGTCGACGATCATACCATGCTCACCATCATCCTTGTCGTCGTCATGTTCATCATTGATCACGAAAGCTCCCCGTGTGGGAGCTTCGTTCAATACCTCACGAAGTGAGCTTGGGGTTATCGGGGGGGGTGCGGGGGGGGGGGGGGGGCTTTTTTTCGTTGTTTTTTTCGGCTATCCACCGTCTGGAGCTGGGAAAACCGTCGTTGCCAAGGGGGCTTGTTTTGGGCCAGATTTGGGTTTGTTTGGTAAGTGCATTTTGGAGATGTTCGCAGGAGAAGTGGGGCTCCTCTGATGCTGCTGATGCTGGCCTGGGTGTGCTTCCTGATGCTGCTGATGCTCACCGCATCGTGTCATGTGCGGCAAGAACGAAACTACTGATGCTGCTGATGCTGGCCGTATCGTGTCATGTGCGACAGGAACAGAACTACTGGAAGTACTGCGCCATGCTGCAACATGTTTGTCCGTTTATGGTTAGCAAAGGTGTCTGTCTGTTTGCTTTCTGCATCTTCCGGGCTGAGATCAGACATTTGTAAGTGTCGTTACTTGCCTCGACGAACTTGGCCTGGACCCGCCTTTTGTTTTTTTCGGCTCGATTGGCTCCGCAGTTGCTGCCACGAGCTTCGCTAGGGCCTCTCTATTCCTGTAAGCTCCGTGTCGCCGTCCTACCCCTACTAGAGCTTTCGTCCCAGCCCGTGGCTCTCAAGTACCTTCAAAAGAAGATCTGCCACCATCACCATCGCAATACAACCCTCATAATTCAGCATTGCAATTCACGTCAGATGCCGCTTTCCGCACACGGCAGGGCATAGTGCGACACTCCCGATCCGCGCACAAGGTCAAGGGGCAGGCAAGGTGCGGGCCGGGGGCGGCGGGGCGGGTGGGCGTGCAGCAGCAGGGCGGCAGGGGGTTGGGGGGGGGGGGATACCATGGGGGGGGGGGGGTGGCGGCCCGGGACCCGAGAGCATCTATGGCCACAGCGCTCGATACTACCCTAGGTATTGTCCATCCGAAGCTGGGGAGTGAGTCTGGGAGTCAGCCAGTAAGGGAGGGGGGAGGGAGGGAGGGGGGGGGAGGGAAGAAGGGAAGAAAGATGGACAGAAACAGAGACGCAGCGAGGTAGGATCTTTTCATATGTATATGCACATGCATGTGTGCACATCTGTGTGCGTGCACTGTTTCATTGGTTGAGCGATGACCGCGGATTGTAGATCTTTCGTGCTTAGGAAGCAGTCCTTGTAATGACAGCAGAGCAGCGTCAATTCCAATATTTCCGTTGTACTCGTTGATAGCACATCACCAGTTGGCTTGGCGGGAACCAAGGTACTGGACCTATCCAAGGGATGCAGGCCTTATCGTGCAAAATCAGTGCGACTCTTCATACTTACAATTCTATCGAGTCTTGCCGTGCTGAGGTTCCCGAACCGAGACACGAGCAATCCGCGCAGACACGATGGGTGATCCGTCGAAGTGAAGCAGCTTGCGCGGTCATTGCTCATCTGCCGTGTCGTGTGCTGCTGTTGGCTTGACTGAAGCATGTAAATAACGACTTTTGGTGCTTCAGCATTGCTTCCTCGAGAAAAACTGCGCAAGCTTGGGACACATGAATTTCACTGTTGGTCACTTCACATGTGCGCTAGTCTAGGACTGATCTCGGATGTATTCCCGTCTCGAGGTCCTCTCTTCAGCAGAAATGGTCGAACAGCCGACCGCGAGTCAGACGTTGGAGGTCAGGCGTCGGGCCATTGAGCTCCACTGCTCATGCTGTCCTGTCCGAAAGGGTGTGAAGAAGTGCTGGGAATCGGCTCCAATCTGTCCGTGTCTAAGTTGATCGGTTCTTGGAATGAGTTCGGGAATAAAGGCGCCTGTGCATTGCGGGGGCCAAGCAGAGGCACCTCCGTCGTGATCAACTTCTGGCAGAGGCGGACCGCAATTTTCGATGGTCTTTGCTGCTCCATCGCGAAGCGCCGAAGGTACCTCGAGAAGCTGGCGTGCCATTCGTTCCTGCTGCAGCCCGCTACCGAGTCGCCGAGCGTGAAGCTTCTTGCAGAGAGCAGGGTGCGAGAATGTTCTAGGCCAGATCCAAGTTTGGGTGCCGGCTTCAACCCGGGTGACAAGATCTCGTCCGCTGCTTTGAGCAGGTTTTTGCGCTTCGGAAGTCTGCGACAGTGCCAGTGCAGGTACTGGGATCTGAGCTGCGGAACTTGGGTCAACGGCTTCGTGAAAGAGTCGAGCCCCAAGTGAGGACTTGCTTGAGCTTTCAAGATATGTTCCGGTCGAAAGTCTTGTGCGATGTATGGACCCCTTCTTCTTTGATTCCATGTTCTATATAGACCGTGTCAAGTTCCAGCATGCCTCTTCGGTCCCAGAGTGGGTGTGCCTCATATGTGCGAACGAACGGCCATGCCATGGCATCGAAGTGCCTTACGATCGATTCCTCGAGTTGTGGATTGAGCCGGAGCGCCAAGGCCACCAGAAAACACGGAGATATGCGTCTTTTGTTGAGAAGTGGCGACCATCACGCACTGCATTCAACTGCCCGACTGCACCAGTCAAGGATGGATTAGTAGACTCGAGTCGAGACAGGCGCCTCGATCCAAGCACGAGCGGTGCTCGCCTCTCCTGACTCAGTACCTCAAGTTAACTCTCTTGTCTGCTGAGACACGCTTCCTTGCGTTTGAACACTAGCTGCACTCAGGCGAGTCGTTGACGGTCAAGGTGACGTGGCAGTTGCCTACCACTTGGATGTTCGTGGCTCAGTCTCGCAAGCATCTGAACCTTCTCAAGCCAGGCTTATTCATGCCTTGCCCCAGATCAAGCCGTCTGCCAACCCACAGTACGTGCGCCGTCGTCTGAACGAGGAAACCGTGGCCACGAAGGCTTGGCAAGCCGGCAGGGCTTTCCCAGGTCAGAGCCTGCGACGGGTTGCATGACAGGCAGTCGACATGATCCGGAGATATGTGCCCCTCAAGGCTGACTTTGGTGATCTGCACCTGTTCGATTTTCAGCTGCTGTTGAGCGCAGTGCCTGGTCAGGCGGACCGTGCCCTGCCTGGCGATCTGATGAGAAGCATGCAGAGATGCTACTGGAGCTGTATCCAGCAGGTGCGGCGCCAGCTTGCCATGCGCCCGGTGCACAGACAGCTCAGAGTGGTTTCGCGCAGGCGCCACTGGTATTTCGGCCAGTCATGACGCAGGGAGCTTGGGGCAACATGGTGTGCTTCATCAAGTACCGTCCTCAGTACTGAGGCTTCCCCCGCAGCCGATGGTCATCAATGTGCCTGTTGGTCCGAGCCCTCCCACAGCATCACGCCCGCAGTCTCCACAGCCGCAGTCCAGCAGTAGGCCCAGGAAGGCGTCATCTTCACATTCAATCCCGGCGGCACCATCGCCATCGATTAGACCTGTGCCAGTCTTTGGCCACCCGCCTCAGAGCGTAAGCCCAAGCCCGGGCCAGATGCCTCCCCAGGCTCCACAAAATTTGCCGGTCTTTGCCTTTCCTCAGAACCAGAACCGCTCTGGCGGGCAGCTGCCCGTGTTTGCTTTCCCCGGCCGTGAACCTGGGCAGCCGGGGCAGCCTGGGCAGCCTGGGCAGCCCGGTGGGCCGCCACCTTCCTCGCCGAGCGCTCTCCCTATCTTTGCACCCTCCGGTGGGCTTGCCGGCCTTGGTGCTGTTCCTGGCATGGCCCTGCCGCAGCAACAGCTCACCCCCCGCACTCCTCGAACGCCCCGTGACGAACAGACGTCGCCGACGGCGCAAGTGGCCCCTTCTTCACCCTCCCAGCCACCTCAAGAGCCAGTGCAGGAAGTGCAGGACAGCGAAGCGGAGTGGATGAACTTGAGGAAAGGCATTACCACCTCCACGGAAGGGTTCGCCAACGAGGAGGAGGGTGGCAAGGAGGCGGGTGCCTGCGTTTCTCACACCTGTCTCTGATGACTCAAGAAGAGCATTGGTAGCCTTTGAGGTGTTAAGCCCCGGCGACGAATCGATTGACTTCGAGGAGTTCTCCGACATCCGCAACTCGGACGGTGCCGGGCCCAGCAGGGCTTTCAGACCTCCAAAGTCCAAATCGTTGCAATCATTCAAAGTCTGCATCCCCAGTTCTTCAATGTCCGCCGTGGCCACTGCGGCTCACGATGCAGTGGTCAGCAGAACAGTCTGGAGCGGAGATGCCTGGAGTCATCTGCAAACCACGATAGAAAGGATTGAATGAGAGGACCGTACAGTCCAGAAAGCCAGATCAGCAGAAATAAGTTTCTCTAAGAAGTTTCTCTCTGCCTGCCCCTCTTGAGCTTGCGGAAGATGGCCTTCCTTCTGCTAGCGTTCGTGCTCGTTCGCCAGCTGGCGCCTGTAGCCGGGGATGATTCAGCTTTCTTGCAACTGCTGACTATGAGTAGTAGTAGGATGCCCGAACTGCAAAAGAGGCAGAACCCGAGCTTTTCTGCATATCTCGACTTCACCCTGGCCGATGCTGCAAGAGCTTGTGGTGCAGGGATGTGGGGAGGTTCAAGCGGAATAGACGAAAAGGCTTGGGACTGCATTTTTCCAAAGCTTGACCTTGACGGCGACGGTAGCATAACTCCAAGCGATGTCGAGAAAGCTTCATGGCTGCAGGGCTCTGTGCTGGTCCAGCGTTTAAACATCTCAAAGCAAGACTGCCGGGAAGCTACGGCATTGCTTGCTGCATGGTACCCCAAGCTGGCACCCTTCCTGGTGCGGCACGCGCAAGAAGTGCTTCTGAGTGCGTGGACTGGTGCCAAGCCATTCGAAGCGCCAGAGCCGCCTGAGCAAGACCTTGCCTTGGCTGCCTATGAGTCTCTGTCTCTGAGGTCTCAGCCACCTGAGCTCCTCGAGCTTTCTGACTGCCAAGAAGCACTGCTGGAGACAGTCCCGCCTGTCCTCAATCTCGTGACATCCGTCGTCGGGCCGAGCCTCCCGCATTCTGCGGCCGAAGCGCTTCTGAAGCGAGTGAGCCTGGATGTTTCGTTTTTGGCAAAGGTGCACCAAGTAGTCAGCGAACTCGGTGGACCCGACAAGATCCTTAGAAACACGGAGGCGACCGCGAGCTTTGTCTTCCGGATTGCCACCGAACTCTGGAACGACGGGGTCCTGGCTACTGCGCTAGATGAGATAAGACTCTCTATGAGCTGGTGGGATTGGGTCTCCACCGCCGTTCCAATGATTGCGTCGCTGAGCAGCTTCTTTCTCACTGGCAGCACCCTCAATTTAGTGATTGCCTTGGGACTCGGCGGAGTAAATGTTGTGAACTTGGGCAAAGCCCTCTCCTCCACGGCACAAGCCTGTGAACTCACATGAGAGACGGCGCCGGGTGCAATGTCACTCTTGACTCTGATAGAGCTTGCAAAGATCAAGTCCGACGTGCGAGAAGAAACTGGCTGCAAGGTGCGGCGCGATGCGATGATGTGTCCCCCCCACCCCCCCCGCCTGCCGGGCTGGCGTTCTTTCAGCTTTCTCCGAGGCTCCATCGGTGTTTTGATGGCTCCAGGCCAGAGCCGAGTCATGCTTTGAGGCGTGCGGTTCGCCGGTTCGCCGCGTGTGCGGCGCACGTTCTGACTTATTCTTGTTAGGTCTTAGGTGGTGCTGCCGTGTTGCCCACCAGCTTTCGAGCGCAAGGGAGTAGGCAGTAGTACAGTACACCACTCACCGGTAGGGTGGTGGGATTGAACGCTCCGAGACCGCTCGACTGCTGAGCAAAGGCATGGGCACATGTTCCCGACCGACTTTGCAGAGTCACCGCATCACCGCACGCTCTGAACGGAGCTGCGGAGCAGGTGAAAACAATCGTGAAAAGTGTAACTGTGTGTAACTGTGTAACCTGAGCCCTCGGAACTCCCGGGCCATGATTGGCTTTCTGGGCGGTTTTCGCGCCCGCAGAGCCGGCCACAGCCTTGTTCAGCCCTCCCCCGAGGGTGATAGGCGCTGGTGTCGGCGGGCGCAGGGTCTTCCTAGGCCACGCAGAAGGATGCACTCTTTAAAGCATCGCGGTGAAGCAACCAGAGGAGCCAAAAGTATCAGCTACCCAAATCCATGCTAAGTCCTGGGGGTAAGCCGCCTAAGCCCTAAGCCCCTTGCTGCATCCACCTTGGCAGATCGGTTGCTGCATCCAGTAGTGGTGTGTGACACGGAGGTGTCTTCGTAACATATTGTTTGTCATGTGCAGGAGCAGCAGACGGCGCAAATTGTTGTCGAACAGGTTTGTGTATGTTGGCATCTGTGAATTTGCCCGACAAGCTGAAATTTTTGTCCTGCAACCTGTTCCCAAGAACTGCATTTCCGAAGGAAATCAAATTAGGTGGAGATATTTGAGGTCAGGAGCTTTCGCGAATGAGTGCTGATGGAGAGCTGCCTTTCTGGAAGCTGTACTGGCGATATAGAGTCATTTGTGGGGAGCTGTTCGGCATCTCCTGATGCTCCAAACTGCTGGCAGCCTGCATGATGACACACGGCACATGG